AATAAACGATATAAAATATCTCAGGTGCTGAGAATAACAGTGCTACATGCTATGGTATTGTTTCAAGTAGAATAATAAATGTTAAGTAAACTTCAATAACAAAGACGTTTCAATAAATAATGAATTATTGACAGTATATAATTTCCTTATATGAAATTCAGCTACATTTCACATATTTTGTTTAAAATGATTTTGGAGGCAAAAATTCATGAATTAGGTTCATTATTTGTAATTTTCCAAAAACAAGTCAATTTCATATAAGAGTTATGAATAAAGCACATGTAATATCACATTCCTGCCAAGTTCAAGTCTAGTGTTTGACGCAAATGGTACGTGTTGAATATTATTATTTTAGGTGCTTCGCAATTCGTTTCACTGTTAGTTCGGGCATTATGCACAACTTATATTAATAAGCCTACAAATATAATAATAATTGAGTTCAGAATGACAAGCATAAACACTATCATCGTCATCCATGTAGTCCCAACACAAACACAGACACACAGACCGATACAAACTACATTGTTAGTATTGGTACCATTTCAACATAAAGTTCACCATTAACATAATAAACAGACATATACATGTACAAGGTTTTCACTAAATACTCTGTGAACTACACAACCTGTAATGGAAACTGTGGTAATCATCAAAAGTATGTATTGAACTACTCTTTGAAAATATACATTAAAGTAATTTGATGGACACCGGTGAGATTGAAATAAATCATGATATTTTACAAGTTTAACAATCATGGCAGACAAGTCAACTCACAAATAAAGATGATGTGTTAAAGTTCTCTTTCTGTTTGTGTCAGTATAATTAACAAGACAGGAATATTATCTTCATATAATCACACTGCTATATACTGGTACATGTATATGAGGGTGTAGGCCAATGACTAGTCTAATGCTTAGTCCCTGAATATATATAATTTTGATAGTAACCCATTTAAATTGAAAAGGGACCCCAGCGAGTGGGAGATTCAGGCTGAGCCTGGGGAAATCTAGACTTGCTTCATCTAGAACTTTAGCATTACAGGGAGAGCTAGGCATTATGGAAAATAATGTTGTTCAGAGACTGAGACAGACTAGCCAATGACTGGGACACTGACAGTTAATCACTGCAGAATTACTAACAGCTGCTCTGGGTATTTCTAGTTGAAGGGTGTGGTCATTATTTAGGGGATAACTGTACTGTGTTTGACGAATTGGGGATGTATACCGATGGTTATATAGCCGCAAATTTAGTTATATCGGCAACGCAAATTTAGTTATATCGGCAACGCATAAGCAGATTTATGATACTGTTTTGTCTTTTTTAACACAAATTCCAACCATTTTAGCGGGATAGGGGAGTAATTGACCTAGGGCTTCTGCAAATGATAATGCCCTGAAAAACAGTGTTACCCAAAAGTGTCGGGATACATTCCAAAGTTTTGGTGAATCGGTTTTCAAATTGCGACCGTATATGCTGATTATACGGTCGGATATTTATAGCACTGACCAATCAGAACTCATGTTACATACCAATTTCAATTAAAATTTGGATTTCATTCCCCACATGGGTGTTGTGATGTTGCTGGAATAATACTAGAAGCGTGTAAACTCACTAGCGTAACACTCACTCAGTCTTTGATGGGTTCACTATTAGGTCCCTAAGTCTGCTTTTCACAAAGTGTGATTCAAATGCGTGTTCAGGCCTGAATTATTTCACAATTAAATAGGAATGGATAAATCGCCTTCATTAAAAATGTTGATACAACCAATATTACCAATATTTACCCTAAATAATGTTATTATTTGTTTCTTGATTCTTAAACCTTCATAGAACACTGAACAACTTAACACACTGGAGCAACAGGTTATAGAAGCAAAGGGAGACAACTCTGCACTGAGATTAAGTGGACATCATTGACTGGTACAGCGTTGTGTTCAGTGTTGTGGGTAAAATTCATCAGAAAATACAAACATTTCAAAAACACTTTTGTAAACTGATGGATCTGTTTTATGTTCTAGATAAATGTGCTACAAATAAAACACGTAGACTTTGTGAGCTGACAGGTCTGTTTTATGATCTAAATGTGCTACAAATAAAACATGTAGACTTTGTGAGCTGACGGGTCTGTTTTATGATCTAAATGTGCTACAAATAAAACAAGTAGACTTTGTGAACTGACAGGTCTGTTTTATGATCTAAATGTGCTACAAATAAAACATGTAGATTTTGTGAGCTGACGGGTCTGTTTTATGATCTAAATGTGCTACAAATAAAACACGTAGACTTTGTGAGCTGACGGGTCTGTTTTATGATCTAAATGTGCTACAAATAAAACATGTAGACTTTGTGAGCTGACGGGTCTGTTTTATGATCTAAATGTGCTACAAATAAAACACGTAGACTTTGTGAGCTGACAGGTCTGTTTTATGTTCTAAATGTGCTACAAATAAAACATGTAGACTTTGTGAGCTGACGGGTCTGTTTTATGATCTAAATGTGCTACAAATAAAACACGTAGACTTTGTGAGCTGACGGGTCTGTTTTATGATCTAAATGTGCTACAAATAAAACACGTAGACTTTGTGAGCTGACGGGTCTGTTTTATGATCTAAATGTGCTACAAATAAAACATGTAGACTTTGTGAGCTGACGGGTCTGTTTTTACGTTCTAAATGTGCTACAAATAAAACACGAGACTTTGTGAGCTGACGGTTCTGTTTTATGTTCTAAATGTGCTACAAATAAAACATGTAGACTTTGTGAGCTGACGGTTCTGTTTTATGTTCTAAATGTGCTACAAATAAAACACGTAGACTTTTTGGGAGCTGACGGTTCTGTTTTATGTTCTAAATGTGCTACAAATAAAACACGAGACTTTGTGAGCTGACGGGTCTGTTTTACGCTCTAAATGTGCTACAAATAAAACACGTAGACTGTGAGCTGACGGTTCTGTTTTATGTTCTAAATGTGCTACAAATAAAACATGTAGACTTTGTGAGCTGACAAGTCTGTTTTATGATCTAAATGTGCTACAAATAAAACACGTAGACTTTGTGAGCTGACGGTTCTGTTTTATGATCTAAATGTGCTACAAATAAAACACGTAGACTTTGTGAGCTGACGGGTCTGTTTTATGATCTAAATGTGCTACAAATAAAACACATAGACTTTGGGAGATGATGGGTCTGTTTTATGATCTAAATGTGCTACAAATAAAACATGTAGACTTTGTGAGCTGACGGGTCTGTTTTATGATCTAAATGTGCTACAAATAAAACATGTAGACTTTGTGAGCTGACATGTCTGTTTTATGATCTAAATGTGCTACAAATAAAACACGTAGACTTTGTGAGCTGACGGGTCTGTTTTATGATCTAAATGTGCTACAAATATAACAAGTGTCCTTAGTTGGTTATATATCAGATTAAATATGGTAAGTATAAGGTCAAACCTTGCATTGTTTATATAACACTATAGATGTATTAGGCAGGATTGTCAATAACAAAGAGACTGGTATCAGGTCAATATTCAGATAACAACCAGTACTTGATGCAAAGGTAAGTAAAATTGAGCCATATTCAACTGCATTCATATACAATTGGTAAATAAAAGTTGGTATCTTCTCAGGGAAAATATCACAAATGTTGATATAAAGCTCTTAATACACACCTGACCTGTAAAAACTGACCCAATGAGCAATTCCAGTTACATATAGCTTACATGATTGTATTGTTGTCATTTAAGCACATATACAATAATAAATGTTAATTATACAAACTAATTTCTCTTGAGCTTAACCATGTTTGATTTCATTCATAATTCAACAGTAACACAAGTTACCATGTATATGGAAAAACATTTACTATACTTTAGTTTCATAATATCTAGGTAACAAATCACAAGCTTTAGAAGACAATTGTCTGATGTCGTTCACACAATCATTACTCACTGCCACTGCAAATATTCTGCTGTGTAGGCCTCTATTTGACCTGATGCAATATTGTGAAAATATTGTGTGTTATAACCAGAAGGAACTGAATGTATCTTGTAACTAAAAGAGCTGTGCTGTGACCTTCAAACAGCGACAATAACATCAAAAGGTGCTTCACAGAAGTGTCTTTATGCTAAATAGAGAACTCCTTTGTAAAATCTCAACACTAAGAAACAATACATGTGTTATAGACTTATAGAATGTAACACAGATACACAATTTCAAAATGAACCTTCCAAACACAGAGGCCATGTTGCACATAACAACATATATCAAGTACCAAACTGCGATGCACATACACACCCACATAATATGTTTTCTGGAAGGGAGGATCATGTTTAGCAATCTACTGATATACTCCTATGTACCACACCTGAATTGCTTCCTACAGCTTGTTGACACAGATCATAGGTGTCATTTCCGAGTCGCCATTCAATTAATGGTTTGTCTGAGCATGGTGATGCCATTAATTGTTTCCTGCAAGCTTTCTTCATGTCAGTTTCTGAAAACATACCCACAGATTGCCGATATGACTTCAGACTTTGCTGAAGTTAGGAATATGGAACTTACCTTCAATGTCAAAACAAAAATGGACCTGCCATTAATACAAATATGCTATTACAGTATTTATTTCTTACTACAAGCTCAAACTTAACAAAAAGCCTTCCAAATGTGTTTAATGAACTGATTATTTGTTGACAAAAAGCTGTTTAAACATTGAATAAAGCTGCCACAATCAAAGCTAAATTGTGATGCTTTCAGTACCAGAATTTAAGAAAATGTGAGGCTAGATATGAGATTTGGGGAGTGTGCAATTAAAGTCATGTCTCTTGTTCATTGCTGTTCTTCCTCACAAGAGAGCAGGCGGTGGGTCATTAGCCATGAAAGAGATGTTCACATGGGTACAATGTGTGAAGCTCATTTCTGGTGTCCCCCGCCGTGATATTACTGGAATATTGCTAAAAGCGGCGTAAAACCAAACTCACTCACTCACTCACAAGAAAGCAGTTAGTCATCAGCCATGAAAAGTGATGTTCACAAAATATTGTTGCAACACCTAATTTTAGCATTGTTTGTCATTTCATATTTTGTCTAGATATATTTTACTATGTTTACTTCATACAAAGGCCGTCATCCTAATTATATCACTGGTGACCCCCATAGTAGGCAAGAATCAGTCTCCACGCAAAAAACACCTTTTACTCCATATATACAAATATTTTCTAAACAACACCCACAGTTAGAAAGGTTGCATGTTACAAGACTCACCTGCTGTGACAGGCTATACCACTGTCATATGAAAACAATGGATGTTCCTTCAATTCTTTTAAGTTACACAAAAGACAAATTAAAATCTGCACAATATTTGGAGAATTTGATGACAGTCTTTTTCAAGACTTCTACTCAGAAGGTTGCACTTACCCTCATAGATTCTGATTCTCTGAGAAACAAATTTTACCTACCAGTAATTTATACTTACAACAAAGCCACACTGAGTTCTTTCTTTAGCAAAAGCATTCAAAGCATAAAGCAAGCATACATTAAATTTAATACACCAAAACGGTTTCAGAAAATCATGCACATATTCCATTATATCCCCTTCCAAAGCCATCCCAATAACACACATGCAAATATTTAATAAATAAATAGATAAATAAGATATATCTACAAGTTAACATATTTTGTCAAAGTTAATAAGCCTCATAATAAACAAGTAAACATGAACCATACCACAGCAAAATGTCCAAGTGTTGAGTCAATAGATCAACAATACGACAATACATGTATGTCTACGTGTAGGGTTAATCAATTAACAGTGCCATGATATATTCATGTGTAGATTTAATAGATTAACAATACCATCATAAAATCCATGTGCAGATATAACAGATCAACAAAATCACAATATATCAAAGGGTAGAACTAATAAATTAACAATACCACGATCTATCCATGTGTAGATTTAATAGATTAACAATACCATGATATATCCATGTGTAGATTTAATAAATTAACAATACCATGATATATCCTTATGTAAAGTCAATAGATTAACAATACCACGATATACCCAAGTGAAGTGTCAATATATTAACAACACCACGATATATCCATGTGTATAGTTAATAAATCAACACTGCCTCAGTAACATCATGATGATGTACATGTTCGAACAGAGATCACTAGCTATCACATTGAATGCTTTAATGGAAGCCAAGCAGGTTTAATTTTCAGGCTACAAACTGAAGGAAGCACAAATTATTTGCGAATATCTTGTTGTAAAAGTCTGCATTAAAGAAAAACTTGCATTGCATGAAATGCCAATGATGTTGTGTATCAGTACTGTATTCTATATCACCAACATACTTCTAAAACTTTAACAACCCCTACAGACAAAATCTTGTATAAGTTATGTGCATTACTACGACAATGAGAAGATCCATTTGTGGTACATTCCTAACATGGCTAGAATTTTAACACATTAAAACAAAACAATTACTTTTCACATTAATTTCACATGATTGTGTATAGCGTAATACATATAACACATGTAACAGAAGCTTTGCAAAGCACAGTTATTTTCAGGGCATTCCAATTTCTCAAGAAGACACCTCTTTCATGTATCATTAAGAAAATCATATTCATTGAAAACATATGTTCAAAACAAATGCAGGATAACATCACTTGATGTGAGTTCTACATCTTTTGACATACTCCTTTGACTTGGACTAGACAGAGTAGGAATGTGAGAGAATGAAGCACATGTCTACGTGACATTACGACACTGCAACTTGGACGTAGCAATACACATCAGACATATTCACATTACACTACACGAGTCTTGGTCGGAACATCCTCATCAGCATAGTACATACACAAAGAGCTCATTGACTTGCTCTTGTCGTCATCTCGGAGCAGGGCTGAGCTCTCATTAGCACTCAACGAGTCGGAGGAGTCACATCGAGAGACAATATATGCCTGTGGTGTTGCGGTGGCGTCTTCGAGCGGAGGAGGTTGTCTGCGTGTGGGTGGTGGGCTGGAGGCAGGGCTAAGAGAAGGCGAGCGGGAACGCACAATGCGAGCACCCTGCCGATATATACGTCCAGTGGGAGGGCGAGGATCGAGAGAAGGGTCGTCATGGGACTTTGACCGTGGCACAAAACGGGGACGACTTGTCTACAGAAAAGAACAGACAGAAGATAGCTGTAGCGGCATATAGAACATGAGGCAGAGCTTAATGATACGCTGCTGGTGGTGTTAGGAGGCTGATATGGGGTAGTTGTCAAGGGTCGTGTGGTGTTGGTGGGGGGAAAGTTTGAATGCTGTGGTGTTATGGTGTCAAGATAGTAGGATGTAAGTTTGTGGGGGTGGGGGTTGTGGTGTCAAAATAGTAGGATGTAAGTTTGTGGGGGTGGGGGTTGTGGTGTCAAGATAGTAGGATGTAAGTTTGTGGGGGTGGGGGTCGTGGTGTCAAGATAGTAGGATGTAAGTTTGTGGGGGTGGGGTTGTGGTGTCAAGATAGTAGGATGTAAGTTTGTGGGGGTAGGGGTCGTGGTGTCAAGATAGTAGGATGTAAGTTTGTGGGGGGGGTTGTGGTGTCAAGATAGTGGGATGTAAGTTTGTGGGGGTTGTGGTGTCAAGATAGTGGGATGTAAGTTTGTGGGGGTTGTGGTGTCAAGATAGTGGGATGTAAGTTTGTGGGGGGGGTGGGTTGTGGTGTCAAGATAGTGGGATATAAGTTTGTGGGGGTTGGGGTGTGGTGTCAAGATAGTGGGATATAAGTTTGTGGGGGTGGGGTTGTGGTGTCAAGATCGTGGGATTAAGTTTGTGTGGGTGGGTTGTGGTGTCAAGATAGTGGGATGTAAGTTTGTTGGGGGTGGTATCTTTAAAAAGTTTCCAATAAAAGGTAACTAATATTAGCAAATGAACAGCTCCCTTTAAACTATAAATATGACTTACTAAATACAATGTTCTATTCAACAGTAATAAATTTATTTTCAAGTAACTCCAAAACACAAATACTAAAAGTTTGTAATGATAATCTTTTAATATGATATTCAACCAAATGTTTTACAAAATACATTAAAAAATAAATAATAATATTGAGTAAATAATAAATCTACTAATAAATAATAAATCTAATAATGAATTATAAATCTATTAATAAATTAACTGTAAATGTTTCATGTTGACGGCAGTGTTTTAGTCTACATCTACAATGAGAAGGGCTGGGAGTGTCAGTACTAGACTATCTGTGTTATGTCCCAACACCAGCAGGTACCACCAAGCTCTACATCAACAGCAAATGAAGATAGATAGAACGGGGTGGGTAACAAGGGTTAGCAGAAACAGTGCAAAGACATTGGAACATGCATGTTTACTACATCATGTGCGAAGCATTGCTTACTGGCCAAGCTAGCGAAAAAACGACAGTTTTCAAAATTTGAAAATGAGATTTCAACCTCTTTGCTAACCCACCACCAAATGTCATATAATATCAGCATCAACACATAGCATGCAATTGCCTTCTCAATACAAGTTTGGAAACTAATTGCCTCTCTTCTTCTTCTTTGAGTGGCATTTTAGAAGTTGGGTAGTACAATATAGAACAAACTTTACGGATAACAACTTCTTTTTATTCGTGAGTGCGACGTTTCGATACAGATTCTTGTACCGTTGTCAAGCATAATGGAACATGAAGAAGGGGGAAGTGTATATATACTGGATGTAACAAAGTAACAAAGAAAACAACATAATTAACAAAGCAAGCCCCAATCATCAAATAGAGTGGTCTGACATCACCATTCTCTCTAACAAACAAACAGACTTCACTAAACGCAAGCTCACCGAAGCCATCCACATCAAACGCCAAAAGCCCACCATCAACCGAGACCAAGGATACTTTATTCCATCCGCTCATGATGCACTCATCCACCAAGCCCAATCTACTGTATAAACTCTGCTGTATAAACATCTCATTATTATTTGTACATCATTGGCTTCCACGCCTGTCCTTTGTCTACTCTCTGGCTTCATCAGCTTTCTGCCTAGCCAATTATGTTAATTGTGTTGTTTTCTTTGTTACATTGTTACATCCAGTATATATATACTTCCCCCTTCTTCATGTTCCATTATGCTTGACAACAGTACAAGAATCTGTATCGAAACGTCGCACTCACGAATAAAAAGAAGTTGTTATCCATAAAGTTTGTTCTATATTCTCTTCTTCTTGTTCCATAATGATAGCTTAATGAATATTGAGAAGGGAAGTGCAGCAGAATCAATCAACACAGTACCAATCTCCCTTCACCTAGAAGCCACCACATCAATATGAAACCTACCTTTTCAAAAACAATCCACAATGTGTCACATGACTATCATGTGATTGAAAATTCCAGCTTATGAAGGCTTCATGAATCAATGTGAAATTTAAAATTGTCAAAATTAGAAGCTTGTTAATGGTTACATGGAAAATAAGCTCAGTGTCAAACAAAGGTACACTCACTAAGCTTGGGCATGGCTCCCACCGCAACTCAAACATCAATCATCTTATACTGACGTATGGTATTTGTACATGAAGGGACATGGCAACACCTGTTCCTGTTCATTTTTTTCTTATGCCAGACCAATTTTATTTCTTGTTTTACGGATCCGCCTGTCGTATTTTTTCAAGAAAAATAAAAAAAATAAAATTTAATTTTCCATGCTCAAAAAATAAAATCCTAATATTCTTATTGGCCCAAAATGTACACATACAAGAAATTCAGTTTTTAGATTGTTTTTTGCCCCATATACACTTTAAAAATTGCCTAAAGTAACATACTTTGAATATTTAGAAGAAATATTAGTTTGACTGGTGATTTTATATTATTATTTTTTTCCCTCCTGCCTTTAGGTTTTCTGATGACAAAAATCCGTAAAACAAGAAATAAACTTGGTCTGGCCTAAGAGAACATGCCAAGATGCAAGATGTGACAAGGCATAATGACATGAGTTCATTGAGGCTTATAAGAATAATATTATCTGCAAAATAAAAATACTCTTGTTCAAACACACCATGTAACGGTCTTCTTCTTACTTTTTTTAACATTAGGTCAGGTAAATAGTGCTTATTCATTAAACAAGGAAACGATCGCCTGATCAATCATCTGATCAAATTGAGATTCTATCAAGATCTGTATATATATCCTCACAACTCTTGTATATCTTTTGTTCTTTCGTCAAGTATACAACTACAGCACCAGCCATGTAGCTGTACGTAAGTACACACCTACATGGTGACATCGTCTAAACCTACCGGTCTACCTACCTGTTACAGCAGCACTGTGATAACCAGATCTCATACAAGTTTACAATCTTACAGTTGATAATTATTCACCTCTGTGAAGGCTTCCAGACCCAAAGTATAACATGACACCAACACGTCAGAATGCAATTTCTATACAGGAAATGTAACTAGCTGTCATTTCTGTTGACATTTGATCTTTTGTAACTATCTATTATCACAGGTTGTGCAAAAGACTTTCACTTTACAAGTGCAGTTCCTATTCAGTAAGTGTAACTCAGTTTCTTCAGATTTGAGTATTTTAAGGTTATTACACAGAGAATGCAAGAACTAATAACTTTTGCTTCGGAATAGAGGCTGAACTTGCAAAATGGTACAACCAAGGTGTATTCCAAGTAACCAAACCTTCACGTTGTCAGCATCTCAAACACATTTGCATGTTCCTCAGCAACCAACCACATGTTATTCTATGAATAGTATACTATGAGCCTTGTCTTGGGAAAAGAGATTTTTGGCAAAAAAACTACAGTAATGGAAATACTAAGGAACGTACAAGTTGATAAAGTTGATGGAGATAGTGTAACAGAAGCTGTGGAACACCAACACACACCGTGTGGATCTGGCAGGATCTGTCTGGTATTTAATCTTGTTTTACCTTGGATAGTATTGCTGTTTGTTTTCTCAATAAAATACATGATAAGATCTGTTTTAAAACTGAACTTTAAACATCCTGATAATCTGATGAACATGCTAACCAGTTTCTCCCTAAACATTAAATTTTAGAATCAAGATATTTTACTGAGATCAAACCTTCGAACAGCTCTAAGATTGTGTTGTGAATGTGCTTTATTCTTACTGAATGAAATCCCAAAGCTTGAAGCCACTTTACAGACATCCAAGATTCCGTTGAATTCATAACCAGACTATCTGAAACTTGATGATGTGTTTACTGAGGCATTAATTCTTAATTGGAAGGAAAAGTGTTTTGTGTTTTTTTCACAAACCCTGGATAAGTTTTACATTTGAGCAACACTACCATATAAAGCTTGTAGGAAAAAAAGTCATAGATTTGGGTAGGAACAAAAGCCATATGTTTTTTCCTATGACTTTTTTCCGTCCACCTAAGACCAACTCCTGAGACCAAATGAACAATGGGATTTACTTTTTTCACAAAAGAAGTAAGAACACCATATTTTTCAGGGTGAAATCTGGGTGCTCTTTCACTTCATTACATATAGAGAGTCAGAAGGAGCTTACTACCAGCCTCAGAATGGCTGGTTTTTAAGGAAACAATTTCCACCTACAAACCTACTAGGCTAAACTTTATTTGACTGATCTAATGATGATGTTGATGATGATAACGACACACATAACTTATGCTTCCAACATCCACATGATGCTAATTCTTACTGCATGGTTCAGATGGGGTCCTCCTTCATTTCCCATTCATTTCAATGACATTCTGATTCAAGCCACAACAAAAAATATATTATGTGTTAGTCAGAAACAATTTGTTAAAATGCTGGGGATAAACTTATTTTCCATATATGATAAAACTATAATTTTCCTTGTTGGAAGAATTGATTTCTTGTCCATTTATTGTCTCAGATGGGAAGTCATTTCTTTTAAAGGTATTGTCTCGGATGAGATAAAAAAAAAGTAATTTGATTTGTAATTTTTTGTGAATTGAGACATTTATATTTTCATAAGGGAGATGGTTTAGTAGAGGAATATGGCCATGTATTTTCATCAAAACTTCAACCGAATTGAAGTAGCATTCTGACAAACAAATAATCACTTTGTTCTGGCCCTTGTCACTGTGGACTCTGTGGCTGTATACAAAGTTATAACAACTATGAGCCAGATGACGTGGCCAGCAGTCTAGGACCAACAGCTAATAATCACTTGTTTCAACAAGCGTCATCAATACTTCATGCCTGAATACATCCATCACATAAGAATACTTATGGCCACTATGCAGTTTAGTTACCATTCTTAACCAATGATATCATAACCTGTTCTAGCAAGAAGGTAACTAGCAAGGCATCCAAACTAACACTCAGTAGAACATTATACCAAGTCTTGTTTCTCTCCGTGTGCAACATGCACTTCTGGCATCTGATTGGCGCCGAGTCTCAGTGCTGCCAATGGCTGTGTTATCTCACTGTTCATGCATGGAGTCTATCATTTAGCTACACACATCCACACTACACTGACCCTATGTATCCATGGTGATGTAAGATTGTAGTCTATATACAGACCATGAAGTACTGACTATTATCAGTTAGATGCATTGGGCCTTTTTCAGTTAGTTGGTTTACAGATTTTCCAAAATATATACGTCTCATTAATGCATAGCAAAATTTTAGAAATACAAAAAATTTATTCTATTAATTTTTTGGGTCAGCAATGATGAAAATATCTTTCGAAAATGACACTTTACAGATATTTTGTCCTATTTTTTAGTATTTTCGGAGAGAGGATCCATAAACCAAATTAAGAAAAAAAGGCTTTAGCTATTTTTGAATTTATTAACAACCAACGGTGGAGTGACCCCATCTTGAAGTCATATACTAACACACAAAATATGCCCACACCATTCACGCAGGACGATATACAACACACAACCTGACTAGATCTGTTAAATAAACATCAAATTCTGGACACTAAATTGGTGAACACATGTTTAAAGAGTTAATAACGATCAAAACATCAATCAACAATTTGTAAAATTGTTTACCAATCACAACAGCCTCTGGCCCCATACTAAAATAATATAAACAATAAATCACGATTGAATAAGGAGCAAAAATGTTGTATCAGCAAATATTTGGTCATGATTATCTTGGAAGAATTGAAGTGTAAAATGTAAAGAAAAAAATCTTCAGTTTTGACAAGAGTGTGAACAAAATGACTAAATAAATTCATCAGGCAATTTCAAAATAAATACAAGGCCATTATCATTCACAACCAATATATGTGAGCAAATTTAGAAGACAATATCACATGCTTATGAATACATATTCATCAAACTCGGATACTCCATACCATCATAATATTTCAGTTATTACACAAATATATATTTAGGACATATATATTGAAAAATTACAAATTTTTGGTCTTGTTATCACAGCTGATTATTAGAAAGCAGTGCCATAGCTTTTATATTTGTAACACTTCCTCTAGGAAACAAATATCCAGATATACATGTCCACCTAGGCAGTACACAAGCACCCCAATAACACGACATCCAGTAGCTGAAGGCGTTAGGCTACTAGAAGCGGAGAGTAACAATGGATGTAAACGTCTTTATCAGTGCAGGCACTAGTCCTCACATAGCATCACTACTGTCTGGCTACCATGTCCTTTGAAACAAATCTTGAAACAGTCCAGTTCCATACATCTAACTTCGTACCTTAACCTCTTGTGGTACTGAAACCATGTGTAGTTCATACCAAAACTGTCAGTTCACTGCATTATTATTAAACTACTATTACCATAAGTATTAAAATTATCTTTCAATATATATGTAACCAAGGGTTCAAAATTTGGAACAGTTTGAGAAGTGATGAAACTAAATACTTTAGACTTGTTCAATGCACAGAAGTTTAACTACTCTCATAACAGATACAAAAATATCCAAGCTGATCGTGCATATTGATCTGATGATGGCTATTACAATAGTCCCAAAGCCGCATTAACTGTCCTTGAATAACACTTCAACAAGCCTCCATTTAAGGAACGTGATTTAACTTGCACAGGAGCTTTCTGACATTAAAAATAAATTGCACAAAGGAAAATCAGGTTGCACCCTTGTCCCATAAATATATTGAAAATAAAACATAGGTCATTCTGCAGCCAGCATCACATAATAAACTGCTGTAGAAATGAATATGAACCTGTGCAGACAATCCTGAAGGGCCCCCCAGTTTGATGTTGTTAAGACCATATGACAACATACACAAGATGTGTGTACAGTGATGTGCTGTGTTAAGTAAGTCTTAGAGGAACTGAGTGTTCAAAGAGTGTTTTGTGTGTGGACACAGAAGGGTTAGTCAGACACAAATTTGAAGTTCGTGTATTTCGTGCATGTAGACATAAATATTAGCCTGCATTTTTTCAATAATACATAGCACTGGAGCATCTTTCACAGAGTTAATTGAGTCCTGCTTACATATTCAATGTGTAAAATATTTCCATCCTAGCACTATCTAGATGTCAATGGCCACTTGTTTCTGAATTCACTGGCACTAAGACTACACAAACCGGTCACTACAATTATCAACACATCACTCACTTTGATCAGTGAAGAGTATTCAGCAAGGGAAACACTGATTGGTTCAATCTGGGAATCCAAACCAATCAAAAACAGTTTCTTATACTGTCACTGGGCAAAAATGTTTGGGCGGACATGATATAGTTTTAATGACAACATTCTGAACCTCTGGCAGTATAGCATTAGAGGCATAACCGTTCAGCAGTTTTCCCGATAACACACTTCAAGTCAATATCAACTTCACAATCAACCAAGTGGCATGACTCTTAAACTTCTGACAACGGAGGCACAAACAACAGTCAACAAAATAACCCTCAAGACCAACAACTTAACTGTGAGTCATTATGGATTAATGACTTGCTTTCTCCCCATCCAGTTTCACAACGGAATACCACCACCACTACCCGTCCCTCCCTGACGCCAGGTTACTGTCTACCTACAGACAATGGACGTCTCTACCTGGGCTACATTTTCACTCTATGAAATATACCAGGTTCCTCAAAAATTTGCATGTGAATCACTGTAATGTACACAGATGACTCTCATTCTTTTAAAAAATAAAATATTAATGTAAATTCCCCAAAGTTTTCTTTAGATATTTGGATGAAATTCAATTAACCTGTGATGTGACATGTCCTATAGAAATCTATTTCTGGACATTAAAATGTATGTAGCGTCAAGGTATCATGGTATCTGCATTAAAACTCCTGTACACCTAAATACAAATAGGTGAATTTACCCTTGATGATTCGTTACAACCTAAACTAAGAATATTTTAAAAAGAACGCTATCAGTATATAGGGACAGGCACTTAATCTTACCCTTCAAGCATGAGTGTGTTACTTCATTACATCTCTCGTGTCATGCTTAATTGCTGAAGACATAATATTAGCCCAGCGTTTAAGACATACATCTAGTCAGTCATGACAGACTACCACCTCAAGACTACATGTAACACGGACCCATCCAAGGATCACAAAGATCACAAGGATCGCAAAGATCACAAGGATCATGTGGATCACAAGGAACCATTAAGATCACAAGGATCACAAAGATCACAAGGATCACGTGGATCACAAGGATCACGTGGATCACAAGGATCAATGGATCAGAAAGATCACAAGGATCACGTGGATCACGTGGATCACAAGGATCACAAAGATCACAAATCACCACGACAGTACAGCACAGGAACCATGTTTGCAGGTTCAATATTTCAGCAGTGACAGTGAGTCAGAATTAGAAAATAGTAGTCAAAAGAGCAAAAGCAGAGAAAATGGAGAAGACACATGGTTGATCTGTTCAGAAAAAGACTACCATGAATCATCATTACTACACCTGACCAATCTCTAACTAAACTGTCATGCAATCACCATAGATCTAGATCCACTTGATGACTATCTCCTACTGTGTTGCCTAGCTACATCATGATATATAAATCTCTACAAGACATAGTACAAGACATGATTCTGACAGTATTCTAAGTATGCCACAATGTCAGTTTTGATTGGGTGGCAACCCAAACTAATGCTGACCATAGACATTAACAATGAAACCATGAGAACAGGCATGTAGCTGTAAAACTATGGATCATGATCACAGAAATCTGAGACTGAACTCATGGCCAGCTGATCCTGGCAGCTAAAGGGCCACAACTCTGCAGTGAAGAAGTTTCCCACACAGTAGGTTTGTCCTGGCCTCAGCTTCTACATAACTACAAGAGCAATTTGATACCCCAAACAATAACACTGAGACATGAAAACCATAATCTGTGTTCAAGACTTGACAAAATATTATCATGTTATCTTCATATGTGTATGTGATAACAAAACATAAAGAAACATATAAATAGACTTTATGGTGATGCAGCCAATTTTGTTGGTGAGAAATACAAATTAATTATTTTGGTTTGATAAAATGTTTTAGTCATTTCATGACGAAGGAATTTATGAGAAATATGCTCGCAGGTCTGTAAGAGAGATGATGTTTTGTCCTGCTCCAAGTCTTGAACACAAACTTTGCTGAATGAACCATTACTAACAATAAAACCCTCAATCATCTTCAAGTCTCTCGTGTCGAAGTCTCCATCACAGTTTGGGTGCATGATACACAGGTTAAAAACCTTGTCAACCAAAATATTGATGAATATTGAAGCATTAGGCTGCTAAATAATAATGAAAACTGAACATTACGTACACATACATCAACGTAAACGACACAACTTGAACATTTGGAAGTTGTGCGTGAATCAGTACACTAGACACGAGCAGCTCTAGGATGTACCTTCACTTCCACAGATTCAGGAATGGTTTCCACAGAGCGGGCCACTGCAACTCCAGGTCGTCGGAGCGTGAAGGAAGATCGGTCGTGGAACACCACTGCCGTGTCCGACATTCTCCCGGGTGTTCGAATCGGCGAGTCTTCGCTACTTCCTTCGTGGTCGCTCACCTCATACCGTCCGCGTCGAGCTGACATGAACCGACGGATATTGGTTGAGCTCTTGGTTTTGGTACGTTTGATTTTGAAGGTTTTTCTGCTTTTGGCATCTTGTCTTTGTAGGCGATGAGTTCCTGGGTCCGATTCCAGACCTGCCAGAGCAGCCACAAGGTCTGGGTCAGCGAGACGACCACCAGCTGAAACATAGATACATACAATCAGATGAAAATTTACTTCGTCAACTACTGGGGTGAATGGAAATGTCTTGCAGGGTGCTTGATGCTGCTTAATACAGTTTGGGTACTTAATGCTGTAGAATACAGTTTGGGTGTTTAATGCCGTGGAATACAGTCTGGGTGCTTAATGCTGTGGAATACAGCTTGGGTGCTTAATGCCGTGTAATACAGTTTGGGTGCTTAATGCTGTGGAATACAGTTTGGGTGCTTAATGCTGTGGAATACAGTTTGGGTGCTTAATGCTGTGGAATACAGTTTGGGTGCTTAATGCCGTGGAATACAGTTTGGGTGCTTAATGCTGTGTAATACAGTTTGGGTACTTAATGCTGCATAATACAGTTTGGGTGCTTAATGTTGTGTAATACAGTTTGGGTGCTAATGTTGTGTAATACAGTTTGGGTGCTTAATGAGGCTTAATACAGTTTGGGTGCTTAATGCTGCTTCATACAGTTTGGGTGCTTAATGCTGCTTCATACAGTTTGGGTGCTTAATGCTGCATAATACAGTTTGGGTGCTTAATGCTGTGTAATACAGTTTTGGTGCTTAATTCTGTGTAATACAGTTTGGGTATCGTTTTGAACTGTACACGGTAGAAGATCCCACATGATGTCACATGTGATATCAACATTATAAGTCAGGTCATGTTCTAAACTGCAATATAGTATGTACATTTACACTGTTTGAGGCATATAGGAGAATAATTATTCATACTGGGTATGGTTTTACACCACTTTTAGCAATATTCCAGCAATATCACAGCGGGGGACACCAGAAATAAGCTTCACACATTGTACCCATGTGGGGAATTGAACCCGGGACTAAAGGGAAACAAATTTTTGAATGACTCAAACAACTACGGTAGCTTCATGATGTGTCACTTCCACTGGTCAAGTTATTCAAATCACCTTTACTAAAGCATTGCTACAAAGAAGTACAATCTCTGAGCACCGACCTGCTCCATTGGCAGTGTCCAGTTCCTCATTCTCAAACACCACTCTGGCAGGGTCATCAAGACTCGTCTGTTTAGGACAGGTGCCCTCTCAGACAGATGGTTGCTTGGCGCTGAAGCCGGGGTGAGGTTGGCGTTGGAGGCTCTGAGAACATGGCAAATAATCTTTGCAAACCAATGACCACTTGTTTAGAGGCAAACACAATTCCCTAAACAACACGTAACAGATGCTTGATTGGCATTTTAGAAGATGATATTTGATGAACATAAAGATTTTTTCTGGGTTACATCTTCTTTTTATTCTCGAGTACAACGTTTCAGGGCTTGTTCTGGCCCCATCATGAGGTAAACTACATGCAAGTCACACCCATCATGATGGGGCCAGAACAAGCCCTGAAACGTTGTACTCGAGAATAAAAAGAAGATGTAACCCAGAAAAAATCTCTATGTTCAACACGTAACAGGATTTGGTAGGAAGCTAAAGAGGGTGAATTGGTTGAGTGAGATTAACCAATCTGGTCCAGGAACACAAGTCATTTAATGCCTGAACAACAATCCATCACACAATCAGTCAGGTCACACACAACACTCAAATGAATTGTTTCCATCTGCAAACATGGGTTACTTGGGACTGTGCTTCCAAGGCACCTGGGAGCCATTCAATACTTCAGAGTAGGATAAAAACCTTATTCCTCTTATTATGTTACCCTAAAGGATAAATTGTGAAAATGTTCACTTCCTCAGAGAGATTCTTCTGACAAGTGCTCCCTCTCTGCAGTGACTCTTCCAGCTCATGCTGTGACAGAGTTTCCATTTATTTCATATTTATTCACACATTGTAATACATACAATGGAGATATTTTCTCGAGTATGATGACAAGAACAGATGTGATTTTTTGTTTGCATGAATTGTATATCAGACAGACAACTTGCCATCAGAATTAATATTAAGCATGTTTTCTTCAGAGCACAATCAGATCTCATCCAAATGTAATGAAAATATATAGCATGCTTTTTAAGAGTCCAATCTACCCGGGATTGAACATTGCAAATATTCACTGTTTTTTATTGATTCGTTTTTTGCAACAACTTCCCTATTGTGCCATTATAGACATCCTATATCCTACGTTTTGGCCATCACACTAGAAGTGTGACAACCTGTATGACACTACTTCCTATGGTCTGATGACTAAATGTTCATAAATGTCTGGCACTCCAAGTTGGAAAAGAGCCTGGTATTTTGAGCTTACATTTGTGTTTGTTCACCAATTCGTTGTTCTCACTTCACAATGTATTGAAGTCCAAAAAAAATCATAACATTTCAATGTTTGGGCCGTGGATATTTTATCAGACATCAAATTTTCGAACTGCTTCCTAAGATGAAGGGACCATCATGTGACGTACCAGGTGACGTATCATCAACTGTGCTCTTCCTTGTGAACTTCTCCAGGATACGAGTGCCATCCTTGGTAGAGATGCGTTTACTGGACTTCCTCCGTGCAACAGTTGGGCTGTCAGTGCCATCACTTGACACCACAGTGGTCTGTCTTGGCGGGGCGGCGCTGGATGTCGTGCTGGACTGGGAAAAGATGGTACCTGCGGAAGAAAGTCAAAACGGAACGTTGATATCCCAGCCAAATAGCTATGTTCATTAATAGTTTTACACAGCACTCAGCAACATTTCATCAACATGAATGTTGATATCCTGACCAAATACTTTATTTGTTGTTTAACAACACACACTGCAACATTCACTCTACATGAAGACATACTGTAAATAAGTTGACTAATATTTGGTTGCTATGGTAATGACACAACTTATTAGGTTGAGGTACTGATAATGAAAATAACTGACTAGGTGAATATTAACGCCGCATTTCAAACAGACATAGGATGTCAAAATTATGAGTGTTACAAGTAGACTAGTATCATTTATTATATTACGACTAATGGGTCATGCTGAAGAAGAACAAAGTTTTGTTTCCTATTCGTCACAGCTTAAGTTAAGGTATACTCATTTTTATTTATTTATTTATTTTGTCTCATTCGAAGTCATTTCCCAAATGAATGTATGGCTATTTGAAATAAACACGCGAAGAAGTAGTTGCAGCGTTGTTATTCACAATTTCAAACTGAGTCGCATGCCGTGTTTGCCGCTATGTTTGTTCAAGAGGTAACAGGGGCGGAAAACTCTAAATCAAAGTGAACAAATGTGGTACTTCCTGTATTTTGTGCTGCGCATTTATCAACAGAAGTCAACTTAACTATCTGTCACACATACCATCGATGCATTGATAGTTTTTCGTTTCTACTTTCGATTAATTGCTATCGGACACTCAACAGTCACAATCAATCGATAGTTTGATGCATCATTACAGCCCTAATTTCATTTATGGACATTGTTATTGTTTGGGCTGTTAGCTTGTTTCTGGAAGATACTGACAAAGTGCATATAATCACACCCTGATTTGGATAAATCCAACTTCTGGAGCACGTTTTACACTGACAAAGTCATAGAATCAAAGGGGCGTTGGGGTAGCCTAGTGGTTAAAGCGTTGTCTCGTCACGCCGAAGACCCAGGTTCAAATCCCCACAAGGGTACAATGTGTGAAGCCCATTTCTTGTGTTCCCCGCCGTGATGTTGCTGGAATATTGCTAAAAGCAGCGTAAAACCAAACTCAGTCAGTCAGTCATAGAATCAAAGCTACAGCTACCTCTGCTGGCTCTTTTGCCGACACCGGCCAGGTTAGGTTTGGGGTGCCCGAGGATCTCGGCAGTGATCTCAGTGATGCTGGTCCGTGGACGATGGTCCGGATGGGTGTGAGAGTAGTCCGAGTGATCTGTTGCAAAAGTTGCAGTTCTTGATCGGTAACCTGCTGCATAACATGGCTCTTGATTCAAGTGTTTTGGTGAGTTAATAAGGATAATTAGTAGAATATGTGTACGTTGACTCAAGTCATGAGTCTTGAATGTGAGTGGCTAAACACAGACACTGTAACAATACTACACATTTACCAGAGAATGTTTGTTCTCTTCAGTGTCACCTGATGTTTGTAGTGCTCATCCTTGTTTCATTTTTGTTTTTCTATAACCCTCCCCAAAAGAAAAATCTATGTAAATTATCAATAGTGACAATATCTTTGGGGCGTTGGGGTAGCCTAGTGGTTAAAGCGTTGGTTCATCACGCCGAAGACCCAGGTTCAAATCCCCACATGGGTACAATGTGTGAAGCCCATTTCTGATGTCCCCCGCCGTGATGTTGCTGGAATATTGCTAAAAGCGGCGTAAAACCAAAACTCAGTCAGTCAGACAATATCTTTTTCAAACAATGTCTGTTGGCAATGGTAAGCAGCACGCATTTCACTAATGTTAAACAAACTGAGAAACATATTCTGTTAGCAGTACAGCTTAGTGTGTCAAATAACCCATTGCCCGACACCCGAGTCCAGTGGTTTTTTCTGTCGGGCAAGCAAATATGTATATCACACTGTACCGGTGTCCAGTTGATATTCCAATGTTAATTATGTTGTTTATTTAAAAAATCAACAAGAAAACGGCCGGTATAGTGGAAAAATTATCAGGGCAAGTGATTTTACATGTGCCACTGTACCGGAGTACACTAGCAATTTTAAAGTTATTTCCACCCCTGGTGCTATACGTGAGTCTCACCCCCAGTGCTGTTGGGCAGGTCATCACGGAGAGCCTTCAGGTCCGTAGCCAGGTGTAGCAGGATGGTCCCCACAGACTTGGGGTGGGTGAAGCTGTACCCCATCAGCTTGTCCTTCACTATCTGCTGCAGGTAGTACTGCTGGGCCGAATCACATACTGTATATCATTGTCACCTGGGCCGTGTCACAGTTTACCTTCATCATCTGTCAACATGGGGTATACATAGTGTATCATCTGTCAACACAGGGTATATAGAGCGTATCATCTGTCAACACAGGGTATATACAGTATATCATCTGTCAACACAGGGTATACACAGTATATCATCTGTCAACACAGGGTATATAATGTATATCATCTGTCAACACAGGGTATATACTATATATCATCTGTCAACACAGGGTATATACAGTATATCATCTGTCAACACAGGGTATACACAGTATATCATCTGTCAACACAGGGCATATACTGTATATCATCTGTCAACACGGGGTATATACAGTATATCATCAGTCAACTATATCATCTGTCAACATGGGGTATATACAGTATATCATCTGTCAACACAGGGTATATACAGTATATCATCTGTCAACACAGGGTATATACAGTATATCATCTGTCAACACAGGGTATACACAGTATATCATCTGTCAACACAGGGTATATACAGGATATCATCTGTCAACACTGGGTATATACAGTATATCATCTGTCAACACAGGGTATATACAGTATATCATCTGTCAACACAGGGTATATAGAGCGTATCATCTGTCAACACAGGGTATATACAGTATATCATCTGTCAACACAGGGTATACACAGTATATCATCTGTCAACACAGGGTATATACTGTATATCATCTGTCAACACGGTATATACAGGATATCATCTGTCAACACAGGGTATACACAGTATATCATCTGTCAACACAGGGTATACACAGTATATCATCTGTCAACACACGGTATACACAGTATATCATCTGTCAACACAGGGTATATACAGTGTATCATCTGTCAACACAGGGTATACACAGTATTTCATCTGTCAACACAGGGAATATACAGTATATCATCTGTCAACACAGGGTATATACAGGATATCATCAGTCAACACGGTATATACAGGATATCATCTGTCAACACAGGGTGTATACAGTATATCATCTTTCAATGCAGGGTATACACAGTATATCATCTGTCAACACAGGGTATATACAGTATATCCTCTGTCAACACAGGGTATATACTGTATATCATCTGTCAACATATGCCATACAGTATACCATCTGCCAACTTGTGTTGGGAATTGGTTTAAATCTCATAATTGATGATTAGTTCGTCACAACCGATCAATCATCGAAAATAATTGGTTAGCGTCATTTATCTACCTGACTGTGTTTGTTAATGCACATAAAATCTAGAAAAAACATGTAGTTCTTTGGGGTTTTTTTTGAAAATTGTACAAAATGCATTTGAAATTTCGCATCTTGAAAGGATGACTAGTATGTTAGGAACATAAATTTCCTGTAGTCTTTAAGATAAATTCAATCATGACTTGGAACGAGCTTGCAGTGCTTGTGTTATGTAACAGACAAAACCAACCTTGTGAACAATATTGTTAATGCAAACAAGTGTTCCAGAATTGTTTGCGTTCGATTATAAGAAAACCCGCGATCGATTGCTTGGTCGTTTAGTCATTGCGACCAATCATCGATTATTTCAATTAATCGGACCACCACTACTGCCAACACAGTCTAATGACATTGTATCATCTGTCAGCACAGGATATGAACATATTATAATCTGGCTAAATACAGTGATTGACTCTACGAGGCTCTGAAGCTCTGAAGCCTGGTGGAGACTTACCCTGAACTGTATGAAGGTCTGTAGCAACAGGAACAACTACAGCATGTGGTGGAGACTTACCCTGAACTGTATGAAGGTCTGTAGCACCAGGAACAACTACAGCATGTGGTGGAGACTTACCCTGAACTGTATGAAGGTCTGTAGCAACAGGAACAACTACAGCATGTGGTGGAGACTTACCCTGAACTGTATGAAGGTCTGCAGCAACAGGTCTGCAGTGGTGGTAGCAACAGGAACAACTACAGCATGTGGTGGAGACTTACCCTGAACTGTATGAAGGTCTGTAGCACCAGGAACAACTACAGCATGTGGTGGAGACTTACCCTGAACTGTATGAAGGTCTGTAGCAACAGGAACAACGATGGTCTGTGGGTGACGAGGAAATCTAGGAACTTCCACAGTGGCAGGCTCACTGAAACAAAACTTACAATCAACACTATATACCTAACTCAAGACTAGTTACATTAAGTAATACGGAGCACCAGCTCTAAAGGTGCAAAAATTATGAGAATGGTAAATAAATAATGTGACCAATGCTTTGAATCCATACAGCCAGCTATACACTTGAATAATTATCACCATCAAAACTGTATTTTTGTGAAATTTGATTGTTGCAATCCGTCAGATCTTCAGAGAGTTAAATTCCCAACCAACAACTATTAACACTCACAACAGTTTATGCTCAGATACCATTTTGCAAAACAGTTTGTTTCATGAAAAGTCTGGTTTGTTATGAAATAATTCAGGTTTGTGGAGGCTCCGTCCCTTCAACCCTCTCCTCCACCAAATACCACACATCCTTCCACCAGTCTAAGTAAACTTATGCTCAGTATTATTCGTTACACTGCTATACTGAGTCTAACAAACCCTAGTAGAAGATCGCGTCAGCTAACCTTTTGAATTGACCAATCAGAACGGAGCTTACCAAATCGCGAAAAGTTAACATTCGCATATACCGTTTGAACTTTTCCTCAATGATTCCGAATGCTGTTTTCCGCATGATTGCTTCCGAGTGTTACACATGGAGGATGCATTATTCACAACAGCAACAAGCACTGAACATAGCGTTTTTGTCAATATTCCAGGATGTCACCTTGCGGAATTATAAGCTAATAGTAACCATGTAATCAGAAACCCTTATGCATATATACTGCAAGTCAAATATCTGTGTTTTATACGGATTTTCATTTGCTGAGAGATCAGCTGTCAGCTTACAGGGAAGAGAAAACCGTCCAAAAAGTCCGCTCGTAGCCGCCTTTGGTTATTTGATTGACAGTCATAGGTCGCTCAAAGGTTAATTGACGCGACCTTCTACTAGGCTTTGTTAGACTCAGTATAGCAGTGTAACGAGATAATACTGATCCTCCCACCTACCTTTCCCCTTGGACGCCAGCATCTGGATACACTTGGACACTCTGTGCCACTCTGATGCCAGCTGCTTATCGAAACAGATGAGGAGAATCTCTAGGCCTGAAACATCAATTGAAGATATCCCATCACATTAACTAATTACAACTGGTGGTTAATGGATACACAACTAGTTTGTTTTGCCACCATATTTGTCTACTAGTTATAGGAAGCATTCAAGGATGAAAGACGACAACTTAATGAATCAGCAAGACTATTCGAGAATATATGTGTTCATGCCATCAGATGTACAGTGTATGTGATCCATTAATGATATTACACTACTGCTGTTATATGCTCTAGTGGAAATATATTCCACTATCTCTAATTATCAAACATACAATGCTCAAACTTTTCTCTACCTGTTTGCAGCCCTGCATAAAATGTTTCACTAATCTTTCAGTAGTTCTATGCACCTACTTAGGGTACCTGCTGCATTATTCACTTTCATAGGACATCTGCTGCATTACTTGCTTTCGTAGGGCACCTGCTGCATTACTCACTTTCATAGGGCACATGCTGCTTAACTCACTTTCATAGGACACCATCTGCATTACTCACTTTCATAGGGCACATGCTGCTTTTACTCACTTTCATAGGGCACCTGCTGCATTACTCACTTTCATATGGCACCTGCTGCATTACTCACTTTCATAGGGAACTTGCTGCATTACCTACTTTCATACAGCACCTGCTGCATTACTCAACTTATTAGGGCACCTGCTGCATTACTCACTTTCATAAGGCACCTGCCACATTACTCACTTTTCATAGGGCACCCTGCTGCATTACTCACTTCTCATAGGGCACTTGCTGCATTATCCACTTTCATACAGCACCTTCTGCATTACTCAACTTATTTGGGCACCTGCTGCATTACTCACTTTCATACAGCACATGTTGCATTACTCAACTTATTAGGGCGCCTGCTGCATTACTCACTTTCATAAGGCACTTACCACATTACCACTTTCATAGGGCACTTGCTGCATTATCCACTTTCATACAGCACCTTCTGCATTACTCAACTTATTAGGAGCACCTGCTGCATTACTCCACTTTCATACAGCACCTGTTGCATTACTCAACGTATTAGGGCACCTGCTGCATTACTCACTTTCATACAGTACCTGCTCCATTACTCAACTTATTAGGGCACCTGTGGCATTACCCACTTTCATACAGCACCTGCTGCATTACTCTCGTAAATGATCACCCGCAGTCTTTGTTATTCACCTACATGTGGCACTTGCTACATGCCTTATGTTCATAGGGTACCTGCTGTATTACTCACTTAAATTGACACCTCCAATGTTTGTTACTCACTAATACATGTCAACTGCTGCATTACTCACCTGCCACCCACATGATGAAATATTCACCAACATGCCACATATAAGCCACCTGTTGTTACTCACCTACATAAGCCACCTGTTGTTACTCACCTACATAGGCCACCTGTTGTTACTCACCTACATAGGCCACCTGTTGTTACTCACCCACATAGGCCACCTGTTGTTACTCACCTACATAGGCCACCTGTTGTTACTCTCACCTACATAGGCCACCTGTTGTTACTCACCTACATAGGCCACCTGTTGTTACTCACCTACATAGGCCACCTGTTGTTACTCACCCTACATAAGCCACCTGTTGTTACTCACCTACATAAGCCACCTGTTGTTACTCACCTACATAAGCCACCTGTTGTTACTCACCTACATAGGCCACTTGTTGTTACTCACCTACATAGGCCACTTGTTGTTACTCATTGTTACTCACCTACATGCCAAACATAAGCCACCTGTTGTTACTCACCTACATAAGCCACCTGTTGCTGGTGATCACTGACGAGCTTGGCAGTGTTCTTGTCGGTGTTGGAGAGGCTGCTGCACCTGCCGTACTCGTTGATGGTCAACGTGTTCTTCGTATTGTTCTGCGTGGCTGGAGTCTTGGATGACGGACTCAACAGATTGGTGATGAGGGTCAGAATAAACACCACGTCCCTCTCCTCCAACTTTGGAATGTCTGGATTAAGATATATGGATGTGATAAGTTTCTGCTGCTAATACTGACGAAGATTTGTACAAATGTTATAAATACATTATATCACTCTAATATCAGGGTTAGATTCTCATCAGGATCAAATTCTCTTTCTCTTAACCAGAGGTGAAGTATGTCTACAGCCCAAACATTAAGGACTGCATTTCAAGCTGAGTACTTGACTAACAAAGACAAAAGGTCAAATACCCCAATGGAATTTTCCCCAGGGAGTTGAGATGGTTAAAAAGAATGAAGGAAAAGAGATCCATTGATCAAGGGAACACTCCACCGCCTTGAGCATGTACTAGTTGCGTGTGATATACATATCCTATAATCATAATAATAATCAAAACCTTCTGATTAGAAATTATCTTTAAATACATCTCCTAAACAAGGTACAGAGAACAACAGATTGTGATGCTGAACACACAAATTGACTTTGCTGGGGCCTAATGAGAAATAACAGTTTCTCTCCTTGGGGTGCCTTATCAGCAGCCTGACCCACCTCTCCGACCACACCCAACTCGGATACAGAGTGGCAAGATGAAGTTGACCAGCATGTTGAGTGTCTTGTCCGTTGTCTGGAAGGATGACGGCCCACCACAGATCTGCTCCAGGGTCCACTGTTCCTGTACAAGTAGAAACTCAGAGTTGAACAGAAATTCAGAGCTGTTCACATTTGTAAATTGTTGGAAATAAAATAAAATCATAACCAAAACTTGCACTGCATCTCTCCTTTAGAGATATGGGGGTTCAGTAATTTGAAAACAACCTTACAACGTTTCAAGTTATTTGGAATTTTTTTTTCAAAGTTCACATTTGTAAATTTCTGCAAAGAAAACAGTAAAAAAGCAGAATAAAACAACTGCACTGCATTTCTCCATTACACAAAGAAAGTTGAAAACAATCCAACCAATCGTGTTTAAGTTACTGGATGAATGTGACAATCATGTGAACAAAAATGTCTTCGGACGAACACATGGATGGACTGACGGAATTCCTTGGTATAAGTATATACCCCCATCCTTTTTAGCAGGATATTATATGGAAGCGTGGAGGGCTGGCTGCTTGTACTAGTCCCGACTTGTAGCAGTTTCATAGTTCTAGCCCAGTCAGAGACTATTTCACAGTCAGACACAATACACTGAGTCCAGTTTAATGCCAAGCACTAGGCAAGAAAGCAACCAGTGCTGATGTATTCTTTTTGCATTCATCCATGTACCTACATGGATGAAGTTTAAGTTTAACATTTAATTCCATAACATGTTAGACATTCATTCAACAAGTGACTACTTCTCTCCACTTGCTTCATTTGTTGTTTCACGACTCACGCATTCAAATTCATTAAGGCCTGATTGGGTACTCACCTCTGTAAGCCAGTACATCTCATGGTGAGGGGGTCGTACGGGGCCAACTTGAGCAGGGTGTGGGCAATCTCAGCCAGCCTCTGGGGACACAACACAGTAATCTCATTCAGGTAATATACAAATACAAACATTTCATGTAAATAATGTCCAACCCTAATAACATCCCCCTGATGACGGACACCGTCTTAGGCAGTTCCTTTGCAGTAGACAACTATAGGTTATGAATACTTCATCCACAAGCAAACACGTCTCCTTAAAAAACATATTGTCAGATTCCCAATACAAGGTAGCCTGACCCTCTTCTTTTTCTAAAAGTTTTAATTGCCTCTAGAGTTGTCAAACTAGTTGCATTCTGTACTGGATGACATGACACAATGCCTAACACTAGTGCTGTGACAGGAATAATGTTCCATGAATAACTTTGGAATTTTTAGAGAGATAAGAAGCACGAATGCTGAGGATATATATTCTGAAGAGGAATCTTCACACAGAGACCAGCTTGGGGTGCATGGAGACTTACAGGGGTTATTAATAAAAAAGCATGAGTTTCTGAGCATACATTGTGAGTCTTGTGGTCCAGCAGGTCAGGAGTCCTGAAGAGAGGGTCGGCCAGAATCTTCCTCAGTTCCCGCAGTCGGCTCACGCTTGTCGTGTAGAACTCCGCCAGAATGGACAGAATGGAATCACGCGGTTTTCTGAACTCAGTGCGAAGTTCAAGGTCTTCAGGGTCAGGGGTGAAGGCCTTTCTGCGACCTTCTTCCATGTAACGACTGCAGACAAAAATCAACAAATGTCAAAATATTTCTCACAGTATAGTCTGGAATTGGTGAGTACATGTTCACGAAGTGTTGTTCTAATGTGACCTGCAAGGTGATGTCCTCACGTCTTTGTCTCGCAGTAGTTAGAACTAAGCTGATAACAACAATGGACAAATCCTGAACTCATCAGACAAGGGAGGCTGAAAGTTGCATCTGAGAAAACAGATAAACCAGTGTCTGGAGTCACACTACCTGGCATGCGAGTCCTCCCTGTCATCCATCGTGAGGGAGTGTACGCTGTGATTCTGTACGGGCTTGCTGGTGTTGACTGCCTCCACGTAGCGCTGCGGCAGACTCATGTTCCTGCCAAAACACATGGTGACAGTAACACTCTGTACCAATGATCCTGGTTTACGTTACATGGTTATTGCACTAATATCTTCTAAACACATTGTTGTGTATGATTATCTAATGACTAAATACCCAGAACAACTGATGGTATGCTGTTTTCAAGCCCCCTCCCTCTACAGTGACGATCCCAGACCAGTGGGTGTGTACCTGGTGAAGTATTCACAGCAGCTGATGAGAGAACGGAGAGAGGATGCAATGCTGGAGATGAGAGAGATCTCGGCACGGGCAGCGCTGGGGTTGTCTCTCTGTGTTGTCTCCCGCTTCAGATGCTGTAGGTAGCGTGGCACCAACACCTCCAGCACAGTCTGTAAAGAGATTCAGTTAACAACATGCTCAGTTAACTTCTCACCATCTGTTAACATCACATAGTTAACATAACACTGAAGCAACCTGCTCAATCTGTAAACATCCTAATGTCAGTTGACATCACAATGAGTCTACTTATGTGAAAAGCCTTAACTTTAACCAACAGTCCCCTCCTCTCTCCTCATCCTGACACCTGCTCTTCCCTGTCATGAGACCTGTTCTCTATCTTTGTCCTGACACCTGCTCTGTCCCTGTCATGAGACCTGTTCTCTATCTTTGTCCTGACACCTGCTCTGTCCCTGTCATGAGACCTGTTCTCTATCTTTGTCCTGACACCTACTCTGTCCCTGTCATGAGACCTATTCTCTATCTTTGTCCTGACACCTGCTGTCCCTATCATGAGACCTGTTCTCTATCTTTGTCCTGACACCTGCTGTCCCCATCATGAGACCTGTTCTCTATCTTTGTCCTGACACCTGCTGTCCCCATCATGAGACCTGTTCTCTATCTTTGTCCTGACACCTGCTGTCCCCATCATGAGACCTGTTCTCTATCTTTGTCCTGACACCTGCTCTGTCCCCGTCATGAGACCTGTTCTCTATCTTTGTCCTGACACCTGCTCTGTCCCTGTCATGAGACCTGTTTTCTATCTTTGTCCTGACACCTGCTCTGTCCCTGTCATGAGACCTGTTCTCTATCTTTGTCCTGACACCTGCTCTGTCCCTGTCATGAGACCTGTTTTCTATCTTTGTCCTGACACCTGCTCTGTCCCTGTCATAAGACCTGTTCTCTCTCCTCATCCTGACACCTGCTCTGTCCCTGTCATGAGACTTGTTCTCTATCTTGTCCAGACACCTGCTCTGTCCGTCATGAGACCTGTTCTCTATCTTTGTGCTGACACCTGCTCTGTGCCTGTCATGAGACCTGTTCTCTATCTTTGTGCTGACACCTGCTCTGTCCCTGTCATGAGACCTGTTCTCTATCTTTGTGCTGACACCTACTCTGTCCCTGTCATGAGACCTGTTCTCTATCTTTGTCCTGACACCTGCTCTGTCCCTGTCATGAGACCTGTTCTCTATCTTTGTGCTGACACCTGCTCTGTCCCTGTCATGAGACCTGTTCTCTATCTTTGTGCTGACACCTGCTCTGTCCCTGTCATGAGACCTGTTCTCTATCTTTGTCCTGACACCTGCTCTGTCCCTGTCATGAGACCTGTTCTCTATCTTTGTCCAGACACCTGCTCTGTCCCCGTCATGAGACCTTGTCTCTATCTTTGTCCTGACACCTGCTCTGTCCCTGTCATGAGACCTGTTCTCTATCTTTGTCCTGACACCTGCTCTGTCCCTGTCATGAGACATGTTCTCTATCTTTGTCCTGACACCTGCTCTGTCCCTGTCATGAGACCTGTTCTCTATCTTTGTCCTGACACCTGCTCTGTCCCTGTCATGAGACCTGTTCTCTATCTTTGTGCTGACACCTGCTCTGTCCCTGTCATGAGACCTGTTCTCTATCTTTGTCCTGACACCTGCTCTGTCCCTGCCATGACCCTGATTTAATCCCCATCTAACACCACTGCTCTGTCAACTCCTGATTTAGCCCTGCACTGTTTTCCAATTCCATGTACTACCCAAGTCCAAGTGTACAACTGTCACATCTCACCAGCATCTGGCCGCTGCGGAAGGAGTCGGGGGAGTAGGCGATCACGGTGATGCACATGTTGATCACATCCAGCATGTTGAAAGTGTCCGAGTCATTCTCGTAACAGAAGTCCTACAAAGACAAAACAAGCTGAAAGAAACTCTGAATTTCTAAAAAAAAGTTACGCATTCACTCCTATTTGTCGCACCTCACTGGTATCCAACCATACAATAAGAAACAAGTCATTAAACAGTCAGTTGACTTCAGTCTCCTACCAGAGCTTTGAGCGGCTTCTCTCCTCTGACCAGGTCCAGGGTGCCGAGCGTGTCGGGACAGTCTTTCTCCAGAGCCAGGAGCAGCTTGAACAAGGAGCTGGGCTGGACCTGTGGCAGACACGTACACTGATCATCCTGTACGTGATTGTGTATATTGTTTGATTGACTGTATTTATGTTTACTATAGGCCTGTGGCCTCCTGAGTACGGAAATATATAAGTAAAGACAGACACCTCATTCAGCAATATTCCAAATACAACTTGATGGAACTCCTACATCCGTATGTCCCCGCACGCAACTTGCGCTCAAACACACAAAATCTACTGGTCATCCCATCCTACAAACTGAAATCCTTTGGATACTGCCCGTTCTCTAACTCTGCACCCGTGCCTTGGAACTCTCCTTTGTGCAATTAAAAGCTCTGACACAATTGACAATTTTTAGTCCACACTTAAAACCCACCTTTTCTCAGCATATTACTTATAATTTCAGCTGTAAATACTCCAGTGTAAACATGCGGAATATGTGGAGTGTGGAATATGCATTTATTATAACCAAAACTGCTTTGGTTCCAAACAAGATGATCTCAGCCAATGTGTACTGACCTTACTACAGTCAATAATGCCCCCTGCAGCACAGGTCATGTCCAAAATGGGGGCCACGCTGCCAAACATCTGCAGGATGAAGGGTTTCCTGTGGAGGACGTAGAACTGGCGGCACACAAAGTGGATGGCCTTCTTCAGCACCAGGTTTGGCTGGTTGTTGCTGTACACTCGCAGCAGAGTCGGCATAATGTAGAGGAACCTGGACACAGACAACACGACTCACTGATTGGTTTCTTTGATTCCCTGTCGGAGCACAACATTATAACACCAAAAGGGAACTGTGTCATTGTATATCATATGTATTGCATGAGGCTGGAGTATCATGAGCCATAATATGTATTTGTTTGTTGTTTAACGCCTCTCTCAGTAATGCTTCAGTTATACCATGGCGGTATATATATATAAGGGAGTCTGGACCAGACAATCAAGTGATCAACATCATGAGCATCAATCTACACAGTTGGGATACTATGCCTTGTGTTTAAGTCAGCAAGCCTGACCACCCAATCCCATTAGTCTTACAACAAGCATGGGTTACTGAAGACCAATTCTAACCAGGATCTTCATGGGTCTGTGAAATGTATCATTATGTATCGTATATCATGTATCATTATGTATTGTATATCATGTATCATTAGGTATCATATATCATGTATCATTAGGTATCATATATCATGTATCATTAGGTATCATATATCATGTGTCATTAGGTATCATATATCATGTATCATTAGGTATCATATATCACGTATCATTAGGTATCATATATCATGTTTCATTAGTTATCGTATATCATGTGTCATTAGGTATCGTATATCATGTATCATTAGGTATCATATATCATTAGTTATCGTATATCATGTATCATTAGGTATCGTATATATCATGTATCATTAGGTATCGTATATCATGTATCATTAGGTATCGTATATCATCTGTCATTAGGTATCGTATATCATGTATCATTAGGTATCATATATCATGTATCATTAGGTATCATATATCATGTATCATTAGGTATCATATATCATGTGTCATTAGGTATCATATATCATGTATCATTAGGCATCATATATCAGTATCATTAGGTATCACAACATGATCCTATTTTCATTAGTTATCCCACAAATACTGTTATTAGGTATCGTGATATCATGTATCATTATCATATATCATTAGCCATGTATCATTAGGTATCGCATGTATCATTAGGTATCTCTGTCATAGGTCATATCATGTATCATTAGGTATCGTATATATCATGTGTCAGGCATATTGCATGAGGCTGGGGCATCATACAGTATCATTCACAACATGACCTATTTTCACCCACAAATACTGTTACTTATTATCTATTGCCATTCGCCTCCTATCAAACCTTACACGATGAGGCTAGACAGCATCGACCCAATAATAACTGTCTGATTATCAAAGATGTATTACTCACCCATTTGTCGGAGAAGATGTGTTTGAAGTGTCTGGAGGTGTATAACTCACCCATTGGTTGAGAAGATGTGTTTGAAGTGTCTGGAGGTGTATAACTCACCCATTGGTGGAAATATGTGTTTGAAGTGTCTGGAGGTGTATAACTCACCCATTGGTGGAGAAGATGTGTTTGAAGTGTCTGGAGGTGTATAACTCACCCATTGGTGGAGAAGATGTGTTTGAAGTGTCTGGAGGTGTATAACTCACCCATTGGTGGAGAAGATGTGTTTGAAGTGTCTGGAGGTGTATAACTCACCCATTGGTGAAGAAGATGTGTTTGTCTGGAGGTGTATAACTCACCCATTGGTGGAGCAGATGTGTTTGAAGTGTCTGGAGGTGTATAACTCACCCATTGGTGGAGAAGATGTGTTTGAAGTGTCTGGAGGTGTATAACTCACCCATTGGTGGAGAAGATGTGTTTGAAGTGTCTGGAGGTGTATAACTCACCCATTGGTGGAAGAAGATGTGTTTGAAGATGTAACTCACCCATTGGTGGAGAAGATGTGTTTGAAGTGTCTGGAGGTGTATAACTCACCCATTGGTGGAGAAGATGTGTTTGAAGTGTCTGGAGGTGTATAACTCACCCATTGGTGGATGTGTTTGAAGTGTCTGGAGGTGTATAACTCACCCATTGGTGGAGAAGATGTGTTTGAAGTGTCTGGAGGTGTATAACTCACCCATTGGTGGAGAAGATGTGTTTGAAGTGTCTGGGGGTGTATAACTCACCCATTGGTGGAGAAGATGTGTTTGAAGTGTCTGGAGGTGTATAACTCACCCATTGGTGTGTTTGAAGAAGATGTGTTTGAAGTGTCTGGAGGTGTATAACTCACCCATTGGTGGAGAAGATGTGAAGTGTCTGGAGTGTCACCCATTGGTGGAGAAGATGTGTTTGAAGTGTCTGGAGGTGTATAACTCACCCATTGGTGGAGAAGATGTGTTTGAAGTGTCTGGAGGTGTATAACTCACCCATTGGTGGAGAAGATGTGTTTGAAGTGTCTGGAGGTGTATAACTCACCCATTGGTGAAGAAGATGTGTTTGAAGTGTCTGGGGGTGTATAACTCACCCATTGGTGGATAAGATGTGTTTGAAGTGTCTGGAGGTGTATAACTCACCCATTGGTAGAGAAGATGTGTTTGAAGTGTCTGGAGGTGTATAACTCACCCATTGGTGGAGAAGATGTGTTTGAAGTGTCTGGAGGTGTTGATTAGCGAAGCCAGGCAGTATCGTAGAATGGCCGTGTCCTCAAACAGCAGCACGATGGTGCCGTTGATGACGTTGAGGAACAGTAGCATATCATTGGACCAGGCAAATGTAGGTGACATGGAGTCGAACATTTTCGTCATAAGCTGCAGAAATAGAAAATAGATGAGTACTCACTCTTTGACACAGAATCGTCAAACAACATATTGGAACTTGAATTCAGTCCATCATTACTGTGATTTTTCCAAAGAAACCAGCTACTCGGTGTAAGCACTCAACATAGAACATCAAAGTTAACCTATCTCAAAAGCTCAGTGAATTGTAGCTCCTTAAACAATTATTATTGTTACTGGTAAAGACGACTGGTTAAAGCTGTGGTTTGCCCACGTTTATTTCTCAACAAAGGTACAATATGTGAAGCCCAATTTTGGTGACCACAGCTGTGATATTGCTGGAATATTGCTGAAAACAGCATAAACAACACTCACTCACTCACTATGATCATTATTACATATATTTGTAATCTAAAGTGTTGGCCTAGAAATTCAATCAACTTCTGTTCCATATTTACCCAACACATGCCAGATGAGCTAAATGATCACAAATCTACATATTAATGACCTTCAGTACAAGCACTAATAAAGTCAAATTTATTATTTACATTTTCAGGGGTGGAAATAACTTTAAAATTGTTAGTGTATCCGGTACAGTGGCACATGTAAAATCACTTGCCCTGATAATTTTTCCACTATACCAGCCGTTTTCTTGTTGATTTTTTAAATAAACAACATAATTAACATTGGAATATCAACTGGATACCGGTACAGTGTGATATACAAATTTGCTTGCCCAACAGAAAAAAACACTGGACTCTGGCGTTGGGCAATGGGTTATTTCCACCCCTGCATTTTACCAGAGTCAGACAGCTCACCTTAGTCCATGTGTACTTGTGTAGCATGTCCATGCCATACAGTTCCTATCAACACACACAACACATGGCAGTATATGACATAGTAATAGTTACTCTCATATGCAGAAAACACAACCAGTAAGTCTAATCAGTGTCAGTCAATGTCTAACACTGTAAAACCTGGAACTTGTCCAGTTCTCAGCCAATACTGAACCATAATTAATCCTGAATTTAAGACATCAGTTTATCATCAAGTAGAATCTGGCTAATCCAGACAGTCATTACAGCAGAAACTTCTTTGAGAGGCATTTTAGAAGTTGTGTAGATGAAGGAAAACCAAGTTCTATGGATAGTCAACTTCTTTATTGCAATGAGTGCGACGTTTCAGTGTAGGTACTAACACCGTTCATCGCTTGATAACGGTGTTAGTACCTACACCGAAACGTCGCACCCATTGCAATAAAGAAGTTGACTATCCATAGAACTTGGTTTTCCTCCATTACAGCAGAAGGCTGATGTTTCCATTCTACGTACCTTTCCCCAAGGCCCATGGTACATGTCAAATTCCGCTTCCAGAGCTTTCCGTGGAAACGCCGGGTGTTTGAGGAACTCCTCATGCAGGAACGAGACGTGGTTCTGGATCTGAGAATCAAAAGGTTGTCTTCTTCATACCCAACACTTAGACTAAAACATAAGTGAGAAGGTTCTCTAACACAACTTTCATATTGTGGCACGTCAGCTAAGACAGCATCACTTTGGAATGCTATCTTATCTTGTTACTCTGGATGATGTCACGTTTCCATGACAACTGAATTCACCTGGGGAGGCGAGGTGAAATTGGGTTTAACGTCGTGCTTGAGAATATTTCGCTCATATGACGACGTGCATGCGTGTTGATGTGTATGTGCGGCTGCTTGTACTAGCCCAGACTTAAGCAGGTTTTATAGTGCTAGCCCACTGAAATACCATGCCGCAGTGAAGTATGAATACCCCACTCAGACACATTATATTGACTCCGAGCCGACCAGTCCTTGTTGTACCCATTAATGCCGAGCGCCAGGCAGGGACCAACAAGTACCATATTTTAACGTCTTTTGGTATAACGCGGTCGGGGATCAAACCCGTGACCTTCCGCTCTCTGGGCGGACGCTCTAACCACTACACCACGGAGGCGGTCAAATTCACCTGGTAAGCATGTGTAGTATCATAGTTGTTCTGCTAAATATTGATCACATTTCATATCTTATAAACACAGCATCCATCAAGCCAAATGGCACATATTCTGACATTTTAAATTAAGAAATACTCACAAATGTATTCATCTGACACAAAAAGTCCAGAAGATTTCCTGATATCAAATTCCTATATTTCTTAATCAGACCAACTGAGCACACACTTAATTTTTGTCAGCAATTACTCCATATCCCCTTCCCAGGGTGCTTCTCCCTACCTGGTGTTGTGGGGTGCTGCCAAGCACTGCTGTAGTGAACCTACCTGGTGTTGTGGGGTGCTGCCAAGCACTGCTGTGGTGAACCTACCTGGTGTTGTGGGGTGCTGCCAAGCACTGCTGTAGTGAACCTACCTGGTGTTGTGCCAAGCACTGTGGTGCTGCCAAGCACTGCTGTAGTGAACCTACCTGGTGTTGTGGGGTGCTGCCAAGCACTGCTGTAGTGAACCTACCTGGTGTTGTGGGTGCTGCCAAGCACTGCTGTAGTGAACCTACCTGGTGTTGTGGGGTGCTGCCAAGCACTGCTGTAGTGAACCTACCTGGTGTTGTGGGGTGCTGCCAAGCACTGCTGTAGTGAACCTACCTGGTGTTGTGGGGTGCTGCCAAGCACTGCTGTAGTGAACCTACCTGGTGTTGTGGGGTGCTGCCAAGCACTGCTGTAGTGAACCTACCTGGTGTTGTGGTGCTGCCAAGCACTGCTGTAGTGAACCTACCTGGTGTTGTGGGGTGCTGCCAAGCACTGCTGTGAGTGAACCTACCTGGTGTTGTGGGGCTGCCAAGCACTGCTGTGTAGTGAACCTACCTGGTGTTGTGGGGTGCTGCCAAGCACTGCTGTAGTGAACCTACCTGGTGTTGTGGGGTGCTGCCAAGCACTGCTGTAGTGAACCTACCTGGTGTTGTGGGGTGCTGCCAAGCACTGCTGTAGTGAACCTGGTGTTGTGGGTGCTGCCAAGCACTGCTGTAGTGAACCTACCTGGTGTTGTGGGGTGCTGCCAAGCACTGCTGTAGTGAACCTACCTGGTGTTGTGGTGGTGCTGCCAAGCACTGCTGTAGTGAACCTACCTGGTGTTGTGGGGTGCTGCCAAGCACTGCTGTAGTGAACCTACCTGGTGTTGTGGGGCACACTGCTGTAGTGAACCTACCTGGTGTTGTGGGGTGCTGCCAAGCACTGCCGCACTGCTGTGGTGAACCTACCTGGTGTTGTGGGGTGCTGCCAAGCACTGCTGTAGTGAACCTACCTGGTGTTGTGGGGTCCTGCCAAGCACTGCTGTGGTGAACCTACCTGGTGTTGTGGGGTGCTGCCAAGCACTGCTGTAGTGAACCTACCTGGTGTTGTGGGGTGCTGCCAAGCACTGCTGTAGTGAACCTACCTGGTGTTGTGGGGTGCTGCCAAGCACTGCTGTGGTGAACCTACCTGGTGTTGTGGGGTGCTGCCAAGCACTGCTGTAGTGAACCTACCTGGTGTTGTGGGGTGCTGCCAAGCACTGCTGTAGTGAACCTACCTGGTGTTGTGGGGTGCTGCCAAGCACTGCTGTGGTGAACCTACCTGGTGTTGTGGGGTGCTGCCAAGCACTGCTGTGGTGAACCTACCTGGTGTTGTGGGGCACTGCTGTAGTGAACCTACCTGGTGTTGTGGGGTGCTGCCAAGCACTGCTGTAGTGAACCTACCTGGTGTTGTGGAGTGCTGCCAAGCACTGCTGTAGTGAACCTACCTGGTGTTGTGGAGTGCTGCCGAGCACTGCTGTGGTGAACCTACCTGGTGTTGTGGAGTGCTGCCGAGCACTGCTGTAGTGAACAGCACCTTCCCAATGTCCACAAACTTCAGAGTGAAAACCTGCAAGTGGGAAGGAATACAGATCCTTTATTGTGTCAGGAGTATTAGTCGAAGGTGTAACATTACTGATGTCTGATGCTGTGTACAGTAACATTTACATCCTGGAAAATCCACCTGAGGTTTTACACAATATTCAGTTGGCACAAATGCATAGGACGGATGCAGAATGAAAAAATCACAAATAATGCACATGAATATTCATCATACCAAATTATTGACAATAAATATATACGGCCTGTAAGTAAAAACAATCATAAAATCTTACAGTACATTACATCTTTGGATTTGGTTACAAAGCCCTACATGTTTCCTGTAAGGACCTTTGGAGAAAACATTTATTGGGATTTCTGAACCTCCAGTTTTGTAAGTCGAGGTAAAACCTGCTCATTCATCTTAAACCCTTGTCTAGTGATCTGTGCAATCAGCAGGGATAAATCTACCCCAGCGTCCCACATCTCTGACGCAATAAATTCTGACAGGACTCATATATTTTTTACATGTGCGTCCTCCTGGACGCAAGCTTTTGATGAAACACTAATGGGTTTTTTTGTGGAGAGGCAATATCAAAGTATACATGGCTAAATCTTCGTAGAATAACTTCCATTCTCAAATAATTGACGTGAGCTAATAAGTACACATTATTTTTAAAACGATCGCAGCTTTAGGGAGGTAAGCGGTATGCAAATGAGATCCCAAGATTCATTGCTCGAGCATGTGCAAAACTACTAACCTAGTTTTTACACTCTATAAATAGACACAAACATGCTAAGGGAGGTAAGCGATATGCAAATGAGGTTTTTCAAGACAAACTGATTGGTCAATGAACATTGTGACTCGGAATCCACAGTGTGGAGACAAAATCTGAGCTCTCAGTACCAGTTAGAGAAAAGCAGGAAGCTTTAGTCAGTAGCTGAACAACTGTTAAATCTATCTGCATGTAATTTGAAAGTGAAGTGACATTTGACAGGGTTAAAGTTCTGCTGAAATAGAATTGCATTCTGAATCTCAAGTCCTGGAAAAGTAATCATATAAATGAATCATTTCATTTATAATTATGATGACATTTATGATATAATTCATTCAATGTTAATAGTTAAAGTAAGACAGTTACTATTTGTGTTTGTACTTGTTAAAGTGGCTTCAAGTTGGCATATTTCTTTTGATCTAATTTGTTTTTGAATCACTGAACATAGTGAAGAAATAAAACAAAACTTTGGTTGGAATTGAAGAACTTCATTCACAAAATATTACAGAGAAATTACATGGGTCTGGCTAGTAACTTTTTATTTTTCTAGTAAAAGAAAACATTTGCTTTTCAAAGGTCATGTAGAGCCCTGCTGTTATTTTTATAATATAGCAGTCGACATGCCGCCCAGATAGATACTGTCAGAAAACACAAAGTTAGGACATTTCAGTCAGGTTAGCCGAATACTCATCGGTTATGGCTGACTTATGACAGGGAAGGTGATTTAATATTTTGTAAACTATGTACTGAAAAAGGTATGACACAAAATGCTAAATGCAGAAATTTTTAAAATATAACATTGACCAGACATCTCATCATAATGATAATAAACTGTCCGTTCAGGCTCCAAAACTTTGTGATGATTTCCAGGTTGCAACTGCACGTATGTATGAAAAACAAGACAAAGCAGATGTCGCCTTGATGAAATCTGTTCATTGGATAGCTTTGAAAACATCCCACTGACAAAGTTTAAACGTTTTGTTGACTTTTTATATGAATTTGAAAACGAAGACATTGGAATTCTCAAGGAAGGTAAAATCAACTATGATTCTCCAACCACTGCCAGTGATCTGTTAACATCGGTGTCTGATGTGATAGGGTATGAACTACAAGTTAAAATGGAAGAGTCTCCATTTGTTACGATTTAGGTACTACCAGCTCTGTTCTGTGAAATATCCCAGACCGGTCAGACTCACCAGTGCAACCTATAGTAACAATAAACCAGTTTGAATAATATTTGTGGCATTAATTTTTGTTAGGGACTCATAAAAGTTCTGAGGGACTCATAGTTATTCAGCTCAGTGAGTCCCGGGACTCAGGCAGTTGAATTTGTAGATTTATCACTGAATCAGTCACAGAAAATGTAAAGAGGAAAACCTAATACGTATGTAACATACAAGGAAACAAGTCTATAAGTATTGGAACTGACTGCCAAATTAATTGTCTTAAAATGGGGAATGAGCAATGCATGTGACACCAGTGACGCAAACCTAGTTGTACCATTTCATTGATGGTTGGAGAGGGACCAAAGAAAGAAATAATACTCCTGAAATTGGATTATTGTTGTGGGTTACAGAAATTCTCATTCCCAAATTTCATGGGATTGAAGTCTCACTTTGGTCCTACATTCCACCAAACCAATGAAATTCTGCAACTTGACATAGTAAACTTTTGCACAACTACATTTGACATATAGGTAAGATAAAGGCCTATTTACAAACATCTACAAATTCAGTATAAGTAAACCTTTCCATCAGCCAATTCTATAATCTGTTACATTCATATCATTGAGTTTCAAACATAGTTTCAGTTATCACTACACAGTGCCAATTAGAAAGTGCTTAATAGTAACATATGTTATACTTGGGATTACACTTTCTTAGTAAAGTACAGATCCTAGTACTTTTGTTGGGTTGAGTCCCATCCGGGATTCGAACCCACATCCTCAGAGTCAGGCACCTAATCGCCAGCACACAAACTCAGCTGCCTAACCCTCTCAGCCAATGCGACTTCCAGAAAAATTGAATTTGGACAACTGGTAGTCTAGACAGCAGACTTTGTGTACCCCTATGATAAGTGTGAATTGGCATGGCTCTGCCCGGATTGGACTTAACAAAAGTACTAGAATCTGTACTTTACTAAGAAAGTGTAATCCGAAATATAACATGTGTAACATAATTTCAGTTCATCAAATCTACAATGTGAACGATCAATTGTTCATACCCTCTTCTGCAGAGCCAGGAAGGCGTCATCTGGGTTCATACGGACGAGACTCAGTTGAGGATAGAAGTTCCGTCGGAAGAAGTAGAAGTCACGGACGTAGGAGTTGAGATTCTGGATCTGGTCTGAATGATGAAGGAGATCATTTGTAACAGTGAGTGAGTGAGTTTACTTTTACGCCACACTCAGCAATATTCCAGCTATGTGGCAGCGGTCTGTAAATAATCAAGTCTGGACCAGACAATCCAGTGATCAACAGCATGAGCATCAATCTGTGCAATTGGGAACCGATGACATGTGTCAACCAAGCCGGCGAGCCTGACCACCCGATCCCGTTAGTCGTCTCTTACAACAAGCATGGATACTGAAGATCAAGTCTAACCCGGAACATCACGGGTCGATTTGCAACAACATGTTTGTTTGTTTGTTTGTTTGTTTGTTTGCTGTTTAGTGCCATACTCAGCAACATTTCATCTACATGACAGTGGGCTATATATAATGGAGTCTTGACCAGGCAATCCAGTGATTGGTGTTATGGTCAGTGAATCACACAGTCAGGGTATGGTATCATGCAGCCACCAATACAACACCGTATTTTGCAGTCATCTTCAAATCAATGACTAGGTCATGGAATAGTGATGGAATAAACATCCTAAAAGATCCATATATTGTATTGTGTAATATATAAGAACCTTTCGACTGATTTATATTTTAGAATCAATAATGTGTATCATGGTCTTGTTTGACAAATACATTTAAAATAAGGAAATAGTTGCAGGAAGTCTGGCTTTACAGACAGTTAATGTTTTATAATGAACATGCTAGTGAGTGTTTCATCGACAGCGTGGAGTACGTACAGGTCTTGGTGTCCACCAGGAAGTGGGAGTCTACCTGGTCCTCGGGGATGTTGAAGAACTCCAGACCTTCAGAGAGGATCTGGGAGAACTGGGTGTCCTGAACACAGAGGTCAGTCAGAGGTCACTTTCTTAACCACATCAAACACTTTCTATTAAGCACTAATCACAGTGATGCAAAACAGTTAACATTTCTATTCTAGATCGAATCTTCCATTATAAACACATCACCACAAGCAAATTTCATCATAGCCCATCTCACCAGAAGCCCACAACTCACCACAAGCACATTTCATCATAGCCCATCTCACCACAAGCACACAACTCACCACAAGCACATTTCATCATAGCCCATCTCACCACAAGCACATAACTCACCACAAGCACATTTCATCATAGCCCATCTCACCACAAGCACACAACTCACCACAAGCACATTTCATCATAGCCCAGAACTCACCACAAGCACACAACTCACCACAAGCACATTTCATCATAGCCCACAACTCACCACAAGCACACAACTCACCACAAGCACATTTCATCATAGCCCAAACTCACTAGAAGCCCATAACTAACCACAAGCACATTTCATCATAGCCCAATCTCACCAGAAGCTCACATCTCACAAGCACATTTCATCATAGTCCATCTCACCACAAGCACACAACTCACCACAAGCACATTTCATCATAGTCCCAATCTCACTAGAAGCCCATAACTCACCACAAGCACATTTCATCATAGCCCAATCTCACCAGAAGCTCACAACTCACCACAAGCACATTTCATCATAGTCCATCTCACCACAAGCACACAACTCACCACAAGCACATTTCATCATAGTCCATCTCACCACAAGCACATTTCATCATAGCCCAATCTCACCAGAAGCCCATAACTCACCACAAGCACATTTCATCATAGCCCAATCTCACCACAAGCACACAACTCACCACAAGCACATTTCATCATAGCCCCATCTCACCACAAGCCCACAACTCACCACAAGCACATTTCATCATAGTCCATCTCACCACAAGCACATATTTATCCACAAGCATGTCTCACCTCATGTATGGGCAGCTGGGATGGGATACTTGACAGGTCTGGACCGTGGACCAGGATCTTCTTGGCGCTGGCAACATACGCTGACACCAGCAGGTATGGCTGAAACAACATGGACATAACAGTCATCTTGCCACAGTCTCACGTATCCTGTGTTAATGAACCAGCATGCCACATGAGAATGCCTTACCAAGTTATAAACAATATGACACCAGTGAATGTAAACACTACTGATCATATTGTTTATGTCACAAATGTAAACAACTTCAAAATTATCCCTAACTGTCGCACAAATTACACTGCTTTTCAAGTTTCATTGCATGAACATAATCCAGAGATGCCAACCCCAAAGTGTTGCAAATAGTACTTTCAAGGATCGAAATTAGTTAGTTTGAACATACATTTAGTAGTCGACTAAATACTTAAAATTATGATGGGCTCTAACTGACTGACTGACTGAGTTTGGTATTAAGCCGCTTTTAGCAATATTCCAGCAACATCACGGCTGGGGACACCAGATATGGGCTTCACAGATGGACTCTGAGAAAGATAATATGACTGACTGACTGACTGACTGAGTTTATTTTTACGCCGCTTTTAGCAATATTCCAGCAATATCACGGCGGGGGACACCAGAAATGGGCTTCACACATTGTGCCCATGTGGGGAATCGAACCCGGGTCTTCGGCGTGACGAAGATAATATGACACTAACCAAGAGTGAAGCTTTAATTTCACATACCTCCAACAGCAGATTTCCAAATTATCAGCATTACGTTTCATCTTGTCGTCTCTTTTTGGCGAAAATATATTTAATGACTTCTTTGAGTGGCATTTTTTAGAAGTTGGAAGTATATTTAATCGACTAAAATATATGTTTTTGTCAATATATCCGAATTTTAATGAATTTTCTTCAAATTTCGTAAATTTTGTAGTGCAATCGTATTGGCGTAGTTCGAGGCTAAAATTTGTAGCGACTACAATAAAATCGTAGAGGTTGGCATCTTTGCATAAACTGGAAACAGTGTGTTAATCCTCATATTGTGTATTTGTCAGCTGCAGGACTCACATCACACTGTTCCTTCTTCAGAGTCTGTTTCAGGTCCTTGAAGTAGATGCCCTCCACACACGGCGTCACCTGTAGGGAGGAACGCAATAATATACCCTGGTCAAAGTCTGGTTGCCATGGTTACATCCATATTTTACACCCCTACCAAATACATGAAGGTGACATCTTATAATTCCCCAGATGGATACAAAAAAGGTGATCCAAAAAACGTATGTGTAAATCTTACAAAGGTGCTAATTAAACAAAGACACATGGAGAAAATAACATTGTTCACAGCTTTCACTGGGCTTGTATCCACACAGAACCTACCATCCACAGCAGACTGAGAGCACCCGCGATGGCTTCCTGGCCTCCCTCACACGGAGACCTCACATAGAACATCACGTAGCCGATCTGAAAAGTAGACCACAGAACATCATATAGTCAATATAAGCGATCTGTACTTTGGGCGGCAAACCTGAAATACATATGGAGTCAAACAGTTTTCTACCTTTATAAAATGTGAAATTAACATAGCATAAAGTACTTCTAATGACTACTTACATCTTCACTTTTCACAGGATTATGACAATGAGCACTGGTTCTAATTCATAATTTCAAACATCAAGAATTATGAACATTGTATTTACTCTACAGTTCATCAAAGCTATCAGGTTTTAATAAAGAGATATGGAGATCTTATAACATGTTGATTTGAAGGAAAAGATGTGTCAATCAATCTGACTAATTATCCTGCACACATTGTTTTTTAAAAAATAAATCTATTGAACAAATGACATGATGTGGCTTGAGATGAAGGACACATACCAGGTAGTTGAAGAGAGAGTGGGCTGTCTGGGCCGGCAGCTGGCGGATGTACAACACCAGCTTCCTCAGTAGGAACATCAGCTCCTCCTGGAACAGTGGAGGAACACCACAGGAAGATATGAGACGTGTTCACATACAGTGACATCAGAAGGGCAGATAAAATAGGGACAGGTGACAATCTTGCAAAGATAAATTGTTTGTTTGATTGTGTAATTGAGTGACTGGCTGGGTTGCTGGCTGGGTTAGTGACTGGGTGGTTCAATGTCAGGATTGCTGGGACTTCTGTGAACTGCGGGGCGGTGGTGTAGCCTAATGGTTAAAGCGTTGGCTCGTCACGCCGAAGACCCGGGTTCGAATCCCCACATGGGCACAATGTGTGAAGCCCATTTCTGGTGTCCCCCGCCGTGATGTTGCTGGAATATTGCTAAAAGCGGCGTAAAACCAAACTCAGTCAGTCAGTCTGTGAACTGCAACAGTTGATGAGAGAGAGCTAACCTGATAATACTCAGACATGCTCGTGTCACTGTGAAAACAACCGAGGCTGGAAGGGTATTAGGACACACAAAGCAATGGTCAAACATGGTCTTCCATTAAAGCAACATCTACCTACAACAGTTGTCTTTTACAACAGGCACTGGATAGTAGTTGAGTCCTGGAGCCCTTTCCATAAAGCGATCGTAGCGCTATGACTGTCGTAAGTCTACGTTAAAGCATAGGAATTACAATCACCTTAGCATTATGACTGTCGCAAGTCTATGTTAAAGTATGGGAGTTACAATCACCTTAGCGTTATGACTGTCGCAAGTATATGTTAAAGTATGGGTGATACAATCACCTTAGCGCTACGATTGTCGCAAGTCATGTTAAAGTATGGGTGTTACGATCACCTTAACGCTACGACTGTTGCAAGTCTATGTTAAAGTATGGGAGTTACAATCACCTTTGCGCTAGGACTGTCGCAAGTCTATGTTAAAGTATGGGAGTTACAATCACCTTAGCGTTATGACTGTCGCAAGTCTATGTTAAAGTATGGGTGATACAATCACCTTAGCGCTACGACTGTCGCAAGTCTATGTTAAAGTATGGGTGTTACGATCACCTTAGCGCTACGACTGTCGCAAGTCTATGTTAAAGTATGGGAGTTACAATCACCTTAGCGCTAGGACTGTCGCAAGTATATGTTAAAGTATGGGAGTTACGATCACCTTAGCGCTATGACTGTTGCAAGTCTATGTTAAAGTATGGGAGTTAAAATCACCTTAGCGCTACGACTGTCGCAAGTCTTTGTTAAAGTATGGGAGTTACAATCACCTTAGCGCTACGAACGTCGCAAGTCTATGTTAAAGTATGGGAGTTACAATCACCTCAGCCCTACGATCGCTTTGTGAATTGGGGCCCTGGAATGGCATGAAGGGAACAAAGTGTATTTTCAGAAGTTTCACTCTTGAGTAGTCCTGAGTTCTTGTACAGAGTGCCTACCTGTCTGTCTTTGTGTGTGAGTTTCTCCAGGAAGTGCCGGAGGAACAACACAGGGTCCTCCACTATACAGTCCCATATCACCTTACTGGCCACCTCGGTCACTGAAACATGTCACAAACCTTGTCTACAACACCTGTCGATCACTGAACATTTCACACAAATCGTCTACAAACACCTGTCGGTCACTGAACATGTCACACACCTCGTCTACAAAGACCTGTTGGTCACTGAAACATGTCACACACCTCGTCTACAAACACCTAATGGTCACTGAAACATGTCACACACCTCGTCTACAAACACCTGATGGTCACTGAAACATGTCACACACCTCGTCTACAAACACCTGATGGTCACTGAACATTTCACACACCTCGTCTACAAACACCTGATGGTCACTGAAACATGTCACACACCTCGTCTACAAACACCTGCTGGTCCCTGAAACATTTCACACACCTCGTCTACAAACACCTGATGGTCACTGAACATTTCACACACCTCGTCTACAAACACCTGATGGTCACTGAACATTTCACACACCTCGTCTACAAACACCTGATGGTCACAGAAACATGTCACACACCTCGTCTACAAACACCTGCTGGTCCCTGAAACATTTCACACACCTCGTCTACAAACACCTGATGGTCACTGAACATTTCACACACCTCGTCTACAAACACCTGATGGTCACTGAACATTTCACACACCTCGTCTACAAACACCTAATGGTCACTGAACATTTCACACACCTCGTCTACAAAGACCTGTTGGTCACTGAACATTTCACACACCTCGTCTACAAAGACCTGTTGGTCACTGAAACATGTCACACACCTCGTCTACAAACACCTAATGGTCACTGAAACATGTCACACACCTCGTCTACAAACACCTGCTGGTCACTGAAACATGTCACACATCTCGTCTACAAACACCTGATGGTCACTGAACATTTCACGCACCTCATCTACAAACACCTGATGGTCACTGAAACATGTCACACACCTCGTCTACAAACACCTGCTGGTCCCTGAAACATTTCACACACCTCGTCTACAAACACCTGATGGTCACTGAACATTTCACACACCTCGTCTACAAACACCTGATGGTCACTGAAACATGTCACACACCTCGTCTACAAACACCTGATGGTCACTGAACATTTCACACACCTCGTCTACAAACACCTGTCGGTCACTGAACATTTCACACACCTCGTCTACAAACACCTGATGGTCCCTGAAACATTTCACACACCTCGTCTACAAACACCTGCTGGTCACTGAAACATGTCACACACCTCGTCTACAAACACCTGATGGTCACCGAAACATGTCACACACATCGTCTACAAACACCTGCAGAGTAAACTGAAACATGTCACACACCTCGTCTACAAACACCTTCTGGTCACTGAAACATGTCACACACCTCGTCTACAAACACCTGCTGGTCACTGAACATTTCACACACCTCGTCTACAAACACCTGATGGTCACTGAACATTTCACACACCTCGTCTACAAACACCTGATGGTCACTGAACATTTCACACACCTCGTCTACAAACACCTGATGGTCACTGAAACATGTCACACACCTCGTCTACAAACACCTGCTGGTCCCTGAAACATTTCACACACCTCGTCTACAAACACCTGATGGTCACTGAACATTTCACACACCTCGTCTACAAACACCTGATGGTCACTGAAACATGTCACACACCTCGTCTACAAACACCTGATGGTCACTGAACATTTCACACACCTCGTCTACAAACACCTGTCGGTCACTGAACATTTCACACACCTCGTCTACAAAGACCTGTTGGTCACTGAAACATGTCACACACCTCGTCTACAAACACCTAATGGTCACTGAAACATGTCACACACCTCATCTACAAACACCTGATGGTCCCTGAAACATGTCACACACCTCGTCTACAAACACCTGATGGTCACTGAACATTTCACACACCTCGTCTACAAACACCTTCTGGTCACTGAACATTTCACACACCTCGTCTACAAACACCTGATGGTAACTGAAACATGTCACACACCTCGTCTACAAACACCTGATGGTCACTGAAACATTTCACACACCTCGTCTACAAACACCTGATGGTCACTGAACATTTCACACACCTCGTCTACAAACACCTGATGGTCACTGAAACATGTCACACACCTCGTCTACAAACACCTGATGGTCACTGAAACATGTCACACACCTCGTCTACAAACACCTGATGGTCACTGAAACATGTCACACACCTCGTCTACAAACAACTGCTGGTCACTGAACATTTCACACACCTCGTCTACAAACACCTGATGGTCACTGAAACATGTCACACACCTCGTGGACAGAAGGTCCGAACAAACCCAAACATTCGCACGAACGCACCACTTCAAAAGAGCTGGATAGCCGTGCGTGAACCACGTGCAGAATTGCGCAATAGCTTGCGACAGTGTACATTTGTCACTGAACTAGGCAGTTCGTTTTGTTTTTCGATAGAGCAGCCACGCTGTCGGCGACTGTCTCTTTTTGTGCCAAATCAGGGCATAATAGTAAGAAGTCAAATAAGGACTTTCAATTGGACCATATGATGGTTTCGGTGGTCACATAAGGACCGTGTCGTGTTATGTCAAATTAGGACATGTTGCTGTATATAGTGCCGTTGAAATATTTCGTTGGTTCATGTTTCTATAAGTAAACTTACAGTGAACTTTGAAAATTGTTGAGTTATTTTTAAGTCTTCCACTGCTGCGTAACACCTCGTCTACAAACACCTGCTGGTCACTGAAACATGTCACACACGTCGTCTACAAACACCTGCAGAGTAAACTGAAACATGTCACACACCTCGTCTACAAACACCTGCTGGTCACTGAAACATGTCACACACGTCATCTACAAACACCTGCTGGTCACTGAAGCATGTCACACACCTCGTCTACAAACACCTGCTGGTCACTGAAGCATGTCACACACCTCATTTACAAACACCTGCTGGTCACTGAAACATGTAACAAACCTTCTCTAGAAACACCTGCACGCTACTGAAACATGTCACACACCTTTTCTACAAACACCTGCACATTACTGAAACATGTCACACAAAGCATTCAGTCATCTTGCTGGCTACAAGAACACATCATACAAACTGTTTACAGTCATCTTGCTGATCTTGTCTTTGACCCTCAGGATTTAAAGACTCACCAAAATAGTTTGTTATCATGATAATCAAACAATATTACATACATGTTTAATGAATCATCACATTCTGTTTGCTAATGGTCAAGTACCTGAGATGCCATCTTCATTGACATCCTGGTCATCAAGCAGGTGCAGAATAGGAAGTACTGCAGCACAGATGCATGATGGGAAGAAAGTCTGTGCAATGTGCAGGTGATGAGGATGTTCCATACGGTCTTCCTCACCTGGGGGGGTTGAGAGGCACAGTCAGTTATCTCCCCTTCATCTGGAATGCCTGCTTTTATCCACAGTTTAAAGAGGTAGATCTTTTTCTCGGAAGTCTCCGTTTGTCAGGGTTTTGGGGGCTTTAGAAAATTCAATTTCTATTGAAGTGTGATATAAATCATCCAGATAAGGGAAAGCATGTTACCTTGGTGTGATTAGAGTTACCTGCCCTTGCTTTGTCTAATCACTAGACAAATGCTTTGAAGGCACTGGGTTTGTGGAAACTGATGAAGATTGGGTGACAAACAAAAGACTTCTTGTACATAAATCCTACACCTTTATTACTATTTTTAATTTTAGATTCATTGGTATTTACAGAGTTTCTTTTGTAAAAACAAATATATCATTTTTCAACCACTGTGTTAACAGAGGCTGCTAATTTGATAAGTGTAGAAGCTCGTAAACATACTTAGAGTGGGCCTCTTTGCATAAATCAGTACATTTTCATCATGAGGTCAGTTTGTATCAATAACTACTAGAGGAATGTAGGTCCTATCTTATCACTCCTTACAAAACACTGGCAATTAGTTCTTGCAACTGACTGAATCAACCTTCAATACATTATTTAAAGGTTGTTTTTATAACATTTTGACACATCTAGGAATAACTGATATAGAAAATTTGCATGAATATAAGAATAATTCAAAATAACAGAATTACCATCTAAGTACACAGACTTAGAGAAGCTGAAGGTTCAGTTAGATAAAAGGTGATCAGACTGACATCTGTCTCGTGATATTTTATCCATAGTATAGTTTCATGACAGTCTAAAGTGTAATTTACAATGATATCATCAAATAACAAAACTAGTCTGATGATAATGTAATAATTTACACAGTGGCCTCACACAACATATTGTATCTGCTAACTACATCAGCGCCAAGAGATTATTCTGATAGAAAAGGTACTGAGTGTTTGGAAGCTAGAAAAACGGAAGTGAGCACAAAGTGTGTAGTATGAAAGTGAAGATTACTACATGTTGGTGCGAGAGCTGTGACTGAAAGGAAAGTCAAGTTAATATTGATGAAAATGCCATGGCAACAGTGATTACAGCTACCTCAATATCAATGATGGTGCAACAATGTTCTTGATCCACTTTGGTCATGCCTTCAATAAGACAGTAACTATTCTGATGACCAGCCTCTACCAGCACAATAACATTGACTGTGTAATACCACTGACAGTGTAATACCACCAATGGCATATCACCAACTATGGTATAATATGGCATAATACCACAGGGGTGGAAATAACCCATTGCCCAACGCCCGAGTCCAGTGGTTTTTTCTGTCGGGCAAGCAAATTTGTATATCACACTGTACCGGTGTCCAGTTGACTTTCCAATATTAATTATGTTTTTATTTAAAAATCAACAAGAAAACGGCCTGTAAAGTGGAAAAATTATCAAGGCAAGTGATTTTACATGTGCCACTGTACCGGAGTACACTAGCAATTTTAAAGTTATTTCCACCCCTGTACCAGTGACGGCATAATACCAGTGATGGCATTACACCACCAACGGCATGTTACCTGTGATGGCATAACACTGAGCCTAGATCAACATTATACTGTATAAAGGTATATAAACAGTTTTGTTAAACAAACATGTTCCATGACACCCTTAATTGTATATTATTACAAATTTGTAAATTTTAATGTGTCATGTATTTTGTGATGAACAGCTCTTTCATCTGAAAACATAAATCCAATATTTCCAGTAAGTGAAATAACAAAGATATATCTTGAAGTGTTTATACTCTCAAATTGCAGGATCAGTATCAGTCAAGTCTTTCATGTGTTTATTGTTTGGAGTTCCACATCAGAAATTTGTATAGGAACAAAAGGTATTGTTACATATGGCAGAATTAATTACTGAATTAAGTGACATTAAGGTATTGAATAGCTTGTTGTGTATTTGATTCAATGGTCATATGAGAGATTAGACCTGTCCATTTACAATTAATGGAGCCAGATGTCAACGTTATGTATCAGAAATCAGATTGCATTATTGTTTGAAATGTCACATTATCGGGTGCTTGTTGCTGTCTAATGCATACAGCAATATCCCAGCTATTTTACAGCAAATATTTTAGTGTGGACCAGACGATCCAGTTACTGATACTGTCAGCAACAATCCACGCTGTTAGCGTATGGAGACACGGCAAGTCACCTGGCCACCTGATCCAATTGGTCACCTCTTACAACAATCATACGTTGGTGATGACTGACTCACATTTGTAAAACACTCTGAGTTGTGTGGAAGTGATGCAAAATAACCTAACCCTTCACACTCAACCTTCTCCACATACATCATCACAGGCTGAGAGTTTGAGGCAATAAGTAGATTACATGTACTTTCAGGATTCAAAAGTGTAAACATATAATTTTTAAGACACTGATAGATAAATTCTTCAGAATAAATATTTCCAATCTTCAAAAGCTATATGAATATGAAGCAAGAAATGAGATAATGTTGACAACAGATTGTTGAAGTAGACGTGGTGTTGAGGATACAAGGATGATAGATAGTTGTTAGTAAGGCAGTATACAGCAGGCAGACCGTGCAGCATATCAGTCAGGTGCACGATGACGTGGCAGACACAATCAAGCATCTCCCCATGATGCAATAGACATGGTAATGTAAAGAAAATGGAAGACTCTCCTCCCATTAGAAAGTTGTAGTCACAAATGTAAGCAAAACAGTTTGTTAATGTGAAAGATGACAGTCACAAAGGGGTTATGTTAACTCAGAGTCACAGAGTTATCTCCACTTAGTGTCAACCAACTGTGGTTATTCCCCTTGCTTAGATATCAAGAAAACATTTAAAAACTACTCAAGATTTACAGACTGAAAAATGTAAATAATAATCGTAAGAGCAGTAATAACACTTTCATAATAACAATTTTGCAACAACTTTATCACAGTATGACTTTCATACAAGTTTTAAATTTTAAGAGGTTTTTTTACCATATTGTTACTGTATTCACAAATATATCTGTGTCCTTGAACTTAATTCTGATCAATGAATCTAGCCAAAGAAATCAAACCATCCCAAATTTACCAAACAAAATTGTCAGAGGTGAATATATATATTATTCTCCTAAACATATAATGACAATTAGCAAAACTCTTTAACCAACACATATTTCCTCTTAAGTCTACTCAAACCAGAAGTTAAAGTAAATCATAAAAATAACTGTCATCTTTCATATACCACACAAAAGCTTCAAAGGAATGTATGAAAGTTGTTCCCATTTCTAGACTGACAACAAGGTGTAGAGTTGTACCTTCGTAGCCAAGACGTCCCCAGTGCAAGCTACCATTTCTCCATGACATGCTACGACTTTGGATATTAGCTCGATTGACTGGCGCTAGGGATACTCGTCTGGCCGCCATGTTTACCAAGTTTTCCTCCTGAGTAGCTAGTGGCAAAAAGCAGTGCATTTACAAAAGCCTACAGGTGATCAACACAGCCCAGCCTTCAAGTGTTTTACGGACACCAATTTTCAAGTTGTTCTAGATTGACATGTTTTTTGACAAGTCTTTTAAAATAATGGTGAACATTTCTCAGATTTTAAGGGAGACAACTCTTTCGAGACAAAAGGATTCTTCTGAAATGTTCAGACATGATTGAGACACTTGTCGACGGGCATGAGAGTATTAGGTACAGTTACTGGAAGGTGTACAAGGAGAACCCACACACACACTTACTGATATTTGGTAAAGGGATTTGCTCAGAACATCCGTTTTTTATTTATTTACACAAGAATACGATCATTTCAATTTATTCTACTCTTTCTGTTGAAAATTATATTATGCCTTAAAAAAACAAAAATAATTTACTTAAGTACTGCCCAAACTTCTTGTTTGGTATGATTTTCAATTTACTTTTTTTCAATTAGTGACAAATTGTTTGGGGCATATAATTTGGACAGCAACAGAAGTTTCAGACTGAAGATGAGCATTTACTGATAGGTTAGAAAATAAGCGATATGAATATTTTCTGAAATTATATCGTGTTTCTTAAAACATAAATCATCTTAAAACTATATTTCCTGGTGTGTGAGTATTCCTATGTCAGGACGGCAATTGGCAGGTGATTATCACATGGGTTATGGCAAATCGATTAATATCATATATACTGTACCACTAGTCTCATGTATACTTATATATAAATACATATTTGTAACGTTAGTTCATTCTAAAGCATTATACATCAGACTTGTGGTAGAATACATTGTGCAATGATTATAGGGGCGAAACGTTTTCATATAATTTCTTATCATTGCATAATGTGTCAATATTAATAATATACATATATATATATATAAGTAGGAATGACATAGGGAAAACACAATATTTCCCTCAATAACACTGGACTAGACTATCAGATATACGCAGACACTTGAATAGGATGTACTGAAAATAACAATTAGTCATGAATAAAGTTGCAAAAACACTGATAACAATTAAGGTATTAAATAAAAACTTGGTTAAACGTAGATATATTTTATATGATGAAAGGTAGAGAATGATTTAAATTAATGAAGAACATGCAAACATCTAAGCTCTCACTATCTTCTTCTATCGACACAGGCAATAAATCAGACGTTTTATGCAGCATGCAGAAATGAACTTGCAGCCATAATACACTGTGGAAATCATACACACTAAAGGAGCAAGTAACTACCAGCTACTGCAACAGTCATGCATAGCATCTCTCCTTTATTTATAACTACAAAAATGAATGGCTAAACAGACTAAATTGGAATTATAAGTAAAGTTGTCTGCTTTATATCTAGCTCCAATACTATTGAGGGAGGGAGATCAACACATGGAAACGTAAGCTCTGCAAGGCTGCTCCGAGTCTACACACACACGACACGGAACTTCAAAACTCAGTAATGATCACCATTCATAGATGCTTGAAACTAGTAGATATTGACAACACTGCATGCTGTCAATGGCAGCCAAAGTCATTTGTAGGCTTATATGACATTATTACGACCAGTGATGAGTAAAAGACAGTCCAGAGTGGATGTTCTGTTGAAACTGATCATTGTGGCTGAGATGATAGCTCGTCTATCCAACATAAGTAAAAATGACAAACAAGTTCGAAACAAGCCTACTCTCTGTTAAATGTAATATCGTCTCTATTTATCATTTTTTCCAAACTCACTTTTGTATACACATGTTTGTAAAATATCAGTTTGACCTTTGATGAAACTGACATAAACTTTATAAAAACAAATAAAAATTTAAACTTTGTGTAACAAAGCATCTTGGTTGCAAAAAACATAAACATAAATATGTGTATCTTTATTAAAGAAAGTAACCTGTCATCACTACAGAGTCTTGAAGTGACTGCAAAATCATACTCAATTCATTATTCTCATTACTATACAAGCCTATGGGGTAGCACTGTTTCTAGGCAACCAGACTACATGCTTGTACTCTAGGTGATGAATGTGCCGTGGCAGCGCTAGTAATGACCTCAATATGGCTTCCACATTAAAACACGTTGTGCAGCTATCAAAGTGAATTTCAATAGGATGTTTTATGCTGTATAACAATATTTCATCAATATCATGATGAAGGACAATCAAAATTTGCTTTACTCATTGTACTGACTTTGGGAATTAAACCCAGGAAGTTAGAATGACACTCTAATCACCAGGATGTTGTGCTAACTGAAATATTTCCAAAGCAAACTGACCATTCTCCCATCTTGGTTGCCCCACACTCCATAATTCAAAATGATATTTGTAAACTTTCAACCCTGTTATTTATCACAGTATCCAAAACAATCCTATAAAGTTGGCTCTAATATATTCTTCATAGACAGATTCATTCCCAAGAGTACAGATCGTCATGGTTAGATTCCAGGCACGCACGTTCCACTGGCAAACATCAACAACAGTTAAGGAACAATGCACCAGCGCAGAGAAGGCGGGGGGGAATTTAGACAGTCAGACTTTTGATGTAAACTGATTAACTTTAAGGTGACTTTTATCTCTTAGGTCTATTTAAAGTAACAAAGCAGCTTGAACGGGGAGGGTTGGGCCAGGTGTTCCATGATATCTCATGCTCAGGAATCTCTCGTCTGAAAGGAATTCTGGGTTAAACAAGTAATTAAACTAGGAATACTGCTGTCAAACTTGTCAACACTACGCAAAAACACTTCCTCTTTCTGAATACATCCCTCGGACTGACCTCTACACTGTTGAATGAGTACATATGTGTTTTTCATAGCACAGAGTACTGTTTTCATTGTTTTTCACAGCACATAGTACTGTTTTCATTGTTTTTCATAGCACATAGTTTCATACAGTACAATTAATAAACTCTCAAGTGTTTCATAGTATATATTTTCAGTGAATTTTCTCAGCAGAAAGTACTTTTCTAATTATTATATCTGTGTCTTTTCACAGTACATTGTACTATGGACAGTATTTCATCATACATTGCATGTTTTCATAGTTTTTCATAACACTGAAACTTTATGTAACAGTCCATCAGTTACTGGGATAAGTAATATCATCAATAGAAGAAATATAATTCTGTTGGAAGAAATAGTTAAAGAAAGCATATTAACTAAATACTTTTCCAAAATATTGCCCAGCTTGTTTTCTTCATGTAAAACACATAATAAAGTAGGGACAATATATCAATATTTTGGAAGACGAAAAAGTAAGTTTCTTGAATATTGTTAACACTTTTGACAACAAGTACCAATGCAGTCCTCTAACCCTACACATCTTCTGCCTACACCTAGTCTAGAGAATACCTTCTTCATGGTCTTCTGATGCATGGTGAAGCGCTGGCTCAAATGCCGCCAACTGACACACCGGAATTGTTGTCATGGGGAAGTTTTCACGCCCAACTCGCTTTCTCTCCTCCTCAGCCTGAAGAGCTCGGCGAATCATTTCTTGCTGTTGTTTGCGTCTTGTAGTCGTCGTAGTTACAAGAGATTTCTGTGAAAGGAATAAATGCAGAAATTTAATTGTAGAGGTTCCAGATTAACAAATGGGTTACAAACTAAAAGGTACTAAGGTTGCAAGAAACAGCCCAAAATTAAAAATCGGTAATCGACCACACTTGACGTAAGAGGTACATTGTATATACCACATGCACTCTGCATTTTCTTTGTATCTGATAAAGGATTGTACTGTTTTCAGTTTTTATCAATAAGTAATGTGAACAAGTTACACCATAACATAATGTTTGATTATATCTGACAAAGTAGATAAATATTATACCTTGCCACAATTCCCAAATCCGGGTCAAGTGATTTTTCTTTCTGTTTGATGTGCATAATTCTTAACCATTTTTACTCCCAGCCAAACACAATGTCAGAAGAGTTTGGGCTGGTGAACACATTCAAGTTTTTGCATCAGTCTTGACCACTTGACCACTCTTTTATTCCTGTAGCACTAACAATACAGGATGAGTCTTACCGTGTCTTCAAGATTGAGGGTAACTTCTTCTATCTTCGCCTTGAAGTGAGGCATCCATGGTGGGTCAACCACTGTCAGCTTGGGCAAGCCGATGGTCGGTGATGGCAGGGTGAAGTCAATACTCGGTGGGGGCACCTGCACACAGAGAGTCAGTCATCGAGTCAGTCATGTATTTCATTCTGGATAATTATTCCAGTTTATTACAGCTGTATGAAGCAACACTACAGGTGTCGGGGTACCATCAACCAAGTCGCTGAGACTGACCACCTGATCCACTGAGCCACCTTGCCAGATCAGCACTGGTTGCTAGGGACTATTACTAAGTCTGTAAACCATCACATGGGATTAAAGGATGTTTTTAAAGTTTCTTTATTCATACAGAGAAATGTTCTAACCAGTAACTGTACTTACAGATATTTGATTTTTAAGTCTGACCAAGTCAGTTCATTTTGAACTACAGATGGCATTCTCCTAGATGGACAAAGTAGTGTAATTAACATCATACCTTGAACAAATTGTTGGCGCCTTCTTCCATCCTTGGCCACACTTGGTACCTGTACCTCCATAAAGCACCAAATCTGCAAGTAAACATGAATTAATATTTCTAGAGAGCAGTAGAATTAAAATCTACACTGATCCTATGAAACCACTGCCTGGAGAGCAGAAGGTCGATGGTTTGGTCCCACCTGTATCTCTGATAATGAGGTATTGGACTGACCCCATTGCTGGATTCAAACCCATGTCTTCAGAATAATGATGAGCCTAATCATTCACCACTAGACAAACCTACAGTCCCTTCATGGTACAGGGGTGGAAATAACCCATTGCCCGACGCCCGAGTCCAGTGGTTTTTTCTGTCGGGCAAGCATATTTGTATATCACACTGTACCAATGTCCAGTTGACTTTCCAATGTTAATTATGTTGTTTATTTAAAAAATCAACAAGAAAATCGGCCAGTATAGTGGAAATATTATCAGGGCAAGTGATTTTACTTGTGCCACTGTACCGAAGTACACTAGCAATGTTAAAGTTATTTCCAGTCCTGTGGTAGTCAGTAATGTATTACAGACCTATGTTATATCACCACTGAAATGTTTACATTCTGAGATGCTGACGAAGTACCACTGGTAAATCACAGAGGCTGAACATGTCAATACATCTCCCTCAACACGGTGGGATGGTTGGGTAGCCTAGTGGTTAAAGTGGTCGCTCGTCACGCCAAAGGCTCGAGTTCGATTCCCCACATGGATACAATGAGTGAAGCCCATTTATGGTGTCCACAGCCATGATGTTGCTGGAATATTGCTAAAAGCAGCGTAAAGCCATACTCACTCACTCACTCACTCACTCACCAAGGTCAACTCACCTGAGTACAGCATTGATCCTCTGACCAGTCTCCTCATGCTGCAGCTCCTTCACGATCATGTTGCGGGCTTTGTCCGGGGACTTGGCAGACGAGAGCAGGAACACAGTGGCTGCAACACAGACACAACCATCACTCATCATGACTGAGATCAATAATCACGCATCATTACTGAGTTCAAGAGCCATAAGAGTCTAGAAATTTGAAACCTTGTCCATGTCCAAACAGCAGCTAGTTCCTGATCAGAATCAAGGAGCAGCTCCCACGCTACAGGCATGATGTCGATGAAGTGTTTCAATCACCTGATGCTACAGGCATGATGTCGATGAAGTGTTTCACTCACCTGCTGCTACAGGCATGATGTCGATGAAGTGTTTCAATCACCTGCTGCTACAGGCATGATGTCAATGAAGTGTTCCACTCACCTGATGCTTTCACTCACCTGCTGCTACAGGCATGATGTTGATGAAGTGTTTCAATCACCGGCTGCTACAGGCATGATGTCGATGAATGGTTCCACTCACCTGCTGCTACAGGCATGATGTCAATGAAGTGTTTCAATCACCTGCTGCTACAGGCATGATGTCGATGAAGTCTTCCACTCACCTGCTGCTACAGGCATGATGTCGATGAAGGGCTTCACTCACCTGCTGCTACAGGCATGATGTCAATGAAGTGTTTCACTCACCTGATGCTACAGGCATGATGTCGATGAAGTGTTCCACTCACCTGCTGCTACAGGCATGATGTCGATGAAGTGTTCCACTCACCTGCTGCTACAGGCATGATGTCGATGAAGTGTTCCACTCACCTGCTGCTACAGGCATGATGTCGATGAAGTGTTCCACTCACCTGCTGCTACAGGCATGATGTCGATGAAGTGTTCCACTCACCTGCTGCTACAGGCATGATGTTGATGAAGTCTTCCACTCACCTGCTGCTACAGGCATGATGTTGATGAAGTCTTCCACTCACCTGCTGCTACAGGCATGATGTCGATGAAGTCTTCCGACTCACCTGCTGCTACAGGCATGATGTTGATGAAGTCTTCCACTCACCTGCTGCTACAGGCATGATGTCGATGAAGTGTTCCACTCACCTGCTGCTGCAGCTAGTTCCTGGTCAGACTCAAGGAGTAACTCCCACGCAACAGGCATGATGTCAATGAAGTGTTCCACTCGCAGGATTGGAGCAGCCTTGGTCAGGATTGCCATCGGGCACTGTGTCAGTCGCTGAGCCTGGAGGGAGTGAGGGAGTCATGTTCTACACCAGTTTCAATAATCATTCAAAATTACAGGCAATCACACGTTTTAAACATTTATGAACCGATTTGATAATTCATGCTTACAATTATGAGTAGGCTATTGAAAAAAATAACCACCCAACAAAGAAACATGAACTAAGTCAGCCTATCATTATCAAGGTCTTCCGAGACATCATGAACAATAGATGGTGTTGTCTTCAGAGTGTTGTATCAAGGCAATAGTACAAACTGAAACCCAAATATTTTATGGCAAATGGGCACATTAAATAATCCAAAATACACAGCAGTTGTTACCAACACGCTCAAGCATCATAAACATATTTTTATTGATTTCTGAGAAAATACAAATTTGTGTGAAATTTCATCTAAAGTGAGATATGTCGAACCTCACAGTTCACTGTTGCCAGCCAACACATTCTTAGATACCTCCCTGTTGCCTATAGTACATGTACATAATGTGTTATCTGTTATATATGTAAAACCGTGAAGATCCGGGTTAGAATTTATCTTCAGTAACCCATGCTTGTCATAAGAGGCAACTAAGGGGATCAGGTGGTCAGGTTCGTTGACTTGTCATCGTATCCCCAATTGCATGGATCAATGCTCATGCTGTTGATCACTAGACTGTCTGGTCCAGACTCCAATTATTTACAGACCGTTGCCATATACTGTAAACATACTTTTTTTCGCTTGGTGCAAATTTCACGGAAATTGACAGTTTAGACTACATCGCACGGTCAATTATTCCCGCAATCAGTAATTGCCGGAACTGCCAGCTGTCTCTTAGGCCTTAGAAACCACCTACCCCCAAGACACCTGGACTTCCAGATCCAAATGATTGCAAAGTTGACACTGAGGCCGATTAGACTACAAGGAAATCAACTTCTACCGTATATGAAGTTTTTGGTGATTTCATTTCGTGATATGCAGGAATAAATATAAATAAAATCTTAATGAATAAATAAAATCCCCTTATTTTACCCCATTCCATATGTGTACAACTTACCACGTTCATGAGGGTCCGTATAACGGTAGTGTTGATTATATATCTTTTACATTTATAGAGCAAAAACTGTAACTAAAATTACACAATGCTAGGATATATTTCTTTGGGTTAAATAATAATCTTAATCCCTGTAAATAATACAATGAATGGATGAAAGGTTTATTCGCTGTGTATAAATTTTCGCGGTAAAATATTTTGCGCGAAAAGCGCGAAAATAAAACCTGGACGATATATAATACGTTTACAGTAGCTGGAACATTGCTGAGTGCAGCATTAAACAAGAAACCAACCAATTTATACATTACTCGTGGCCCACCTGTGAAGTCAAGTATTTGACAACGGGAGCCTCCTCCTTGACCTCCTTCGGCTTGTCGTCTTTCTTCCACGTGGAGTTCAGCTTCAGTTTGGTCATAGAGACGTCCGTCTTGATCTTCTCCAGGAGAGGGGTGCTCTCTCGGCGCCGTGTTGGGGAGGTCAGTTGAAAAATGGATTCCTTGAAACACAACAGATGTACAATGAAGCCTAGTAAACACTCTAAACACTGATGCAGATTGCCTGTCAAGTTTATTCAGTTCTAAATTATAGCAAAACTGAATCATTGACAACTGGCTCTGGATTAAAGTCCTCAAACAAATAAGGATTACCATCTTTGAACTTGTGCTTGTCCATAGCACAATTTAGTAGTCTTGGGCTAGCAGACAAGCATGAATTTCATAGACAGGTTATTGATGCCCAGATAAGAACACAGCAAAAAAATGTGGAGTTAACTGTGGGAATACATGATACTCGTTGAGCCTATCTGTGCTTAAAGATCTCTAACATGGAATTAGCCAATCAACCACATATTTCTCTAAAAGCACATTTTTGGAAAGTTTGTCATTACTTTCAGTAGTGTTCTTTCTCCTGCTGATACTGACTGACTGACCAAGTTTGGTTTTACGCCGCTTTTAGCAATATTCCAGCAACATCACGGCAGGAGACACCAGAAATGGGCTTCACACATTGTACCCATGTGGGGATTCGAACCCGGGTCTTCGGCGTGACGAGCCAACGCTTTAACCACTAGGCTATCCCACTGCCCCCCCTGCTGATAGAGTGTTATCACTAAACAGGATGAGTCATTGCTCACAGTATCAGCCACTAGAGAGTTTGGTCAGTTATATACAGGCTGCCGTCATAAAGCTGGCTATTGGGCACCATGACAAGCATTACAAACAAAAACAACAAGAAGACAAAGTCATCAATATCCCCCGCAATGGCAAAATACTCTTCATGATTATGTCTACGAGTTATGATTATGTCAAATATTTAGGTGTGTACATAGAAAAGTGGAAGGAGAGTATTGAAAGGGTTTAAAAGTTCTGCTCCAGAAAGGAGCACTATCACCAATTTCAGTGTAAGTCAAACTTGTTGCCATGGAAATGCCAAAAATATTTTATTCAGAATTCCAAAACTACCAAAAGGCACCAGTACACCACCAGATCTATCTATGTGCCAAGTTTGGTGAAGAAATATTGAATGGTGTTAGAGTTCTGCTTCGGAAAAGAGCACTACCACCAATTTCAGTCTAAGTCGAACTTGTGCCATGGAAACACCAAAAATATTTGATTCAGAATTCCAAAACTACCAAAAGGCACCAGTACACCACCAGATCTATCTATGTGCCATGTTTGGTGACGACATATTGAACGGTTTTACAGTTCTGCTCCGGAAAAGAGCACTACCACCAATTTCAGGCTAAGTCGAACTTGTTGCCATGGAAACGCCAAAAATATTTTAATTCAGAATTCCAAAACTACCAAAAGGCACCACTACACCACCAGATCTATCTATGTGCCAAGTTTGGTGAAGACATATTGAGCGGTTTTACAGTTCTGCTCGAGAAAAGAGCACTACCACCAATTTCAGTCTAAGTCGAACTTGTGCCATGGAAACCCCAAAATATTTTATTCAGAATTCCAAAACTACCAAAAGGCACCACTACACCACCAGATCTATCTATGTGCCAAGTTTGGTGAAGACATATTGAGCGGTTTAAGAGTTCTGCTCGGAAAAGAGCTACCACCAATTTCAGTCTAAGTCGAACTTGTGCCATGGAAACGCCAAAAATATTTTATTCAGAATTCCAAAACTACCAAAAGGCACCACAACACCACCAGATCCATGTATGTGCCAAGTTTGGTGAAGAAATATTGAACGGTTTTAGAGTTCTGCTCCGGAAAAGACAAATGTGCACGGACGGACGGACGGACAGACGGACGGACAGACGGACGGACGGACGGACGGACGGAGTCCATTTTAATACCCCCCGCAAAACGCGTTGCGGGGGATAAAAACATTTATGCCATGGACTGACCCTTCTCTTGAGCTTCTCACGGAGATTGTCCTTTTTCAGGTCAGGTTTGAGAGCATCCAGTTTCTCATCCTCCTCGGTGGAATGGTACACCTTCCGTAACGATGTGGTAAGGCGTGAGCAGCTTCGTCGTTGGCGTTCGTAACAGTTGGGGTGGCAGTAGTTCTGGTGGGTGCAGATGAAGTTGGAGAGGTTGGCAAGCTGGACTACCACCTGAAGACAGAAATCAGTAACGGTGACTATCGAGAGGGAAACAACTATTGCTATAGCGATAGTCTATTGCAACGTACCATTGCGATTTTGAGCAACTATTGCAAAACTATTGCAATAGTGTTTTCTCCTTGAATTGTGTCATTTAAAGTCATTTCCCAAATGAATGTCTAGTTCATATGAAATAAAAACAAGAAGACAAAGTCATCAATATCCCCCGCAATGGCAAAATACTCTTCATGATTATGTCTACGAGTTATGATTATGTCAAATATTTAGGTGTGTATATAGAAAAGTGGAAGGAGAGTATTGAAAGGTTTTTAAAGTTCTGCTCCAGAAAGGAGCACTATCACCAATTTCAGTCTATGTCAAACTTGTTGCCATGGAAATGCCAAAAATATTTTATTCCAGATTCCAAAACTACCAAAAGGCACAAGTACACCCCCAGATCTATCTATGTGCCAAGTTTGGTGAAGAAATCGTGAACGGTTTTAGAGTTCTGCTCCGGAAAAGAGCACTACTACCAATTTCAGTCTAAGTCAAACTTGTTGCCATGGAAACGCCAAAAATGTTTTATTCAGAATTCCAAAACTACCAAAAGGCACCAGTACATCACCAGATCTATCTATGTGCCAAGTTTGGTGAAGAAATTTTGAACCATTTTAGAGTTCTGCTCTGGAAAAGAGCAAACCACTAATTTCAGTCTAAGTCAAACTTGTTGCCACGGAAATGCCAAAAATATTTTATTCAGAATTCCAAAACTTCCAAAAGGCACAAGTACACCACCAGATCTATCTATGTGCCAAGTTTGGTGAAGAAATAGTGAACGGTTTTAGAGTTCTGCTCCGGAAAAGAGCACTACCACTAACTTCATTCTAAGTCGAACTTGTTGCCATGGAAACGCCAAAAATGTTTTATTCAGAATTCCAAAACTACCAAAAGGCACCAGTACATCACCAGATCTATCTATGTGCCAAGTTTGGTGAAGAAATTTTGAACCATTTTAGAGTTCTGCTCTGGAAAAGAGCAAACCACTAATTTCAGTCTAAGTCAAACTTGTTGCCACGGAAACGCCAAAAATATTTTATTCAGAATTCCAAAACTTCCAAAAGGCACAAGTACACCACCAGATCTATCTATGTGCCAAGTTTGGTGAAGAAATAGTGAACGGTTTTAGAGTTCTGCTCCGGAAAAGAGCACTACCACTAACTTCATTCTAAGTCGAACTTGTTGCCATGGAAACGCCAAAAATGTTTTATTCAGAATTCCAAAACTACCAAAAGGCACCAGTACACCACCAGATCTATGTATGTGCCAAGTTTGTTGAAGAAATAGTGAACGGTTTTAGAGTTCTGCTCCGGAAAAGACAAATGTGCACGGACGGACGCACGCACGCACGCACGCACGGACGGAGTCCATTTTAATACCCCCCGCAAAAAGCGTTGCGGGGGATAACAAGTTGAAGAAGTTTCAGTCTCTGTTAATAACTGACAAGAAACTTGAAACCCAGATAAAGTAAACAGTTAAAACATAAACTCAATGAAGTCTGCAGGGGCGGATAACTCCTGTACTTACTGTATTTTGCACTGCGCAATTAACTGCTGTCAGAGACTCAACAATAGCAATCCATCGATAATTCAATGCATCGTTACAGCAATAGAAATCTGACACAACGAAGATTTACTGCTGTCCTGGCATTGGTATCTACAGCAGACACACCAAGGACTTATTGCAGACTTACAGCAGACACACCCAGGACTTATTGCAGACTTACAGCAGACACACCCAGGACTTATTGAAGACTTACAGCAGACACACCCAGGACTTATTGAAGACTTATTGCAGACACACCCAGGACTTATTGAAGACTTACAGCAGACACACAGGACTTATTGAAGACTTACAGCAGACACACACAGGGCTTACTGAAGACTTACAGCAGACACACACAGGACTTATTGCAGACTTACAGCAGACACACACAGGACTTATTGAAGACTTACAGCAGACACACCCAGGACTTATTGCAGACTTACAGCAGACACACACAGGACTTATTGAAGACTTACAGCAGACACACCAAGGACTTATTGAAGACTTACAGCAGACACACCCTGGAGTTATTGAAGACTTACAGCAGACACACCCAGGACTTACTGAAGACTTACAGCAGACACACACAGGACTTATTGCAGACTTACAACAGACACATCCAGGACTTATTGCAGACTTACAGCAGACACACACAGGAGTTATTGAAGACTTACAGCAGACACACACAGGACTTATTGAAAACTTACAGCAGACACACCCAGGACTTGATGCTGACTTACAGCAGACACACCCAGGACTTATTGCAGACACACCCAGGACTTATTGCTGACTTACAGCAGACACACCCAGGACTTATTGCAGACACACCCAGGACTTATTGCTGACTTACAGCAGACACACCCAGCACTTATTGCAGACTTACAGCAGACACACCCAGCACTTACTGCAGACACACACAGGACTTATTGCAGACACACACAGGACTTATTGCAGACTTACAGCAGACACAACCAGGACTTGATGCTGATTTACAGCAGACACACCTAGGACTTATTGCAGACACACCCAGGATTTATTGCTGACTTACAGAAGACACACCCAGGACTTATTGCTGACTTACAGCACACACACTCAGGACTTATTGCAGACACACCCAGGACTTATTGCTGACTTACAGCAGACACACACAGGACTTATTGCTGACTTACAGAAGACACACCAAGGACTTATCGCAGACTTACAGCAGACACACCAAGGACTTATTGCAGACTTACAGCAGACACATCCAGGACTTATTGCTGACTTACAGCAGACACACCCACCACTTATTGCTGACTTACAGCAGACACATCCAGGACTTATTGCAGACTTACAGCAGACACACCCAGGAGTTATTGAAGACCTACAGCAGACACACACAGGACTTATTGAAAACTTACAGCAGGCACACCCAGGACTTATTGCAGACACACCCAGGACTTATTGCTGACTTACAGCAGACACACCCAGGACTTATTGCAGACACACCCAGGACTTATTGCAGACTTACAGCAGACACATCCAGGACTTATTGCAGACTTACAGCAGACACACCCAGGAGTTATTGAAGACTTACAGCAGACACACACAGGACTTATTGAAAACTTACAGCAGACACACCCAGGACTTGATGCTGACTTACAGCAGACACACCCAGGACTTATTGCAGACTTACAGCAGACACACCCACCACTTATTGCTGACTTACAGCAGACACACCCACCACTTATTGCTGACTTACAGCAGACACACCCAGGACTTATTGCAGACACACCCAGGATTTATTGCTGACTTACAGCAGACACACCCAGGACTTATTGCTGACTTACAGCACACACACTCAGGACTTATTGCAGACACACCCAGGACTTATTGCTGACTTACAGCAGACACACACAGGACTTATTGCTGACTTACAGAAGACACACCCAGCACTTATTGCTGACTTACAGCAGACACACCCAGGACTTATTGCTGACTTACAGAAGACACACACAGGACCTATTGCTGACTTACAGCAGACACACCAAGGACTTATCGCAGACTTACAGCAGACACACCCAGGACTTATTGCTGACTTACAGCAGACACACCCACCACTTATTGCATATTTACAGCACACACACACAGGACTTACTGCAGACTTACAGAAGACACACCCTGCACTTATTGCAGACTTACAGCAGACACACCCAGGACTTATTGCAGACTTACAGAAGACACACCCAGCACTTATTGCTGACTTACAGCAGACACACCCAGGACTTATTGCAGACTTACAGCAGACACACAGAGGACTTATTGCAGACACACCCAGGACTTATTGCTGACTTACAGAAGACACACCCAGGACTTATTGCAGACTTACAGCAGACACACCCAGGACTTATTGCTGACTTACAGCAGACACACCCAGCACTTATTGCTGACTTACAGCAGACCAACCAGCACTTATTGCAGACTTACAGCAGACACACCCAGGACATATTGCTGACTTACAGCAGACACACCCAGCACTTATTGCTGACTTACAGCAGACACACCCAGCATTTATTGCTGACTTACAGCAGACTCACACAGGACTTATTGCTGACTTACAGCAGACTCACCCAGGACTTATTGCAGAATTACAGAAGACACACCCAGCACTTATTGCAGAATTACAGCAGACACACCCATGACTTTTCCTGACTTACAGCAGACACACCCAGGACTTATTGCAGAATTACAGCAGACACACCCAGGACTTATTGCACACTTACAACAGACGCTGCAAGCTTGCTACAGACACTCATACATATATTCCAGACACAATGCAGATAAAGAGCACTCTCTCTGATCTATTCAGCACAGCAGACACTTGTACACACTACAGACATACCACAAACCAACTGCAGACCTTAGCAGTAATGGATCAGTTCCAGAGAGGCAGCATATGCAGAGTCATGTCCAAAACTGGATCCACTGATCCATAATTCACATCCCCATCCCTGATGATAATCCCTGGTCTGTTAGCATCTCCCCTTTGATTGTGGGTTTCCCTATTCCACCTTTTCTCCCAGAGTAATCTGACATACTCGGACAGAAATCACTGAACCCAACTCCCTACTTGATGTAACCATGTTCTCACCTTGATCCAGGGGAAGTTGGAACAGAGCTTCTCATCCTCCGCCTCCTCATCCTTCTCCACAGGGCTCTCCTGGGTGTCGTCACTCAGCATGGTGACTGACTCCGTGTCCTCCACTCCTGGGTCCTCTTCCACAAACTTGGCCTCCGACTGCAGGGACTGGCTGCTCACCTTGCGGGACCGGATACTGCCTGCATGTTTGATGCCTGGAACACAGGTACATGCCTCTACATGAACAAATAGACACACGGGAACATGTGGTAGTCTGTACATAGACCAGTAGACAGTCAGTAAACACAAGTGCATGTGGAGTCTGTGAACACGGCCTTCAGTAAACACAGTTACATGTGGTAGTCAGTAAACACATGTATATACGACCTTTAGTGAACACAGCTTCATATGGCCTTCAGTGAACACATGCACATAAGGCCTTTGAGTGAGTGAGTGAGTTTAGTTTTACGCCACACTCAGCAATATTGCAGCTATATGGCGGTCTGTAAATAATTGAGTCTGGACCAGACAATCCAGTGATCAACAGCATGAGCATCGATCTGCGCAATTGGGATACGATGACATGTGTCAACCAAGTCAGCGAGTCTGACAACCCGGTCCTGTTAGTCGCCTCTTACGACAAGCATGGGTTGCTGAAGATCAATATTCTAACCCGGACCTTCACGGGTGTCATATGGCCTTTAGTGAAAACAGCTTCATGTGGCCTTCAGTAAACACATGTACATATGACCTTCAGTAAAGACATGTACATATGACCTTCAGTAAACACATGTACATGACCTTCAGTAAACACATGTACATATGATCTTCAGTAAACACATGTACATGACCTTCAGTAAACACATGTACATATGACCTTCAGTAAACACATGTACATATGACCTTCAGTAAACACATGTACATGACCTTCAGTAAACACATGTACATATGACCTTCAGTAAACACATGTACATATGACCTACAGTAAACACATGTACATATGACCTTCAGTAAACACATGTACATATGACCTTCAGTAAACACATGTACATATGACCTTCAGTAAACACATGTACATATGGACTTCAGTAAACACATGTACATATGACCTTCAGTAAACACATGTACACATGACCTTCAGTAAACACATGTATATATGACCTTCAGTAAACACATGTACACATGACCTTCAGTAAACACATGTACATGACCTTCAGTAAACACATGTACATATGGACTTCAGTAAACACATGTATATATGACCTTCAGTAAACACATGTACATATGGACTTCAGTAAACACATGTACATATAACCTTCAGTAAACACATGTACATATGGCCTTCAGTAAACACAAGTGTATCTGGGAGGTACTCTAGGTACCTGAAGACGGTATTAATGTTATGTACACACAGAGAGAACTTTACGCCACAACTCAAGATACATGTAAATCACCCAGCCGATCTTGTGTATCATAGTTTCTATCATTTATTCTAACTTTATCATTACACATGAGACAAAATTGTCTAAACTTTTTAGGCTCCTTCTTTGAGAGGCATTTAGAAGTTGGGGTTGTAAGGAAGGATAACAATAAATGGATGAACTACTTCTTTATTGCTCTCACAGTTCTCACAGTTCTCACAGCTCTCACAGTTCTCACAGCAATAAAGACGTTGTTCATCCATATATTGCTATCCTTCCTTAGCCATGTTACTCATCTCACTTCCTCAATGGTCATGTCAGTGCAGCATTGTTCGTTTTTATGAGAATTACTGAAAAAATAATCAAATACTGCAGTAAAAGAATAACTTCCTTTCTCTTCTATTTCTTTACAAGTTTTAGCTATATGGACCAGTAGATTTCCAAATTTAAGTTCTCTCTTTGTACAACATGAAGATGAGTTGGGTGACATGATGAATCAGCATCAAATAGCAAAGAAACTGTAGATGAATAAAAGAAAAAATCTTCACAAATGATTAACCAAACACCACACATGCAATGTCTTCTACACTTCTCCCCACTACATATATGTCAAAGCACTCACCTTTAATACTTTAAATGAAAACCTGGGATTTGGAAGATGCAAAAATATCCTACAAAAGTTATTCAGAAATGGTTAACAGAGAAGGACACTACAAATGAAGAAGCAAACCAAGTTAGAACACGATGGAATGATTGTGAAAGTTGTGAACTTACTCTCGAAGTCGACGTCGGGTCTCTTCAGCTTGAAGCTATGGTTGATACTGCTAGTCTGCTTCATGCCTAACCACAGAGTCATACATTACACACGAACCTCGCTAATCCAGACGCTCCATTTTACAATTATCAAACTGCCACCTTACAAAGCTATCTTAGTATTATGACTGCCCCATACTTCTTGCTGAGTCAATGGCTGTCATAGCTCTAAGATTCTTTCATGTAACTAGGTCCATTTTATCACTCAAACTGCCAAAAATGTTTCAGTTTCTGGATTATGTTTCAGTTTCTGATAGTTTCTCAGAAACTGGAATTAACAAGAAGACTTTAAACGAAAGCTGTTGAAGACAGAAGGCATGTACAAAGAAATATCTGCTCTGAGAAATGTGGATGAACACTTTTCGGATACTTGAGTCAGTTTGATAGAACAGCCAATCAGAGTGTCCTGAGTGTTGAGGTGTCCTGATTATCAAGGTCTGGATTAATGAGGTTCTGTATTTGATACAAAGAATGGTCATACAGGCCAAACATGGCTCTTGTTCCAACTGCTGTAATTGTTCTTCAAATACAAACATTGCCATTTCAATTTACCATTCATTTTTTATACCACTTGTCATTTAACAGAACATATAACTTTATATATAACAACTTATATTTCAACAGCACTTAGGAATGGTTTAACATAGTCATGCTTGATAGTTTGAGAATCTATATCAAAACATTTACAGCTGAACAGAAGCTGTTATCCATAAAGTTGTACGTTTTCTTATTTACAAATTTCAATCAGACTAAAAATTCATTTTTCTGGTTGTATTCGTAGAATAATTACAGCAAAACGAGAACTATCCTGTGTAATAGAATCTACGAATCATCATGTCACTATTTCTTCTCTTCTAAACTATGTAGTACTGTACCAAGAATTATTTCTAAACAACTATGCAAGGATGTTTTAAGCATCTTCCAAGCCTCTAACTCAGCTGGTTGTGTCGTCTACAGAAGGTATGATCATACTTACTCCCTCCTCCTCCCTCAGCTCGCTTCAGCTTGAAGCTGGTTGTGTCGGAAGCTGGCGTTGTGCTGACCCGACCCTCGGCGGAAGTGACGCAGAAGCTTCTGACGACCCTGGGCCAGTCTCCTACCTACAATTATAAACTGATGTTAGAAACACTCTACTTTCTTGATAAGGTGAGCTATTTCAGTCATATCACAGAGTGTTTGCTTGGTACACAAGAACCTGTTTACCATATATGTCTGGAACATATCCTGAGAAATATGGTATCTTAACAAAAATATATCTTGCACCTTGAAGCAATGAAGCAACAGTCATTATTAAATGGTATTGGTGTAATCCTTTCTGGCAGCTATGTACTCAATAAAAATGTAATTTTTCAAGTCAAATTGATATTTTTATACTTATCCTGACTCATGATCTTTTGCTTATGTCCCTTTCCTTTTCGAATGGTAGTGGAACACTTAAATCCCTTGAAGTTCCTGAAGCGGACGTAAAAATACACTCACCCACGAGTTACCTCCCTTTTGCCCTTTCCCGCACAAACAGTCATGTGACCAGCCTTACTTGTCACTCTCTCCTGATTTTCTGCCCATGCACTTGGATCTGCTGGGAAATCCAAAGTGTCTCCAGTGGGGAGGTTGGGAGGGCTTCTCGTCATGAGTCAGGATAAGTATAAAAATATCAATTTTACTTGAAAAATTACATATTTTTTCTTATCCTGACTCATGATCTTTTGCTTATAGAATCCGACGGATTGGTGGTGGGTCAATCCACTTCGTGGATTCATCAGCTGTCCTTAGATACGCCCTGTATCCCCCCCATGGGAACTGCGAAACGGCATTTCCGTGATCCTCTATCTGAAGATTCCTCCCTATGCGAACATCTATCTGAGAGTGCTCTCTTTTCGCGAACCTCTATCTGTAGATTCATCTCTTCGCGAACCTCTGTGATGTGAGCTATCTCTTCGCAAACGTCTGTCGCTAGATGTATCCCTTCGCGAACTTCTGTGATGTGAGCCTTCTCTTCGCGAATCTCTGTCTCGTGATGAGTGACTTTGCGAACATCTGTGAGAGATATGAGATCTCAATCTAGAGCGGCTAGCTGTAGGAGATGGATCCTTCAATGTTCTCGAACGTGTAGGGTTCGCAGTTGTAGAACGGTGAGTAGGCATCTCATGTCTTCTATCCTCCTCCAAGATGACAGAGTCGTCCGACTGTGGAGACCTTCGTAAAGGTGTACGTTCGTCAACGTAGTCTTGAGACGTAGTTCTATGAGGAGTAGGTTCGCGTAGGTCCGTAAGTTTGCGCACGGTGTCGGTAGATGAGAGGCTTCGCCGAGCCTTCGCTTCTTCCTCGAACCTATGTTCCATAATGGCCATCATAAATTCGCCCAGGTCGAGGTTCTGCGTTGGTTGAAGCTGCTGCGGTGTAGACGAAGCGTTCTCGAACGCTGATGAGTTCTGCGCCTCAACTCCACTCCGTTGAGAAGTAGGTGGTAGTTCGTCAAACAGCTGGCCTGCTGTGACCGTTGCAGGAGACGATCTAGTAGTTGTAGAAGTGGACTGAGTCGCCGATCTCGTAGGTACTTCGGGTAGAAGTAACAGGGGGGTCATCAAAAAACGTCTACTTCATGCGGAGGTAATATCTCTTCGTTGAAGAATTTCTGATGCGTTGACTTACTAGGCCGCGTAGATTTACCCTCCGATCTAGTAACAGATGCTTTCTTCTGCGACGTAGAAGAAGACGACGTCTTTTTCTTAGCTTGAGTCGGAGTCAACTGTGTTGTAGCCGATCTCTTCTTCGCCCCCGTACCAGCAGCCTTGACTTGAGATGACTTCCTCACCCGATCCATGGCACGCATTGGGGGTGAGGATCAGCCACGGATAACCTGTGCCTGCAAACACTGCAAGATTTCATGAAATGTAAACAAAGTTACATAACGATGAAATTATGACACAAATACAAATAATTTTTAATAATTTTTTACATATAATACATAGTAGTTATTGCCAAATCCATATACAGCGCAATTTTGAAGAATTGGACCTAAATTAAAAGGATATAAAGCCGTATAAGGGACTCCAGTGCTCGCCCAACCAAACGCTTGGGCGAAAAGGGAGAGAGTGACAAGTAAGACTGGTCACATGACTGTTTGTGCAGTAAAGGGCAAAAGGGAGGTAACTCGTGGGTGAGTGTATTTTTACGTCCGCTTCGGGAACTTCAAGGGATTCAAGTGTTCCACTACCATTCAAAAAGGAAAGGGAGATAAGCAAAAGATCATGAGTCAGGATAAGAAAAAATCTAAATACTTAATATAACTCAATAAAACATATATCTTGCATCTTAAAATAATGAAGCAACAGTCATTATTAACTGTTCTTATCAAAATCCCCTCTGGCAGCTATGTACTCAATAAAACTGAGGGTCCCACCTCTGTCCTTCTTCTCGTCCCCTGTGTCCAGACTGCCCAGGACGGAGATGGACGTTGTGCTGCTGTGGAAGGAGTCGGACCTCTCCGTCAGCACAGCAAAGCTGATTTTGCGATCTCCTGGACTTCCTACTGGACCTGTCACGGAGATCACACTGGTCAGTACTGTCGCTTCATTCACTAATTATTTGGCAAATAACAACCATACCTTGTGAAGATTGTAAGCCTGTAAAAATAATGACACTTTAATTTACAGACCGCTGCCATTTAGCTGGAATATTGCTGAGTGGTGCAAGCAATAAACAACAACAAACAAACCTTCAGCAACATTTTATAAACAGCTCATGTCTGATCATGAGTGTCCACCTACCTGTGCTCTGGGCAGATCAGCAACATTTGGCTCGAAGGTCTTGTCTGAGTGTCCACCTACCTGTGCTCTGGGCAGATCATCAACATTTGGCTCGAAGGTCTTGTCTGAGTGTCCACCTACCTGTGCTCTGGGCAGATCAGCAACATTTGACTCGAAGGTCTTGTCTGAGTGTCCACCTACCTGTGCTCTGGGCAGATCAGCAACATTTGACTCGAAGGTCTTGTCTGAGTGTCCACCTACCTGTGCTCTGGGAAGGTCAGCAACATTTGGCTCGAAGGTCTTGTCTGAGTGTCCACCTACCTGTGCTCTGGGCAGATCATCAACATTTGACTCGAAGGTCTTGTCTGAGTGTCCACCTACCTGTGCTCTGGGGAAGATCAGCAACATTAGACTCGAAGGTCTTGTCTGAGTGTCCACCTACCTGTGCTCTGGGGAAGATCATCAACATTTGACTCGAAGGTCTTGTCTGAGTGTCCACCTACCTGTGCTCTGGGCAGATCATCAACATTAGACTCGAAGGTCTTGTCTGAGTTTCCACCTACCTGTGCTCTGGGCAGATCATCAACATTTGACTCGAAGGTCTTGTCTGAGTGTCCACCTACCTGTACTCCGGGCAGATCATCAACATTTGACTCGAAGGTCTTGTCTGAGTGTCCACCTACCTGTGCTCTGGGGAAGATCATCAACATATGACTCGAAGGTCTTGTCTGAGTGTCCACCTACCTGTGCTCTGGGGAAGATCATCAACATTTGACTCGAAGGTCTTGTCTGAGTGTCCACCTACCTGTGCTCTGGGGAAGATCAACAACATTTGACTCGAAGGTCTTGTCTGAGTTTCCACCTACCTGTGCTCTAGGGAAGATCATCAACATTTGACTCGAAGGTCTTGTCTGAGTGTCCACCTACCTGTGCTCTGGGGAAGATCATCAACATTTGACTCGAAGATATTGTCTGAGTGTCAACCTACCTGTGCTCTGGGGAAGATCATCAACATTAGACTCAAAGGTCTTGTCTGAGTGTCCACCTACCTGTGCTCTGGGGAAGATCATCAACATATGACTCAAAGGTCTTGTCTGAGTGTCCACCTACCTGTGCTCTGGGCAGATTAACAACATTTGACTCGAAGGTCTTGTCTGAGTGTCCACCTACCTGTACTCTGGGCAGATCATCAACATTTGACTCGAAGGTCTTGTCTGAGTGTCCACCTACCTGTGCTCTGGGCAGATCAGCAACATTTGACTCGAAGGTCTTGTCTGAGTGTCCACCTACCTGTGCTCTGGGAAGATCAGCAAAATTTGGCTCAAAGATCTTGTCTGAGTGTCCACGTACCTGTACTCTGGGAAGATCAGCAACATTTGGCTCGAAGGTCTTGTCTGAGTGTCCACCTACCTGTGCTCTGGGCAGATCATCAACATTCGACTCGAAGGTCTTGTCTGAGTGTCCACCTACCTGTGCTCTGGGGAAGATCAGCAACATTCGACTCCGAGCTCTTGTCCGAGTGTCCGGGGCTGCTGACGATGCTGCTGAAACGACGTGACGTGACTGTCTTCTCCCAGATGTGATCTCTCTTCTGGCTGCGGGAACGAGGCAGGTACTGGAACGTCTCCCTCAAGAAGGTGGTGATCTCCATCAGGACCAGACAGCCCAGCATCTTCAGAGCATATGGACACTCAGTCCCGGAACTGTTCACTGATGCTGCAGGTAGACAATAACATAACATTATACATTAAGTTCAAAGTAGGGATGCCACGATACATCGATACATCGATAATTTTTCTAAGAAGATACAATTATCGATACATTCAAAACTGTATCGATATTTAGTTTTGAAAGTATCCGTTAAAAATGTAATTTTTCAAGTAAAATTTATATTTTTATACTTATCCTGACTCATGAACCTTTGCTTAACTCCCTTTCCCTTGCGAATGGTAGTGGAACACTTGAATCCCTTGAAGTTCGGAAGCGGACGTAAATATACTAGCCCACGAGTTACCTCCCTTTTGCCCTTTCCCATGCAAACTAGTGACTAGCTTTACTTGTCACTTTCTCCTGATTTTTCTGCCCATGCACTTGGATCTGCTGTGAAATCCGAAGTGTTTCCAGTGGGGAGGTAGGGAGGGCTTCTCGTCATGAGTCAGGATAAGTATAAAAATATCAATTTTACTTGAAAAATTACATTTTTTTTTTCTTATCTTGACTCATGATCTTTAGCTTATAGAATCTGACGGATTGGTGGTGGGTCAGGCCACTTCCTGGATTCATCAGCTGTCCTTAGATACGTCCTGTATCCCCTCCATGGGAACTGCGAAACGGCATTTCGTGATCCTATTCTTCCAACTTCCGTTATAACTCAGGGGGACCACTTTCTTGTCTTATTTCAATCTCAGACAAGTTGAATCATGTTGATTCATGTTGCTACAGATAAACTTGTATCTTCTTATTACTAGATATCTTATAACAACCCATAGATTATGATAAGATCTTTATCGTAAATGAGTTGTGACCCCTTCACTTACAGGTAAGATCTTTACCCGTACAGGATCTATAATCACTCATGCTAGCCTGTCCTAGACTGTGCGCATGGTCTTTCAAACTAATACTTTTTCCTTAGTAAAAGTTATCAACAAGTCAACGAGATAAAGGGTGAGATTTTCCAACTCAGTGCCTTTGAGGAACCGTTAGTTGCTGTGCTGCAATGAGAGGCCCAAATTGGTGAATGCCTGACACGTCTTCAGTGGCTATGTCTCGGAGGTAGTGGTTGGCAAACACCATATCCGACTTCCAAAAGCAGCCCCCCATAATTGCTAATATAGAGCCAATGTTTTCGCCAGTGCTCCGACTTTGTGTGGGTTGGAAGCTCTAGGAGGTTCTAGTCCTGCTGCTTTATAGGCTCTCAATATGACGGCCCTCATCCAGAACGATATCGTCGTTCTTGAGACTTCTGGTGATGTCTCTGTTGATAATGGGATGAATAGGCGCTTGAATTTTGTCTCCTTGTCTCAGTCTTTTGAAGATATATCTTCAGGGCTCTGCCCAGACACAAGGATAAGTCCTCTATATCCTCTGGTCCGAGGATTGTAGATAGCGCTGGTACGTGGAACTGTCTATCTGGATGACCAGGTAGTTGGTTCTTTGCAATGAAGTCCCATCTAAGTCCTAGATGAACTGCAGCATGTTGCCCCGTGTCGATTCTGGTTCGACCAAAGTCCAGCGCATGTATCTCTGATATCCGAGCTGCCGTGGCTAGCGCAAGCAGGAACAGTCTTCTGTGTCAGCAGTTCGAAGATAGTCTGGTCTAGAGGTTCATAGGCATCACTTGTAAGATGACATAGAATTACATTCAGATCCCAGGCAGGAGCTCTGAACCTCTTTTGCTGGTCCTCCAGTTTAAAAGATCTCAGCAGAGCAAGTAATTCTGGTACTTTCGTCAACTTGATGCCTGTTTTCATGGTAATCACTGTACTGATGGCAGCGAGGTATGTAGATAATGTCGAACCTTTCAGATGTCTAGTCTGTCTAAGATGACACAGGTATTCCACCACTTGAGGATGAGTAAGTTTCATCGCAGTGAAACCTTTCCGCCTTCATAAGTCTCAAACTTCAGCCACTTGTCATCATACAGGTTATGAGTAGATCTGCGTAACGCTAGCGTTACTGCCTGGGTGGAGTATCCCCTTTTCTTCAAACATGTTTTGATACGGTCCACACGTGTAGCTGGAACAGTGTTGGGTTCCGTGGACTTGCTTGGTGTGTGGATGTTTGGACTTCAGAGATCTTCTATTAGGTCTAGGAACCATACTCTTGCTGGCCAGTATGGCGCGACCAAAGTCAGTTGTAGCGCCTGCATCTGTTTGATCTTCAACAGTACTTTCAGTGGTGGAAACGCATAAGCGTTTAGTCCTTCCCAGGATATGTTCAGTGCATCTGTTGCCCAGGCTTGAGGATCTGGAACTGGTGAGACAAACGTCTGTAGTTGTTTGTGGAACTTCGTGGCAAACAGGTCTATGCAAGGGGATCCCATTTCCCTTATGATGAGCCGGAACGCTTCTGGATGGAGCATCCATTCCGTAGGTGACGGGTGCAGTGGTCGGGAGAGAGCGTCTGCAAGTACGTTCTTGGCTCCGGGTATGTGACACGCCTTTATCCAGATGTTTGCTTCCTCCGTGATGTCAAACAACTGGAATGTGAGCTGTAGTAGGCTTGGTGATCTTGTAGATCCTTGCCGATTTATGGAGAATGCCACAGTAGAGTGGACCATCAGCATTCTGTTGATCAGCGAGCTCGACCATAGTTGTAAGGCGTTGATCACAGCTTTCATCTCCAGCAGATTGATGTGAAGATGCTGCTTTGTTTTGGACCGGTTCATTAATAGTGAAGTTCAGCTGCTGTCTGAGTTGATTGGCACTTTGAAGAACCTGTATGCCGTCGTCCAGATAACCGGCACTGCGTAGACCTTGATGATGCAGATAGGTGCCGAAATGCCTGGTTATTCGTATGAATAATCATAGAGCCGACGATATTCCAAACGGTAGGATGTTCCATTGGAAGTGCTAACCTCTGATTGCAGTGATGATACATAATTCTTCCCCTTATACATGCAGGCGATCTGTGTTGATCAGCATACATCAAAGCGTTGTCTATTTATAGCAAGGCTGGCTCCAGTGTAGCATCGCTGGGGACAGGTACTCATACCAACTTTTATCAGCGACAACTTCCAAAATAAACATCGTTTATGCTGCTGTCAAGGCTAGACATCTATTAGATTCCCATGCTGATAACAGGCCATAGTTGTATACTGTTTCAAAGGCTGCCAATGAAGTATTCCCCCATACCACGGGTTTGTTTACAAGTCAGTAAACTTGCTGGTGCCTGCTCTGTCAGTGGGAGGCTTTGTCTGACGTGGACCAATCAGCTTCCAGCATGACGTCACCGGTGTTGTAGCAAGTTAGCCTCCATAAAATCGGATGTAATTAGTTGGTTGAGTAAAAGCGCGAGTAATTCTGCGCCACTCATATAAACCTCTTGAAAAAGGGTTGCTCCAAGTGTAAATTCTTGATCAGTGATATAAATCACGTATTCCCATTGTGGATAATATAAGCCAGCATGACGAAGGAGGCTGTCGAGACGTATGTCTGTATGGATCTTGAAGAAATACCGATATTGAATCTAGTTGATAGGATATAAAATCCTAATCCCCACGCTGAGTGATGAATGTTAATATCATCTGTACGTCCGTTCAAGGAATCTTGAAGTCGTTAACCTTAAGCCCTTTACAAAGGTCGCCTTGAGGTTCTCCAGTACTTGAAATATCAGCTTCATAGGTGATATCATATTGGATTCGAAGTCAACAGCGTATATGCAGTACGTCTCTTTAGGGTTGGAGTGAGTGAGTGAACGACAATATCCGCAGGCCATCTGCTACCCGGTATAAGACCTCAGCATCCGTGTAGATGAAGGGATTCCTTTCATCAAGTAGGTTGTCGTCCGAAACTGAACCTATACAGGTATAAGGTTTGTGCAGGTTGTAGAGTTGTGCAGGCTGTAAACTGTAGAGACCGCACATGTTGTAGATCTTTTTTGTGGGGGGTTTTAAACTCTGACAAAACCATCCGTTTTCATCATTGCTTCGTTTTATTAAGCCTTATGGTAATAGAGTCGACGTCAACATCCTGCCTGTTGATGTAAGGGTTCGCGAACCCTGTAGATATCTGCGTTGCTGTTATCTTGCCTGTAGATCTGAGAGTTCTCGAACATTGTAGATGTCTGCAGCTTTCTCAAAACTGTGCGTAGGTTAGAAGGTACCTTGGATATAGGTGTCATCAGAGGAATAGTCACCGAGTCAAAGTCGTAATTACGCATCTTATAAGTGTAGACTTCATCTATATCCTTAGAAGGAGACTCCAAGTTCAAACCATTGGCTATCCAATCTGTAACCTCTGAGTCCCGGAAGACGAAGTCTGGTTATTCATCAATTATCTCCTGATCGGTACAGCTATGCCTCCGAGAATCATCCATCTGCGAATCTGTATCCCTTCTCGAACCTCGATCATCCTTTCGCGAACTGAAGATTCCTCCCTTCGCGAACGACTATCTTGAGAGTCCTCTCTTAGCGAACCTCTATCTGTGGATTCATCTCTTCACGAACCTCTGTGACGTGAGCCTTCTCTTGCGAACCTCTGTCGCTAGATGTATCCCTTCGCCAACCTCTGTGATGTGAGCCTTCTCTTCGCGAACCTCTGTCTCGTGATGAGTGACTTTGCGAACGTCTGTGAGAGATATGAGATCTCGATCTAGAACGGGTAGGTGTAGGAGATAGATCCTTCGATGTGCTCGAACGTTGAGGGTTCGCAGATGTAGAACGGTGAGTAGGCATCGCATGTCTTCTATCCTCCTCCAAGATGACAGACGTAGTTCCATGAGGAGTAGGTTCGCGCAGTTCCGTGGGTTCGCGCAGGTCCGTAGGTTTGCGCACAATGTCAGTAGATGAGAGGCTTTGCCGAGCCTTCGCTTCTTCCTCGAACCTACGTTCCATCATGACCATCATCTGGTTGATGAATTGTCTCATAAATTCACCCGGCTCAAGTTCTGCGTTGATTGAAGCCGCTGCGGTGTAGAAGAAGCGTTAGCGAACGTGATGAGTTGTGTACCTCGACTTCACTCCATTGAGAAGTTGGTGGTAGTTCGTCAAATAGCTGGCCTGCTGTGACCGTTGCAGGAGACGATCTAGTAGTCTTGGAAGTCGATTGAGTCGCCGATCTCGTAGGTACTTCGGGTAGAAGTAACGAGGGATCATCAAAAAAAACGTCTACTTCATGCGGAGGTAATATCTCTTCGTTGAAGGATTTCTGATGCGTTGAGTTACTAGGCCGTGTAGATTTACCCTCCGATCTAGTAACAGATGCTTTCTTCTGCGACGTAGAAGAAGATGACGTCTTTTTCTTAGCTTGAGTCGGAGTCAACTGTGTTGTAGCCGATCTCTTCTTCGCCCCCGTACCAGCAGACTGCCCCTGCAACGTACTCAACATAACACCAGTATTACGATCCCCGCAGTAGCAATCAACATACGGTTTGCAGGCTGATATCCTGTTTTATCAGCCGTGACTTGAGATGACTTCCTCACCCGATCCATGGCACGTCTATAGATATTTGACAAATATTGATTAAAGTGTAGATTTGATAAATCAACACAATAAGTACAGCGCAAGCTGGAAGAACATGGTTTTATGCACGAAGGGCACTGGGGGGTGAGGATCAGCCATGGATAACCTGTGCCTGCAAACACTGCAAGATTTCATGAAATGTACACAAAGTTACATAACGATGAAATTATGACACAAATACATGTAATTTTTACATTTTTTTTACATATAATACATAGTAGTTATTGCCAAATCCATACACAGCGTAATTTTGAAGAATAGGACCTAAATAAAAAGGATATAAAGCCGTAAACGGGACTCCAGTGCTCGCCCAACCAAACGCTTGGGCGAAAAGGGAGAGAGTGACAAGTAAGTCTGGTCACATGACTGTTTGTGGGGGAAAGGGCAAAAGGGAGGTAACTCGTGGGTGAGTGTATTTTTACGTCCGCTTCGGGAACTTCAAGGGATTCAGGTTTTCCACTACCATTCGCCAGGGAAAGGGAGATAAGCAAAAGATCAAGAATCAGGATAAGAAAAAATATGAAATATTAATGTTCAATATGTAACTAAATTTACGCAATAATGCCACGAAAATAGGTATCGTGATATGTATCAAATCTAGACATGGGTATCACGATATGTATCGATTCATGAAACCTTATGTCTCATGACATCCCTAGTTCAAAGTAGACATGGTCCAGGCTAGCTATTCTCGAAACGTTCGTAGCCCTGCGAACTTCTTAAGCCCATTCTTAACACATTGGTTACGATCAAAGTTAAGAATTCTTAAGGCTACGAACGTTTCGAGAATAAGGGCCCAGATCCATAAAACATGTCACAGTGACCTTGAGCAGCCATTGTTGGCACAATGCAAACACAGACTTATGAAGTAATGCAAACAATACTATTGACAGATTGTTTAATGAGGTCATGATGTTATTGTTGATTGTTACATTGTTGATGGCATGTTGACCATGTAAGGCTTTTGTAACAAGATAAGTTCAGAAAAGATTTCCACTTTTGATTATACCACTAGAATGCCCATTGTTACAGCAGGTCGTCATCTTCATAATGATCCTGAACATGAAACTTTATACAATGCCATGTGGACAAAGGAGGGAGCTGTGCTTCACAGTCCTGCATCTCCACTTCAAGCACAATGTTCTGGTGACACACATGGTATAAGCTGGTTAACATCCCCTCTGCTGAATGATAACAACCATATCACCCTTGATAGCTGACATCTCGAGATCACCTTGAGGGCATAACACATGACATCTAGTTATTGAAATACTTGTGACTCCTTTCACCATCATGGTCATCCATTCTGGACCTAGTTCCCACAAGATCCACATACCTTCATCAAGGAAGTCCTCTTCATCGTCCTCTGTCCTTAGCTCCTTCCTGCGACCCTCGTCCTTCACGTCATTGATGATGTCCAGCCTGTCACTGTGCTCCTTGGCCAAGATGTACTCCATCTGGTTGCCCAGGTTCTACAACAGTCATGGAGTAACTGTGTCAGAGCCTTCAGTGTCACTCTACATCCATTCATAACACTATCCAGTAGACTACTGTTATAATGAACTCAATAGGGCCATAACATTTAGTTTGTTATAACTGGACTTTGTTATAACATTTAGTTTGTTATAACTGGACTTTGTTATAACTTTTAGTTGGTTATAACTGGAGTTTGTTATAACTTTTAGTTGGTTATAACTGGAGTTGGTTATAACTTTTAGTTGGTTATAACTTTTAGTTTGTTATAACTGGACTTTGTTATAACTTTTAGTTGTTATAACTGGACTTTGTTATAACTTTTACTTTGTTATAACTGGACTTTGTTATAACTTTTAGTTTGTTATAACTGGACTTTGTTATAACTTTTAGTTTGCTATAACTTTTAGCTTGTTATAAATGGAGTTTGTTATAACTTTTAGTTTGTTATAACTGGACTTTGTTATAACTTTTAGTTGTTATAACTGGACTTTGTTATAACTTTTAGTTTGTTATAACTGGACTGTTTTAAGCAGTGACCACAGAAATAGTTTCTAACGTCCATTAGTTCATAAGCATGTTTGTTATGGATATAGTTTTCTGTATGTTAGTTTGGAAAAAGGATATTCTGTACAGCCTTAATCTATCAAGAAAAGAGTATCTCCAGTCTTGGAACTTGCAGACAAAACCCATGCACTATATGCCTTAATGTTTTATACAAGGCAGAGTCAATAATTACCAAATCAATGCATGGTAACTACAATACTCGAAACAGCCTCTCAATACACAAATGAAAAATGTCACATGACAGATTCCTGCATGTTATCTCAGAAATGACATTATTAACAAAAAGCCGGGAGTTATTCAACTTTCAAATAATTTTGCGCATCCAAGGCCAAAATTATCAGTCAGTCTGTCATGAGGACATTTTTCAAGTAAGGATTATTATGAGATATGGTAGATAATAAATATTGTATATTTCAAACCTCTGTTTTTCAATGTAGTAATCAGCTTCTTACACACCCTAACACCACACAGTTTTGTCATCAGATCAATGTATATTTTGTCTATTCTGATGGTGGCACATTAATACTACAGTACACTATAAAGTACCAAGATGGCATTGTGGAATATGGTCGAGCATCTTATTCCAAGTTACAGTACTGACCTCTGCCCAGGAGAAGAAGAGTCTCCCTGCAGCCTTCTGCAGCATCAAGTTGCGTCGGTACCCAGACGGCTGGCCGCGGTTCTGTAGTGCAGCAACAGTGTGCCGGAAACTTGGCAGGTTCAATTTCATCCAGTTTGGCCAGTCACCACGGTTACAGCGGTGGATGAAGTGGGCACACTCCAACAGCATCGAAGCCCTGGCTGCCACAGGGGCGTCCTGGGAATTGAAGCAAGAATATCAGGACATGATTTCTTTACGCAGTGAAATCAAGTTAACTCATTTATTTCTGTGAAATCATCCAGACAAACACGGAGGCAGCTTCACCAGTGACCTGGTGTAATCAGAAGTTGTAGTCTAATCATCATATAATATATCCAGCTCAACACTTCCCTTCATGATTTGATTATGTATTCAAGTTTTGGGGATCTTCCTTTCGAAGGCGACATCAAGGTGTCATCAAATCTGAAGTTTGGTAACAGAATACTGTGGCGCTCTTACCAAATCCAACATGGCTGCTACAAGATGCGGGTCAGGGAAGACGCCAGGGTGACAGCACTCCAGCAGGAAGGAGAATCTCAGCATCCCAGACTTGATGAGGAACTTGTCTACTAGTCGCTTCTCTTGCTCAAAGTTGGCATCAGCATTTCCATCTCGGTTCACACCAGTTCGAGGATGGCGGAAATCTGAGGATGAATGGGACAACAATGAGTTGGGAGATTGAGTAGCAACATACCAGCTATGTCACAGCAGCCTGGAAATAATTGGGTCCAGGAAACCAGTGGATAATAGCATAAGCAACAACCTGACATGGATAACAATCTATGAGAAACTCACCGAGTCTCTGCTGTAGACTAGTGTAAGGATTAGTGTAGGGACACATCTCACCGAGTCTCTACTGTAGACTAGTGTAGGGACACATCTCACCGAGTCTCTACTGTAGACTAGTGTAAGGATTAGTGTAGGGACACATCTCACCCAATCTCAACTGTAGACAAGTGTCAGGTAGTGTGGAATTCCCCAACTCATGTGTGGCTGAGATACTTGTAGAGTTACAGAGGCAGACATTTTACAGAAGAACCGTCAGCAAGTACACAGATGTTTGTTGTTTCAGGTTGCACTCAGCAATATTCCAGCAATATTAACAGCTTGAGTCAGGATTAGACAATTTGGATTTCAATAATGTCAGTTAACATCCACAATTAACCAAGTCCTCAAGCCAAAACCCATTTCTGGTGTCCCCCGCCATGATATTGCTGGAATGTTGCTAAAAGCGACGTACAACCCAACTCACTCACTCAAGCCAAGCCATCTTGTAAGGACCTATTTCCACCCAGAATCCACACACAAGTACAAAGATGAAGTAATCAAGTAAGTTCAACATTGTTAAACAAAAATCATCAATTTTGTTTTGAATAAATTTGTTCTGTTTACCATCATGACTTCCACGTTTGGTCATACGTTTTCCCAAGGTCTTTATACCATCCTCGATCCTCTTCCTGGCACTCAGAAAGGTCAAGGTTGCATGACTGGCTGCCTTGAAGGACATGCGACCTTTGCGGTGAACCTGAATCTCACTCTTACTTTCTCTACGGTCCAGAGGTGGCGGTTCATTGGCTGCTTCCTCTTCATGGTCAGACTTGGCTCCGCCTCTTTTCCACCCTAATAAGGCAGAAATTTAGCTCACAATTAAAAGACATGAATTACAGACAGATCCATTGTTTTGGGCCAGAAGAAATTCATTACATGTTCATTGGGATCTTGTTATCCAGTTATGGATTCCCCGTCCAAAATAATTACCACATATCCTAAATACATCCTTGACCCTACAATTAATTGTCCATCTCATGTGAGCTCAAGGACATATTAAACCTTATGGAAAAGTAAAAGTTCGTGAAAATTTAGAATAAACAGAAATCTTGTAGCAAACATACCTTTCTAATATATGTTAATCAGATATAAATTTACGAATGAAGATTGCCTGAATATGAATCATTATTTTGTGATAATATCAATTCCACATACTGGGGCTAGATTTTCACAGCATTAACATTCAACATGTTATAAAATTAAATACATGATTTACACCTTTCCTAACTAACCATATTTCTAGGTCTCAATGTAGGAATCACCTGAACTTCTGAAACTTCTGTCATCTGTATTTTGTGGACAGTCAGGTAAACTAAAATCTATATCCGTAATTGTCTTAAAGACATAGATGTTCTGGTATATCCTCCATTCAAATACATTGAACAAGTCCATTAATTTACTTGTCCATGCCTGACTGGATTGTTATCCGTAGCTTGAAATCTTCAACCTATTCCGTGATAGATTTATCTTCCCATGTTTTCCTCAAAGAACCCTTGACATAACACATCGACAAACTTTCTCAAGTTGGACAAATGAAACTTTTCATGGACAACAAATTTCCAAGTTTTATCCCAATCACGCACGATGAACATGTAACATCATTAAACAGCCTAAAACTACGAAGCAGCAACAATGTATCGCATGACAATCATCTTCATCAGGTGGGACCATTTCTAGAATTTTTAATCACAGTATGAATAATTACTGAGAATCAATAAAACTGGATTAAGAAACTTTAGCAATGAAATGACAATCACTGTTACCAATAATAAAAATCGTTTTCGTATATTACCATTTGTACATATATACTGACAGTGTAGAATTTCTCAAACATATATCTTATAGAAATAACAAATACGGGTTATCAATGACAGTTCCTGTTATCCATATTTGTCAGCTCATAGTTTTACATATAAAAGGTTAAAATATAGTATAAAAATATGAGACAAAATGATTTAATGGAGAGAGACATGATAGAATATAAGTCATATAAACAGCCGTGCCATGCAGTGGCTAAAATAAATTGCATTGAGTTCGTTACCATGGTTACAGGGGGATAACCCCCTCATGCATTACCAAACAAGATAAGCTCTTAAACCTATTTCACAGAAATCCCATGCATGCATAAGTAAAAACTGAAGATTTCCCAGATCTAAATGCTAAATTAAGCTAGATAATTACAGAACAATTGAAAAAAAGGTTCTAAGAAGACTTAGAAATAAATAAAATATGCTCTCCCCGATTTAAACAGAACTAGTTCTACATGCACTGAAAAGTACTGTATTTTCTGAATAGATTATCTCAAACTTACAATTGGCATCATGAGATGGAATCTATTCAACTTCAAAATATTATTACATGCTCTTCAGTTAAAGCTCATATATATGTAAGTTTATGGTACAACAGGATTAGACACGATCAATATACCACTAGTCACAAGACTAGTGAAAGTTTGAAAAACAGCCTTGTTTTCTCCCCAAATTTAGAGGGGGTCATAAACCACATGTCCGAAATAAGCTGTGGGCTAGATGGATTTATGTTATCATATGGTGTCTACCCCTGTACAAGCAATTAACATTTTCAATTCAATTTACAAACTAATTTCAAATACTTCAGCAGAGAAGCAATGCATCTTTACTACATACAATGTATATATTTGGCATATATGATTGCAAGCTTCATTTTTTAACACTTGGCAATTTTGCAGATGAACTTTAGAAAATAAAGTACCCTACAGTACTAGAACACTTGCCAATATTGAATTTACTAAATCGTCTTCGTGGTGTGCTGGTTCCCGACGGTGGCTCATCATCAGTGGCGGAGATACTTGTTCGAGGGCTCAGCTTCCCGTGGCCCATGTCCTCGATGAGTTCTGAGTCACTTGCCGCATACTGGAACATCAGCGACTGAAAAAACGCAGAGGTGGTTGAGCAGTGTTAGGGGTCGCTGCTGTCAACAATAAATTGACTGACTGAGTTTGGTTTTACGCCGCTTTTAGCAATATTCCAGCAACATCACGGCGGGGGACACCAGAAATGGGCTTCACACATTGTACCCATGTGGGGATTCGAACCCGGGTCTTCGGCATGACGAGCCAACGCTTTAACCATTAGGCTACCCCACCGCCCACAATAAATTGAAACACAATACATTGGTTGATCACAGAAGATATTTGTTTGTACAGTTTTAGTTTATCCTGGGATTGGTGCCGGAGGGAGAGACTCACATTGGCCACTTTCTTGACCTTCTTTCTGAAGATTGACCTTCGGGACTTGCCACTGGTTTGATGTCCGTCTTCATTGTTGACGAAGTTGGGGGACTTCTGGGGGTCCTTCTCATCTCCGCTCTCAGAAGTGATGGATGTTGTCCTCCTGTAACCACAAAGTATTTCCATTTAGCAATGTATACACTGTAAAAATAGTTCAGTCAATTAAGCATCTTATATCTCTTTTAGTTTGTAAAAGGTCTGCTGCATGTATTTGTAATTGAGTAGGGTGTATTCGGACAAGCTGTTCAGAGAGTCTGAAAACTTTGTTTCCAGTTATTTCCACTCCAAGGTAGAAAGAACAAAAGAGAGTGGACTACGTGAGATAAGATAAATTAAGAATGTTATTTAAATTGGCAATGATAATAAATGTTAAACTTATCAATTTATCACTCTGTAACTAAACATAAAGGCTATGTTCACTGAGTCAGAGAAAGAAAGAGGGCGGGATGAATGAGAGAGGATGGTGGGTGGGGGAGGAAGATCTGATGGAGAGAAAGTGTGAGTGAGAGAGAGTTACATGTGACCTCATGGAGAGTGAGTGAGTGGGATGCAGGTCTAACCTGACAGGTTTGGAAGGTTTACTGTTCATCTCTCTCTCCTTCTCCATCTTCTGTCTGCGGAGTTTCTGGAGAGAGTCCAGCAGGCCACTCAAAGCACACTTCCTAAACTGCCCTCCGTGCACCTCTTTCACATATGCCATCATCTGCCGCACGTCGCAGAACAGGCCCTGAAAGCAGAACACTATACCTTGAAACCATGTCATCAAACCCTAAAACCTTACGACATCCCTTGAAATCTTGAAATCATAACAAAATATCCCCTTAAACAATATCATCATACCCTGCAACATAACCTTACATAATGTCATCACACAGTGAAACCATGACGTCACACAGTGAAACCATGACATCACACAGTGAAACCATGACATCACACAGTCATGACGTCACACAGTGAAACCATGATGTCACACAGTGAAACCATGACATCACACAGTGAAACCATGACATCAGACCCAGAAACATCTGTCACCACACCCTAATACATGTCATAACACTAAACTCCGTCATAACACCCCCTGAAACATCTGTCATCACACCATGAAACTATCTTATCACATTGTGAAACCACATCATCACACCATGAAACTATCTTATCCCATTGTGAAACCACATCATCACACCATGAAACTATCTTATCCCATTGTGAAACCACATCATCACACCATGAAACTATCTTATCCCATTGTGAAACCACATCATCACACCATGAAACTATCTTATCCCATTGTGAAACCACATCATCACTATGAAACTATCTTATAACATTGTGAAACCACATCATCACACCATGAAACTATCTTATCACATTGTGAAATCATGTGATCACACTATGAAACCATCTTAAAACATTGTGAACCACATCACACTATGAAACCATCTTATCACATTGTGAAACCATGTCATCACACCTTGAAACTGTGTTATCCCATTGTGAAACCACATCATCACACCATGAAACTATCTTATCCCATTGTGAAACCACATCATCACACCATGAAACTATCTTATCCCATTGTGAAAACACATCATCACACCATGAAACTATCTTATCCCATTGTGAAACCACATCATCACACCATGAAACTATCTTATCCCATTGTTGTGAAACCACATCATCACACCATGAAACTATCTTATCCCATTGTGAAACCACATCATCACACTATGAAACTATCTTATCCCATTGTGAAACCACATCATCACACCATGAAACTATCTTATCCCATTGTGAAACCACATCATCACACTATGAAACTATCTTATCCCATTGTGAAACCACATCATCACACCATGAAACTATCTTATCCCATTGTGAAACCACATCATCACACCATGAAACTATCTTATCCCATTGTGAAACCACATCATCACACCATGAAACTATCTTATCCCATTGTGAAACCACATCATCACACCATGAAACTATCTTATCCCATTGTGAAACCACATCATCACACCATGAAACTATCTTATCCCATTGTGAAACCACATCATCACACCATGAAACTATCTTATCCCATTGTGAAACCACATCATCACACCATGAAACTATCTTATCCCATTGTGAAACCACATCATCACACCATGAAACTATCACATATCCCATTGTGAAACCATCATCACACCATGAAACTATCTTATCCCATTGTGAAACCACATCATCACACCATGAAACTATCTTATCCCATTGTGAAACCACATCATCACACCATGAAACTATCTTATCCCATTGTGAAACCACATCATCACACCATGAAACTATCTTATCCCATTGTGAAACCACATCATCACACCATGAAACATCTTCACACCATGAAACCACATCATCACACCATGAAACTATGTGAAACCACATCATCACACCATGAAACTATCTTATCCCATTGTGAAACCACATCATCACACCATGAAACTATCTTATCTCATTGTGAAACCACATCATCACACCATGAAACTATCTTATCCCATTGTGAAACCACATCATCACACCATGAAACTATCTTATCCCATTGTGAAACCACATCATCACACAATGAAACCATGATATCCCATTGTGAAACTGAGCCATCACACCCTGAAATCATGCATGATAATCTAACACTCAATCAAATCCTGAAACCATTCAGTCACACTGAAGTATCAGACTGAATCAAGTATATTACCCAGCTTTCAGCATATTTCCCAAGAGTAGAACACAGCTTTGCCAGTAACGCCTACTTACAATGTTGTCATGTCCATACAGCTCCCCAACGCTCTCCACACATCGCGATACGAAGGGCTTTAGCAGGTTTGCTATGAGGACACCCTCCACGCCACGGTAGCCCTCGCCACCAATGCTGTGGCCGAAGTTGTTGGCATAGCAGTTGCGGGGCAAGTTCTCCTGGGATACTGACTTCTTGTTGGCTGTGGGAAGAAAAGTGTGCATCAAGTTGAAGACAAAAAGCCCAATAACAGGGGCGAAGCTACCACTGTTAAAAAAAGCACAGGCTTACACATGATTTGTGCTAAAGATTACCATGAAAGTTGGGCAAGCCATCAATACTATCTAAATATAAAGCTTTGCAAACATATCAGGCTTATACGGACAAAAATGACTTGCTACGCGCCTGAATAAAGCCCACAATAAAAGAACACGATAACTCCAATCAGCTTTCAGCCAAAAAATGTGGAATAGGACCATCTGAAGACATAATTCATTTGCTTCTACAAATACATACTGATTCTTTTGTTTATCAAATGATGAAATGTGTCCTCGCCAAATGGAAACATATTCACTTTGGACAAGAGACGGACATAAACTTCACACGCAGTCAGAGTAATAATCTATTTTTTTCAATGAGTCTCATAGTCCCATCAGTCTGACTAAAAATTATTTTTGAAACTTGGAACATGCGAGAGTCCCCTATTCTTGGAACATGCGAGTCCCCTATTCTTGGAACAGGCGAGTCCCCTATTCTTGGAACATGCGAGTCCCCTATTCTTGGAACATGTGAGTCCCCTCCAGCATCCAGCATGAAGTGTACATACGCTGTGGTGACTGTGTGTGCACTGTTGGATCAACACAGAAGCCGAGGAAAGCGTGGAGGAAGTCAATTGTGTCCTGCAGGGGGCGACGCTTGACGGTTCCACGGAGAAACTTGTGGAAGAGTGGAGGGTTGAGCTTGTGCAGATGCTGCAGACAGTTCTGCCCCTTCATCCGAAGATGGTCTCCTTGAGGGCCAACAATTCCATCTCCACAGCCTTGTGGGCAGCCCAGAGCCTTGTAGATCCTGCCGGCAGGTGGGACATTACATAGGTGTCAGAAACGTTATACAAACATACTCAGACATCACATCAGGCAAGACCAAAAATGTACATCATTTATACGGCCTTTCAGTTTTTACATAAAATAAGTTTGCAACATGCGTAAAATGTAAACAGTCCTGATATGACTTCTTAGAATGTTGTTGCATTCACTGTTGCCAGGATTCATGCATGTAACATAACATGTGTGAAATCTGCATCATGTAAAATTAGTTGCTTGGGGTGAGTTTGGTTTAGTTTTACGCCGCACTCAACAATATTCCACCTATACTGGCCGGTCTGTAAATAATTGAGTTTGGACCCGACAATCCAGTGATCAACAGCATGAGCTTCAATCTGCGCAATTGGGAACCAATGACACGTGTCAACCAAGCCAGCGAGCCTGACCACCCGATCCCGTTAGTCGCCTCTTATGACAAGCATGGGTTACTGAAGGCTCATTCTAACCCGGACCTTCACGGGTAATTAGACACTTGGAAAAGGGGCTATATATCTGTTATAAATTACTATGGAATATCACTGATAATTGAAACTTGTTTTATCAAAGTGAGATATTTCCTTACCCTCTCATGCGACCATCCAGGGTACAAAGGTTAAGAATGCAACAATTCTAACAGAGAGCTTATGTCAATAACCAGTTAAATACTGGGCAGTATTTTCCCAAACCTGACCTCCTCTGAAATCCCAAGCACTAAACCTCTTCTTCCTGTCTTTTTTAACATTTTATCATAATTCACCACAACATAAAATTGATAGATAAATCATCAAACATCAACACAAAAGTGATGTTGGAAGAGCGCTTTTACTGCCTTCAAGAATTACCACTTCTCAAGGAATGAAATATAGTTTATAAAAATCATGACCTACTTCCATAATTGGTGGGTGGGCCAAAACACAGCACTAAATCAATCACTCATATACATCAGCATCATGCATCAGTGTTGTACCTGAACAAGCTGTCCATGGCCAGGCTGTGAGCTGTAATATCCTTGTCCAAGTCTGACTCTGTGGGCTTCTCAACAGGAGGAGGTGGCTTGTCGGTTGTGTCCTGGCTGTCAGGAGTGACAGGCGACCTCGGTGGGGAGGAGGTCTTGGTCTCGATGATGTCCAAGTCTAGCAGGCAGTTCAGGATGTTCAGTAGCACCTCACAGATCCGAGGAGATCGTTCGTTCATGGCAACAAAGTGAACCGCTCTCAGTACCACCTTGTAGTTCACGTGGCCATTGTCCTGAATATAATGTTTCGACCCGGACACCTCCTGGATGTCCTCCTCTGGCTTGTAACTGATATTTGAGTCAGTCATACTCCTTGGCAAGTTTGGGTACAACCCATCATCATCCCGGTTGTCAGAACCTCCAGAGAGCTCGTAGTTGGATGAAGAAAGGTTAGGCAAGTTCTTTGGTTCTGGGCTGTGTTCCGTGATTGTAATTATGGGCCTCTTAATGGGCTCTGGTTTCAAGTGAATGTCGGCTTGTGATGAGGTTGAGGAATCTTGTCCACTATGTTGACTGCTGCTCCCAAATGACTCCTTGTCAGACTGCGGCAGTGTTGGCATACTCTTCCTCTGTGCTCCAAATCCAGATGCCAACCCTCCGAATCTGTCATCCCGGTCCCGTCCCATACCCAGCATAGCTCCCCATGGCTGAGTTGGGTCTAATCACATCCGACTCGGTGTCGAGAGTTGAGATTGTACAAGAGCTGGAGGAATCATCCCGGAAGTTCCGTGAGAATATATGACTGCTGCTTCCATGGTCATGTTTGGATGTCTTGGGAGACTGGGATCCACTACCATCCAACTCATTGCTGTCCTTCTTCCTTAAGAAAGACTTCCCTGTGTCAAAGAACTGCTTAAGCTCAATCACTCTGATCTTCTTAAAAGGGGGCTCTTTTCTAACATCTGGCCCACTGAAGGAACTTACTGGAGGGAAAGAGTGTCTGGGATCTGTAGGAGATATATTTCTATGCGGAGATGTTGCTCTGGAGTCTGGGCTGGTGGGACTGACTCCGGCGGAGCGGTCCTCTGGAGAGCAGGCCTTGCTGTGTCCACCAGACAGAACCTGAAGGTCAGGTACTGGAAGGGACTTGCTTCTGCTTCTCTCACACTGCTCTATGTGGATATACTCATCACTGACCTCCAGCATCCTCTGATGCATGTACCTCAGTGCCCAGTAGATGCCATCTTCATTCCAGTTCAGGCAGAAGAGACACCTCAGCACTGCCACATCCAGGTAACTCGCACTGAGGATGTCTGGCCCCTCGGTGGCTCGGGTCCCACTTGTCATTGCACTAGCAAGTTTCTGTTTTACATAATCCTTGTCAACTGCAGATGTAAGCTTGTGGAAAGCATACAGTCTGGAGTCTGGAAAGAAGGCCACCAGGGTATCCTTCTGACCGCACCGACAGGTCAGAGGGCCATCATTTGGTCGCAGCTGCATCACAGTGTTGCAGTTTTCACAAATTACATCCATTGTTGCTGTGTGGGAATCTGATGCAGCGGCAGAGAACGCACATATGTCACTCATTCTTGCTATGGGAGCTCCTGGTGACTGAGGCTCTGTGTAACTGTTTCGACTCGTCGATTCTTCTCCAAAGCAAAACAGGTTCTCTCGTGATGTTCCTTTCCCTATATAGATGTTTGCAGCATTTGTGTTCACCTTCAACAAGTTCCTTGTAGCTTTCAAGACACTTCTCTGTGGTTTGACGGGAGTGGAAAAACAGGGGATATCTGGTTGACGATAATCCCAAAGCGGCTGCCACAATCTCAAACCATTCTCAAGCTTCAAAGAATCAAAATCGGAATCTTTCATTGTATGGATAACAGGTGCAAACAGATAAACAAACAGCTGGACAGTGCTGAGAGAGTGCATGTACAGAGGTGAGCCGATGTGTTTGAACATGTCTGCCCCGTTTCTCTATGTCCGCATCTTCACACTCTGATGCAGCATCAAGCATGATCCAGTGAAGGGTGTACAACAGCTTCGTCTCGCTGGGTCCAAATCTCAAGTCAGGATGGGTCTGTTTGCGGACAGTGAGGAGACTGGAGCAGGCATGCATCAGGTGAGGGAAGGCGGCCTGGATTGTCTTCCATCGGGACACGCTCTGGATGGCCTCGCAGAGGCTCGGGGACAGGCCGTGGAGGATGTTCTGGACAACCACGCGCTCAAATGACTGAAATGAGAAACATACAACATTGTAGATACAGGAATTTTCACAATTTTGAAAAACATTTTTCTTAATGCTTGAAAGTGCTGAAAGAGTTTTTCAAAATATTTAAATTGGGCTTCAACAAATCCAGTATGAAGTGAATAAGAAAGATATCACACAGACTGGTTAACAAATATGAATGAATATTGGGTAGCAAATACAATAACAAGACAGCAGTGGATGTATTCAGTATATTCAGCAAAACAATAACACTATAGTTTTCGCTTGTGTTGTTGTCTGCTCTGTATCCATGACTACAAAATGGCAGCCATGCACCATGGTGAATAATGTTAAATATGGTAATGAAAAAAACCCGGATCTGCATAAGAATTCACATTCTCTTCCCACAGAGGTTACTTGTCATATCTTCCTCCAACCTCTGTTCTAATACGGACATATTTCCGGGTTCTCGTAAAATCCCCTAGCGGCAAAAGATCGCAACACGAATTATCTCCCTTCTTTCTATCCAATCAGAACACGTGTTACATCGACTTAGATTCAACTTGACTAACACAAGCAAATGTGGGGCCACAAATATCCCCCATCTGCCGGGAACTTGTGTTGATGTTACACACAGGACGTTTAATGGCTATCTTGTCCGTTGTCAACAAGGGCAATGGAGACGCCACTGATCCGCCATAACATGACTGAGTTCTGTCTAGAAGAAACGTTTGCGCATCGCGCAGGGGAAGAAGTTTAGTTTTCTCAAAGCATACGGAAATTACCGAGGCCTTGCGAATGATCACTTTTGAAACAACGTCGCTGATTGCACAACTAAATCTGATTGCCTCCAATCACGAGTCTTGAACGCTCACACCATGAAAGGGCCGTATTAGAACAGAGGTTACGTAGGAAGATATGACAGGAGTAACCTCTGTGGGAAGAGAATGAAGAATTCAGTGTCGAGCACTTTAGCTCCCAATGTATCATAATACATATGGCAATACAGATATCTCAATACAATTAGTTCTGGCCATTAAAAGCCATAAAAAACACACAAACTGAAACCAAGTTGTTTCAGTTTGTTTGTAGATATATTTTGAATGGAAACTTTACCTATCTGTTGATAGTTTTATAACAAACTCCTCTCTGATGAACATCTTCTGTCTTCTTGTTGGTGTGATCATTGAAGTCTGGATGATCCGATACACATTCCCACTCAGGGTGTGGATCCGATACACATTCCCACTCAGGGTGTGGATCCGATACACATTCCCACTCAAGGTGTGGATCCGATACACATTCCCACTCAAGGTGTGGATCCGATACACATTCCCGCTCAAGGAGTGGGTCATCTGTCCATCTTATTGCAGGTCAGTATGTTAACATGGAGGTGGGGAACCCTGTCTACCACTATGCCTCCTCTGCATGTCTAGACACCATAGTATCAGGGCTCCAGATAAGGGTCGTATCGGCGTATGTACTGATAAAAAAATATGCACGATACGGAAGGAAATGTTTTGGAACAAGTAGCATATACGCACCACAGCAATGGTGTACAGTCTTAGAATAATTTACAGTCGTATTTATCCGAAAAAAGTATTGTTTTATTGTTCATTGACCTGTTTACACAAGAATCAATGTTGTGGTGCATGCATGAAACGAAACACAAGATTACTGATACTCCATTAATTTCCATTCAGTACTCTATATGTACTCTTAAAGTTTTCCAGTACTCTTATATTGAAAATATAAGGAGTCTGTACTCCTGATGTTGAAAAATTATCTGGAGCCCTGTAGTATGTTACACAGCTTTCCCCTGACTGTCAGGACTCTATCATATTATCTGTATACTGCAATGTACTTTTAATTCCACATGTTTTGCAACATATTGTCCGTGTTCTGGCATATTGGGTAGAAAATATCTAACAAGATTCAGTATTATTTCTAATTTAATCAAAACTACTACTTCAGCATATAAATAATAAAGGGATACGCATGTACATTCAGTGTCAGTAAGTGTGAAACACTCTACTTCCCGATATGTTGCAGTACATACCGCAGTATTGCCATCCAGATCGTAACAGAGGCCCAGATAAGCTGCGTATCCGGGTAAAATATGCATAGAAAATTTCCAATTACGCATTGAAAAATAATTGTTGCATACCAATTTCGCATTGAAAATGTTAGATACCGCAAAAAATTAAAACAAATGCGTACGGAATATATGTATAAAAATCGCTTGCGTAATGAAAAAGACATCAATTGCTATCAAGTTGTACTGTTAGTATAGGACAAGTTGTACTGTCAGTATAGGATGACTGATTTTTTATGAAATCATTTCCATTATATTTAAGTTGGTTTTGATTAGGTATGACATAAGGCAGAACATACCTGCATAGTAAACTTACTCAATGACATAATACTTAGGTGAGTAAAATGACTGAAATATGCACATATTTGAAAGCAGTGGGTAATGGAAAATGAAATACCCACTCAACATTCATAATACCCACTCCAAAAAAATACAGTGGGTACAGTACCCACATGAGCTAAATCTTATCTGGAGGTCTGTTGTAATATATACTGCAATACCTTCTCTTCCAATGCACTGCCCCTGGACTGCTGCCGATCAAAACTTAAGTCAATAGCTGAACTTGAAGCATGGTATTCAATAGCATTTAACTAGGTGTTCTTTTATCTTGGACATATCGCAATTCATCTGTGGCATTGGATGGAAAACCATTTGTAGGGAGCAAAACATTTATCTATTATTGTCTCTGTATCCTCTATATAAACAGTAGAAAACAATGTTTGAATATTTGTACTCTCGGTAAAATCACTTTGGAAATATTACAAAAGTAACAGACGTTATTGTCTCACTTTTCATGAGCAGATCATCATGATAATATTTACACTTCCAGGGACTTCATTTCCTGCTCCAGATTATTGGATTGGATGCAATACTATATCATGAATACAGCTTTACAATACCTCTGAATTTCAAAATATAAGGTTCTCAAAAAGCAATATTGTGAGAATGAAAATAATTCAATTTGCTTTCAAGAGGCACTTGGTTTGGAATCTGCATAAATCCCTGACATGCACACATATGTAGAATGGACTCCAATAATCACGGATTGTGCCTCATAGTGTCAGCCTTGGACCCCCATGTCATTGCCACGGTCAGGCCCTCCCCACCACACAGAACTCCCCCAAACAAAGATGCCCCAGGTACATCCCTCACAATGTGATAACATTTCTAGGTCACAGGCAAAACGGTCATTCATTGACCACAAAAACAAATATTACCGGGTGTTTGCAACCTAAACGACCAATGAATTGTCAGACTTATGGAGCATTGTGGGTGAGAATTACGAGATCAGACAGGAATCTATATCCAATATCGCCTTTCCTCAGTTCCATAAAGCGCTGACAATGACATATTACAATTGTGCATGGTCCACTCCAGTTCTTGTGACCCTGTATCTCCCATCTAATGCACCAGCTAAATAATACTTCCCCTAACACTGGCGTTACTCTGACCATTACGGCATCCCGCCATATTACCACAGTCTATGAGTCTGTCAATGTGTAATACTATATGTCCTTGCTTGAGACAGGCCACTCTCCAACCCAGAGAAAATCAATAGCAATCTAGCCACGTAGCTGGCGGTTCTATTCCTTGAGTACTGCTATGTGAATTTACTACTGGCGACAAATAATCGTTTCTGTGGCAACAAGTTCTTGGACATGTGCCAATATGCTTTCTTCTTGCAGTAAATCAGCAGCGTGAAGAAATAGATTTTTGCTAATATTGCAGTTCTGATTGAATTAGCCAGAGGGTCATAAAACAAGCACCATTCTGGAAATAGCCTGCATGTATCACAGCATTGATAATCTTAATAAACTTCCTCGATGCCACCATCAGGGGAGAGAGTACCTGACTGTCAAATTTCTGGAATTTAAATTTTTGTAGTTTACAGTTCCCCTTGGCACTCATTGAAATTAGAGGTGCGCATCCTGGAATTTAATATTGCCAACTTTGCCAACAAAAATATATTTCTTATCCCCAAAGTATCTTAAATGCCTGTCTTCAACTCACACAATCAATGCCCCTGCTCCCAGGTGAACGAGACAACATGGAACTCAAAAGTACGTTCAAGTAATAATAAAGGCTCAGCCATGAAATGTGTAGAACTTGAACTATGCCAATATTCCATGGTAACATTCACTGTCAATAAACTTTTATCCATGACAACCTCTTTGTTACCATGGTTACTGATCATAATAATGATCCACGTACATCATGTATATTATGTCAACAGAGATCAGCACATTATTTAGACAGCATACATGATGAATACTTTTTATAATAAACTGATATCCACAAATCATTTCCTGATGCAGGAATACTGAGACCTGCTGTAGCACAGAACATACTGAAACACCATGTTGAAACTACCTTGTGTCAGGACTCTCGGCAGATACATGGATTTTACCTTGACCTTGACTTTGTAAATATCTTAATTATAATAACTATGTTCTTCTTTAAGACTCATTTTAGAAATTGTAATGATGAATGAAAACCAAGTTCTATGGATTGTCAACTTCTTTATTGCATAGAGTGCGAAGTTTCACTAGTGTAGGTACTAACACCGTTTTCAAACAAGTGATGATAACTTGCTAATTCCGGTGAAACTTCACACTCATTGCAATAAAGAATAGGGGTGGGTATTGCAGAGAATTTTCATATTGCAATATATTGCGATGTGAAAGCATGTATTGCGATATGTATTGCAATATATTGCATGAAGTATTTTTACACAAAAAACTACTTATAATCGAGGTAATGCTTGATTTATAGAGCAAATACACAGCAAAATCACTATGCTTGATTAAGCTTTAATGACAACTTTTATTCATGATTAAAAATAAAAATGTGAATAATATTTTTCACAAATGAAAAAAGGAAATATCCTAAGATTTTTGTAATAAAGTGTTACACTAAATTGCAAAAGTTTTCTGAATGCAAGTCAAAATACTGGTTTTTCTTCATCAGCGAGCGCAATAAGTATCGAGAAAATACTTTTTTCATGTCTGAACTGGTAAACACCGGTAAACCGGTTATATTGCGCAGCCCTAATAAAGAAGCTGACTATCCACAGAACTTGGTTTTCCTTCAACTATATTCTTGTCAAGAAGATACAAGGACTATTATTGTGGGTCCAAAGGGATGTAATACTTACGTATTTTGCATCAATTTCTGCATACAAAACCCTAATGTTACCATGGTTACAACTGAACTATATATACTGCAAAAACTTTGCATTTGTGTGGAAACAAATAGACCGTTTTGAAAAAAAACTCCTATGACTCAGCAGGTAGTCAGAATTTTGAATAAATAATGGTGGCCATGTTTGCACAAATATCGGTCACCATAGCTGGGATGATATATGCAAACATTTGAATCACAAAATTCCACATACCCGAAACTAGATTCTTATCAAATTCCAAAATCATCCATGCAGAAATGAGCCATGGCCAACTATGACGGCCATGTTAAAGTAATACCGTGCTGACCTCGTCACAACCCTACTAAATATCAAACACGCTGTTCCAGTGATACACGTCTACTTTTCTATCACTTGTGCTCGATGTAACACATTTTTAGGAATTATTAACAGCAGTAGGTATCTTGTAAATGCAGGTATACAAGCTGCAAAGTATGCAATGTTTTTATACTATTTGTGTGTATTTCTCCACAAACAACTCAAATATAATTTGTGAAAATCTATCTTGTATATTTCATGCCAATACACAGCGTTTCTGGAGCTCTGACGTATAATGCAATGAACAAGGTGACTGTGTCTGACCACCTGACCTGTTGGGTCCCCTTCCCAACCAGCAAATGATGCCCTCTCTGACTTTAATGTCGCCTATACTATACTTCCTTGACATGTAAATCACTAATGGTGTTTTTCAATACACAGAACCTTTCCTTTGATAGTGCTGTTACAAAAAAAGCTACATATCCTATTTTAAACACTCTAAATATTATTAATATTAATTCCACAACAAAAACGTTCAACATGAACACACTGTGTAGACGTCTGATGATAAGCTAGTTCATTGAATCCTGCATCATGAGTGAGTGAGTGAGTTTAGTTTTACGCCGCACTAAGCAATAATCCAGTAATGTGGCAGTGGTCTGTAAACAATCAAGTCTGGACCAGACAATCCAGTGATCAACAGCATGAGCATTGATCTGCACAATTGGGAACCGATTAGTGTTGGGAATTGGTTAAAATCTCATAATTGATGATTGGTTTATTACAACCGATCAATCATCGAAAAAAATTGGTTAGCGTCATTAATGAAATTTGTTAATGCACATAAAATAAGGAAAAACATGTAGTTCTTTTGGGGTGTTTTTGGCAAAATTTCACTTCTTTAAAGGATGACTAGTAAATCAGGAACATAAATTTCTTGGAGTCTTTAAGATAAATTCAATCATGACTTGAAACGAGCTTGTAGTGCTTATGAAATGTAACAGACAAAACCAACCTTGTGAAAAATATTGTTTATGAAAACAAGTGTTCCAGAATTGTTTGTGTTCGATTAAGAGAAAACATGATCGATTGCTTGGTCGTTTAGTCACTGCGACCAATCTTCGATTATTTCAATTAATCGGACCACCACTAGAACCGATGACATGTGTCAACCAAGTCAGCAAGTGTGACCACCCGATCCGTTAGTCGCCTCTTACGACAAGCACTGTCACAATAGTTAAACATTAACACACAAATGCAGAGCAGATGTCTGATGCTGTGCAAGTTTAATAAACACTGCATCATGAACAACGCCCCTTCCCCTCAGGCAGGGTACAATGTCAGACAATGAACCAAGTCACTAGACCCTTACACTCAATCAGGGTAGTCACCTCTTACATGCTCAAAACCCTCAATACACAGAGGGTTGATGTGCATCCAAAGTTTCATCCAGAAATACTGAATGTTTTTGGAGATCTGCTCCACAAAATGAAAACCTCGACTGAAACAACATCCTGTGTGTTAGTGCCATAAAACCTACAGAAACTCCTGAATAGCCAACTCACAACCCAGCACTTGCCTGAGGAGCATACACAAAGACAATGAGTTTCACCACAGATACAAACCCTGCCTTCAGTTGATATCCACATCCTATTCAACACAATTAAAGAAACCCTGATCAACAAAAGTCATCAATTCTCTACATACCTGATGTAAATACTTGGACTGTTACCATTCACTCACGTATTCATGTATAATTGAACCTTATCAGTTGATAAATTCAATTAGCTATTGACAATCACTAGAATTGAATATTTATAGATATCTTAGAAAGGAGTGAATTTACTTGAAATTGGGTGTTATTCACTAAAGTGACCTCAAGGCAGCCAGACCGGGAAATAGTCAACACATATATTAACTGAGACAGTAATGGAGATCACTGGTCATTGTCGTGATATATTAACTCTGTCAACATGATCAGACCATGTCATGGAACTTATTTTCTTACTGTTTCACTGAATATAATGAATAAAATATCAACTGCTGATTTGTTTTTTCATTCATTACCCAATATTCATAGCATGTATCATTTCACCTCATAGAGGGTTCACCACAACCACAGTGTGTATGAAGTTTCTTAAAGAAATATGGAATGGTTCATGTTACTCTCGGAATAAATGGTTTTTTTCCTGAAACTCAGTGAAAGGTAATTAGATAATACTTTCAGAAGTTAATGAATAGCAAAAGGAATCAGTTGAATGAATGCCTGATATACAGAGTTTGAAGAAGAATAAATGAACAGTTTAATAGGTTTACTCTTGAAACCGAACACTACTGATGGAGACTTGTTTCTGTATTGCCTGTAATTTTTAGAAGGGCAAGGGTTAATAATGGTAACTCACCACGCAGGCTGCCTCACACATCTTCCCCTGCTTGGGCCGGATGAAGGGGCTGAAATACACAACATAGGCTGAACTATCAGACTACAGCCAACAGGACTATTACAAATTCACATTTCTAAAGTATGCTTGATTATTGTTCCTATGTATAAATAGCAGTGTGCATCGCCATCATATATACCATATATACTACTAAAACATTCAGCTAACACCATGTATAGAACTATGATATTTTTAATGCCTTTTCAGGAATTTGTGTTACATCAGCAGAGCTACTGCTTAGAGAGATACTACCACCATGTATAAAGAGAGAAATGGTACTTGGAATAAAGGATGTACAGACTCTCTTAGTTTTCATACAATTGGAACTTTGTAGCGGCATAGCCACTGCCCTGAACTATTATAGTTAAAGTGTTTTAACGCTATAATAGTTCAGGGCGAAAGTGTGCTTTATTAATATACATGGTGGTAGAGCGAACTATATTTCTTTTCTAAGATGCCAAATGTAATACTTTCTAAGGATAATTACGATTAATTTAAGGCAGAAAACAAACAACGGTGTCGGTGACCTAAATTAAGAATCCTTGCACAGGGCTAACTGGCGCGCTGTTCTTTTGATGTATCTGCCCCCCTACGTTAAGACGAACGTTACCAGAAAAAACAAATGATAACAGTTTGATGACGGTTTATGTTCGGATTAAATATCTTCTCCAAATTATTTTAATTACATCTGTGATTAACGTAAACCATATGGGGCATTATGAACGTCACATTTTCTCCTACCAACGTAACTTTAGATCAGTGACATCCAGATGAAGCTGAGTAGATCAGAGGATATCTCCACAACTCCACAGAATGTCTCATCAGATGAACTGCCAGCAACAACTGAACCCCGCCCCCCTCCAATTTCTCAAACTCCATTTGGTAATCAGCAGACACATCAGACACAAATACAGTCTAAGACTGTTGTGTTCAACTTAGACGTGTTAAACACACAGATGTCTCAAACTAATAACGTCCCTGCGCATTCCTTATCATTTTGTGGTTGAGTCAGACCTCAGATAACTGGAAATATTTACATTTTTATATTAAACATTTCCCTTAAACTTCCAACACTAAGGTGTTTGATTATATACCTTCTATTGTACTACTATTCAGCTCTAAATGACCAAACACACAGAAATAACCACAACAATAACATAATAATATGGCTTCCTATTTTTATATTTGGAAGTCCCTGGATGTACTCATTTTCATGATTCAAAAATCTGATATGCTTGTCTGAATGTTTCACTCACATGCACTGGGAAGATAGAAACCATAAAGATATTTTCTGATCATAAAGCTAACTGAAGGCAGGTTCTCTGGACACATGGAGTCTTGGATCTTCATGAACATGTCTTTGCTTTTCATTCAATCATGTTAAATTGTTAATTTTCTCCTTGCAATATGTATTTTCGCAATAATATCTCATTAATTAACATTTTGGTTCTATTCACAAAAATGGGAGTTTCTGGTTGATATCAACAGATTTGTACGTAGATGCTTTCATTTGATATATTACTGAAACGGTGTTGAAATTTGACCTACACGATGACAGACTTACGCTAAGTAGCACAGTTTATATAAATACACATTCCATCAAGCATGTTACACATTGGTAAGAATGCCTAAACATTTTGCACTTTTGCATTGCATACAGAATGTTTTGTGTACACCTTAAGATAATGCTGCTTTTCACAGGTAAACACTTTAGTCAATAACTTTATATTTTTGGGGTAACTTTTTCTATCTAATTCACAATGTACATTCATCATGACATGTTTACTCTTCTATTGTATCCCCGGTATTCACATAATATTTATAAGCTTGCGCTTGTTTACCAATCCAGTTCCTTTCATTGGAAATAAATGTTTAAATCATATCTTCATACACCGAAATGGTACATTATATCAAGTTTACTTTCACTGGCTTGTAACCTACCACAGAACTAAAAACATAGTGAGGCCTAATTTCCACCTGGTCCAAAACGTTGCCAGTATTTACAATCTTAACTTTAACTGATAACAAAAATTCTATAACAAGCATGATAAGTGTCGCCAATTCCTTGCATGAAAATGCTGTCACACCTACTGTCGCACCAAAATTAAATAGTCTGTAGCGCATACAATACAACCCAGTATAATCTAATGGGCGGTTATTTCTGTCCAGTACTGTACTGAACACTGACACTTGATGATACGCGAACGCCGCTGTCATTCCGAATACACAACACTAACATTTTCCTCACAGTAAGCGAGCATGCTGACGACTGTCGCTACAACATACGTACGTGTCATAATGCATCTTATACTTTCCAATATCTACCTGATCTGACGCCAAAAGAAGGTTTGAATGGGGAGAGGCACCGATTGATCACCATCCAAATCATCACCACCGACTGTCTTTCGCTTCGTCATTTTGAAAGCTCTTAGAATGCAGACGGTAAAATGGACGGGGTTGCGACAAAACGCATATAATCACAGACTGTAGCGCTGTTTGTGTTCATGCCGACTGCTCGCTTAATGTTTTCCATCGACAGGTCAGTCGTTGTTTATGTCTCGACATTTTCTGAGATTTCATCCTGCGCATCAATGGCTCTTAGGGCTCATTTGCATAATGGTAATATTGCTGAGGGAACGACTAGCTACATTAGGTTGTGGATGGAGGATTCTCATGACTGTTTTGAGGCAGAATCGATCAATAAAATACTCGGTTATGCTGTGGTAAGGTCGCTAAACGCCTGCTCAAATCTTATTTTATTGATTACAAGTAATAAATGCAATGCATCACGGTGTTAGGATATGTGATAATTATATGTTCTTAGGAACATAGTACACAATTAAAGCCCCAGCACCTGTTTACCGGTACTGACATCTATCTATGCATCTCATTCGGAAAAAACAAATCAGATCATCACATATTTGCACGATTTCAGAGTGACTGGGAATAGATTCAGCTCTGTCCTGAATTATCCTTTTGTTTCGATTGTTTCGGGGAGAGATATTCGGACCTGGGCAGTAGGAATGCGCGCGGCGTGCATGAATGTAATCTTGTAGATAGATACGATATGTCGATACATGCGTCATTTGGCAAGGGAACGAAAATAACATCAGTTAGTAGGCGCATGGTACTTGTCGATATTGTCTAACCAAATCGTTGAACAACAAGAGATTAATAGCCTACAACAATTAGTCCACTTCTTTGAGTGGGATTTTAGAAGTTGGGAAGTACAATACTGACAAAATTTGTGAATAAGAACTTAATTATCGGTGAGTGTGACGTTCCGATGCACGCTGTCAAACAGGAATGTCGTTCGAAACGTCGCTCTCACTAATTATAAGAAGTGCATGGCTATCCATTCAGTTTGTCAACAAATAGTCCAAACTGTATGTTTAGGAATATCCTTAACAATGTGCGTGCGTTTGTGTGTGTGCTCGTGCATGTCTGTGTTTTCAGTGTTACAAAATCTATTAAAAATTGTATTATGATTTTTTTATATATTAAATATATATTTTAAGTTGTTTTACCAAATCAGAAAGGTACTTCGTGTTTCAAACGCACATAGACATCACGAAGCTAAAACTAATAGTATTTTGTGTCCCGAATAGGCATATATACATGTATATATAAATGCACCCCCATTAGACCCCTACCCGCTGCTTGACCTACAAGAGACGACGAGGCAGCCTAGTGGCTAAAGCGGTCGCTTGTCACGCCAAAGGCCCGGGTTCGATTCCCCACATTGGTATAATGTGTGAAGACCATTTCTGGTGTCCCCCGCCGTGATTTTGCTGGAATATTGCTAAAAGCGGCGTAAAACTAAACTTACTCACTTGACCTACAATAGAACAATTGGAAGTACAGTTTCGCCAACTTAACCAAGATCATGAACTGTTGTTGTTGTTGCTATTGTTACTGTGTTACTGTTCCCTACGTTCAAATGCTGTGTTGCGCGTTGTGCTTGTCCTCCAGGGCTGTTGAATTATTCAAGTGGCCATCATCATTGTCATAATTATCGTAATTGTTATTACTAACATTAGGGAATTCATCATCATTATTACCATTACCATTCTTCCAAATGTCTTGCGTGACCCTCACCGCAATTGCTATAATGTTGCTGATGATACGTATGTATACATTCATCTAAGTTGTGTCAAATTGATGCATTCCACATTTCCTCTACCACTGTCTGTGAGTGAGTGAGTGTGGTTTTACGCCGCTTTTAGCAATATTCCAGCAATATCACGGCGGGGAACACCAGAAACGGGCTTCACTCATTGTACCCATGTGGAGAATCGAACCCGGGTCTTTGGCGTGATGAGCCAACGCTTTAACCACAAGGCTACCCCACCGCCCCCACTGTCTGTGACAATTCAGTGTTGGAATATGTGTTCCACATAACCATTACGTTGGTAGTTGTTTATGAATCCCCTAAATTCATAAAATGTATTTCACATTTTTTTTAAATAATGAAAGGAGACACTGAACAGCCTAACGAGCTGCATTCATCGTGCTCCAACGGTTAAGATGAAACCAGTAGGGGAGGTAACCCAACATGAGGCCACAGCAATGATGAAACACATAATAGGTGGGACTAGTGAACGGATATTACCTTCGAACAAGAATTTGTTGTGTTTGTGTTTATTTAAAGTTATTTAAACCTCATTCAGTCTATTTGCAACAGTTCTGTTAAAATCGGATGGGACGTGGAGATTTATTAGTTATTAGATTCTTGAGAGGCATTTAGAAGTTGGTGAATATATAAGACGAGTATATGGATGGCAACTTCTTGTTTATTTTATGATGGCAACTTCTTGTTTATTGTATATCACATATTGTGATATACAATAAACAAGAAGTTGCCATCCATATACTCGTCTTATTATTACTTATTGTAAAGACAAATAATTCTAATTTTCTCTGCAATTGTCTGTGACATTTTTTTTGGTACATGTATTTTACACATTAAGTTGTTGGTAGTCCAGTTTAATATCTAACAAACCCTTAAAGTTCATAAAAGGTGTTAAAAATGTTGTCACGGTAATGAGAGGGAGGCAGTGAAACAGCGTGTACGTGCAGAATGTTGTCTGGCCCGCGCCTGCATCAGAATTCAGCGAGCAGAACATTTTTCTTCTGAATGTGTCTGTGTTGACATCACATTCTGACTTTCTTTGTGACCGTAATTGTGTCATAATAGAATTTGATTTAACAATATCATTTACTGGTCCACTTGTGTGTTCTGATGTCGATGTTTTACGCCTCTTTTACCAATATTCCAGCAATATCACGGCGGGGGACACCAGAAAAGGGCTTCACACAAGGTACCCATGTGGGAAATCGAACCCGGGTCTTCGAAGTGACGAGCGATCACTTTAACCACTAGGCTACCCCACCGCCCCGAGAATACAAAGTGTATTCACGTCTCGTATTCCATGTCATATCTGGGAAATATGATACTTTATGGATAACAAGGACTTTATTATACTATGATGCTCGTTAGCATATGAAAGAGGTGGTGGGGTAGCCTAGTGGTTGAGGCGTTCGCTCGTCACGCCGAAGACCAGTTCGATTCCCCACATGGGTACAATGTGTGAAGCCCAATTCTAGTGTCCCCCGCCGTCGTATTGCTGGAACATTGCTAAAAGCGGCGTAAAACTACACTCACCCACTCACTCATGATATAATAAACGGGTTGTTGCAACATAATATATTAAAGAAGTTGTTAGCATCATTATAGAATATAAAAGTTGTTATCCAAAAAGTATCAAACCTTTCTTATTATTCATCAACTTTAAAATGTCAATCAAACAGATCATGTCATATTTGTACCACTTTACTCACTGTCAAATTTCACGATTAGACGTCTATTTGTTTACTTTTACTTTTTTCAAACACTGAAATACTTTTCTTTTCTACGTCACAACGATAGGCAAAGTGTTGTTTGAATGAAAGCAATCGATCGGGATTGCCAATCTATCTGCGCCTAGTGTCCCGTCCAAAGCAACATATTCACTCTACCGCTGTATAAACGCCAGGCCTACCAAAGAAACCTGTAGACAGCTGGAACACAAAGTACAACCAAACACACAATCCTGTTAAAGTTGGAATTATAGGGAGTGAGTATGGTTTTACGCCGCTTTCACGATTGATATCCCAGCAATATCAAATTCAAGGACGGGGGACACTAGAAATGGGATCGAACCCGGGGTTTTGGCGTGACGAGCGAGCGCTCTTACCACTAGACTACCCCACCGTCCAATTTGCACTGTAAAAAAAGGAAGCCCGCACCATCAGCAGGACTGTGTTTGTTTCCAGTGATAATGGTGTCGGGTGCATTACGATGTAAAATGTATGGGCATTGTGTCTTTGTTTGTAATGTGTATGGTATTGCTATATGTAGTCCGTCATTCACGAGTTCCACACAAGGGAGACAAGCAGTGAGTGACTACCATCAACATCACAATCGATTGTGACACGCCTAAGTTGATGGAATTTATTCGTGAGCAGCGGAATAGAATGGCACTTAACGTCCAGAAAGGTTACTGTTTTATACAGATGCAAGAGAATTTTGTTTCTGCAGTGATGCTTGAGACTGTAATTCCGTCTAGGATATATACAAGGAAACTGGCCTTTGTGTCACTGGGTCTTGAGGGACCATAAAAACATATCTCTGTAGTATTCGTACAGTAATCATCGCGACAACGTGTGGCATGCTTGCCAGCCCTTCTCTTCATTACTTGGAGGTAGACAAACGCCCTATAGAAAACAAACATGGATTAGTTTACAGAACCAGCTTTCCCAGACCTCAAATAGATTTGAACATTAAGAACCTTTTCTCCCAAAATCAACGAATCTGAGAAGACATGACAGAAACAATGAGAAAACAATCACTGGGTTCAGATCGGGTCTCCTTGCCGGCCATGGTAGTGTTTTAATGGTCATGTTCAGCACATGGGCGATGTCAACGGTGATGTCAACGGCGATGTCAACGGTGATGTTCAGCGTTGTCATCCATGAATATCGGACGACTGGCAAGGGGGTGGCTATCAAAACGTGGCACGACGGCGGTAGCCAGTACTTCCGGTCGGTAATGTTGAATGCCCCAGGTACTGTAATGAGATCCAACTGGCAGTCATTGGAAAGGCAACCCCATACCATCACTGACCCACCACAAACGGGTTCAGCTTCGTGTATCATCTCCTGGTGATGTGTCTCGTTACGACGTATCCGTACGTGACAACGGCTGTCGGTAACCTGTAGAAGATGGTCATCAGACCAATGGACATTACGCCATGTCCTGCACCTCGCCAGCCGTTGCTACCTATGCCCGTCTGTGGGGAAGGGACGTCTGATTGAACAATGTGGCCATGCACTGACCAGTAGCCTGTAGGATCCTTCTGATTGATACCCGTGAAGATCCGGGTTAGAATTGGTCTTCACTAAACCATGCTTGTCGTAAGAGGCGACTAACGGGATCGGGTAGTCAGATTCGCTGACTTGGTTTTGACACATGTCCCCGTATCCCAATTAAGGAGATCGATGATCATGCAGTCAATCAGTGGATTGTCTGGCCC